CCATGTTCTGTTCACAGTGACAATAATGGTTGCCAGGAGAGCAGGAGAAACTTTTATCATTTCAACAGTTCTTAAAATGACATTCATAATTTTGAAAAGTGCATATTCAAAAAAGGTATCAACTTGCAAAGAAAAAATTCAAAATATTTGAAGGTCAGATATGTTTGAGTAAACTATGTTTTAAATATGTTTTAGTAAATTATGTATTGTATGTATATACATGTTATTGTTTTTAGTAAAGTGTGTCATTAATATTTTTTTTCGTAAATTATGTTTTGTATACATGTTATCACATGGTTATAGTTTTTAGTAATCTGTATAGTTTTAAAGTTAACAGTAAGGGTTCCTGTTTTAGTAGACAATAACTTTACTCCAATCCCACGATTCTGATTTTAACTTTGCAATACCCAATGCCTGTTAAGGCTTGAAAATGTTTCAAGAATTCAAAAAAAACTGGGTGATAAAAAATAACAAAAAACTGATGTAAGTGTTTGTTGGAATCTAGGATTGTTGAACAGAAGGAGAAAACACTGCCTCCCAATCCTGCTCGGTTTGATTACTGTTGACATTTCACACCAAGCTAGTGGTATTTATGGAAGTCCGCCTCAATGCCAATCCTGCACGAACTGTGCACCTAGGTGCAGTGACTGCGCTGGTGAACAGAGGAAGTATCGACTAGTATCAGCACGTGATCAGCACTGCAATATTAGGCTCAAACCTACGCTCTGTGCCATGTAGATGTGACACAAACAAACAAACAAACACTGTCAGGAGATTTACTGGAAAGTAAGAAGTCTTGATGGGCATTTAGCATGTTTAGAAGTTGGTTGAACATGATTTGTTTGTTGTTTAATGCCAAACTCATGGTCATGCTTTATGACGGCCTCCTGGAAATAATCTAGTCTCAACCAGACAATTCAGTGACAATTGTGACCAACGATTCCACACAATTGTGATACAATGACACGCTATCAACCATGTCACGGACCCTGACCACCCAATCAGAGGGTCCTGAGCTATCATGACTTCATTGTAAAAGTTCAAGATTTAAAGGGTCCCTAACTAGTATTCGAATACTATACATTCTGAAGGCTAGCAGCAAATCTTATGGACCCTGGACCCACCTTAATTTCTCGGCTACCAAGTAACTGCCGCAACAGCAGAACTATTAAATGTGTGTTCAGCATGAGTCAAGAATCATTTGTTCAAGCTGTGAAACCTACACTCATATTTGTTTTAAGGCTGCTTGTTATTCCCGACTGTGAGTGGAGGGAAGTGTGCTACAGCGGGAATGTCCACCATTCTGGCTGGGAATGTGGAGGTGAACACGGTCTCAATGCACATTGCATATGGTGATTACACTTCATAACCTGTGTGTATAATATGCCTCCCCTGGGTAAATCTGAGGCTGTATAGGCTGTCAGGGTCAGGGCAAGGACTGATGTGGTTATCTGCTAACTTCATCAACCCATTTTGATGTATTCCATAAAAGTTCCTACTGGGGACATGGAGGAATGAGCGTGGCATACCTCATGTGGTCACATGTCATGCTAGCTGTCACCAGCTGAAACAAGTACAGAAATATGGGTGCGATATGTCTAACCATGCTGAGAGTGAAATGATGGATACAAAGAAATGGATTAATATAGGGTAAACTGACTTGGGTTTGATGGCACCAGGTTCAAACTCTAGGATTTTGTTTCCATGTATAACTTCAATGCATTCAAACAATACACTAGTCTTGCCACTGGGATAAGTTATTTTGTTTATAATTAATTATATATATTTTTGGTGTGAATAGTTGCAAAATAGCTGATGAAGCATAAAACAGTATCACCCTCACTCACTCACTCACTCACTCACTCACTCACTCACTCACTCACTCACTCACGTGTAAAGTGTAAAGTAATTATATCAGGGATTGTTATATTCTGAAAGTCTGATGGAAGGAGTTATTCTCCTACAAAACGTATGATAAATGAGATGTGGTCTTTATCACCCCACTTGTGTCGTATCACCCCCCACTTGTCGCCCCTTCCTGTGCAATGAGCAACCATGTCACGTGACAATGTGACACCCATGGCGACTCTCACCATCTTGACTAATGCCATCTCCTGTTGTACCGGCTCGGATACCCCAAGTTCGGCAGATTGTAGTCTGGGGCAGATTAATTAGCACTAAGAGTTGACCTGAAGTTATGCACAGGGGCAATAGAATTTTAGTGAACGAGCGTGTATAGTTAAACGCCACAGTTAGAAATATTCCAGCTACAGTCAAGTTTCGTTAATCCGACACTCGTTAATCTGACAATCGGCTTTATCCGACACAAATGATGGGAATCAATTAAATCAGTGATTTTTAGACCCGTTAATCCAACAGTCTTGCACTCCGACTCCGACACACCTAATTTGCAACGAATTGCTGAAAGCACTAATTAATCAGTCTCGTTAATCCGACACAGTGAACAGCGTACTCAATGGTCATCTGCCCGCGAATATACAGCCCCGTGTTTTGATGTGAGACGAGTTAGCGAGTAGCTGCATATTTCAATGGCTGCAGAGATAAACTTACTTAACAATATCACATGCCTAGATTACCTTAGTCTCATTAAAATTGGATACAAGTTCTCACTACCACTGAGGACATCCCATTACTGTTCACGTCAGAACGACCTTTTACGAATTTGGACCGACCAATGAAATTTTTAACAGGAAGTTGACATTAACCACTAAGAAAGCAGCTTTCTTAAGCATTGTGGCACGAGTTTCAAATTAGCGACTTCCATTCTAGACTGTGCTTAAAATAGTATTTTGAATCAGTCATACAGTCCGTAACAGTAGTTTCGTTGATACTACCTAATTTTGTTTATCCGACATACTCGTTAATCCAACATAATCATATACAACCAACAATGTCGGATTAACGGAATTTGACTGTATGTCACTGGGGCCTGGAAATAATCACGTCAGAGACAGACAAACCAGTGACTGAAAACACGTGCGATGATCTGCGAATTTGGCCTGGTTTAGATATCGGTCCCTTTTCATGCAATTCAGACATGTTTACCTGAAGGGCTTCCTGGACACTGGCACAGTGATATAGATCCTTATGGTGGCTAAATGTGAAGATCCGGGGTAGAATAGGTCTTCAGCACCCCATGCCTGCCCTAAAAGGAGACTATACTTGTCATAAGAGGCAACTAACGGGAGCAGGTTGTAAGGCTCACTGACTTGGTTGAAGCATGTCATCGTATCCCAATTGTGTGGATCGATGCTCATGATATCAATCACTGGATTATCTGGCCCAGACTTGATTATTTACAAACTGCCGTTTTATAGCTAGAATTTTGCTGAGTGCGGCATTAAACAATGTACAAACAAATATTTATGAATTTGTGCTACTGAATCAATAACGATGATAACACAGGCTTAAGTTCAAGAATATAACAGAAAGATTAAATAAAACTGTTGAAATAAGTGAAGCACCATCCTTCTAACATGGTTAGCAGTAGACAATTACAATATGCACTGACGATACTACTGCTATCCCAATAACAAATGATGAAATCACTGAAATACAGCTCTAAAACTTCATTCTTCATACATTTATTTACTTTTGTCTCAAAACCTTAAACAATGAGAACCACAAGAACAAAACAGTTTTACATGAAGGGATGGTTATCAAATGTAACAGTTAGTTGTAACGTCCTCAGCCTTCAGGTCCCCATGTCCTGCCATGCTTACAGGTGGCGCTATGCTACTTCTGCCAATACCGGAGGTGACTCTATTAGTTCCTGTTCCATTTATAGCGTATCACGCTCTCACAAACTGACAATTCAAGTATTGTGTGTACCTAAGTATCGATGATATCATAGGTATCAGTGAATCGTTACAGCCCTAGTTAGCAGTAGATGTAATTGTTGATGGGAGCCAGGATCAGTCGGAGTGTTGCAGCACCGAGAAAGATGAAGGGAATGAGATGTACTGTTGACACACCTGCCACTATGGTTTATATGGCCATTAATGGTTTGTTACCCTGTCACAGTACTGTCAGTGGAGTCAGCGCTGGTCAGAATGTTGTTGCTAATGTTTGGGGAATTGTCTACACAGTCCTACCAAGTTATAATACCCTTGGTTATAAGGCCACCCAGGTTATAATGCCACCCTGGTTATAATGCCACCCTGGTTTTAATGCCACCCAGGTTATAATGCCATCTTAGTTATAATGCCAGCAAGGTTATAATGCCACCCTGGTTTTAATGCCACCCTGGTTATAATGCCAACCACTTTATAATGCCACCCAGGTTATAAATATAATGCCACCCAGGTTATAATGCCATCCAGGTTATAATGCCACCCAGGTTATAAATATAATGCTATCCTGGTTATAATGCCATTTTTGTAAGCCATTTTTTTCGCAGAATGGATTTCAGCAGTACAAAAGTCCCAGGTTATGCCATCCGGGTTATAATGCCAATGCCAATGCCAATGTTTATATAAAATATTCTGTGCAAGTGTGCATCGTTTATATATGTTATATTGAAGTCAATTCTAATAAATAAATATGTCAACAACAATATCTTCATGGACTGCTTATTTGATCATTAACATACAAAAACCTGTCAACAACAGTACGTAATCAATGACACCTTTCATCACGGTAATGATAATGCAACACAAGCCCTGCCCATACTATTTCAGCCAATCAGGAAACAATAGTCCTTTCATAGGGGTGGCCTAATATTTCTACGCTTTTTGGAAACATTAACACAAACAATAATTGCTTTGTTACCCTATCAAATGCCGTGGAATCCCCTTCAATGTATGATCGCCTCCATGGTCTAGTGGTAGAGCGTCCGCCTGGAGAGCGGAAGGTCCGGGGTTCGAAGACTTTAAAAGATGGTACTTGTTGTAAGTGCAATAATCTTGGACGACGTTAAACCCTATTTTGCCACACCTCACCTTCAATGTATTTATTTCCACCTGTCATGTATGTTCCAGCCAAGAAGGGAGAAGCCCGACACTGTCCGGAGTTAGTGCAAGAGAGCGGCTACTACACGGCGGTGCACAGCAACACGTGCTACATGTTCGTCAACAAGGAGGAGTACTGGACGGCTGCGTCCACTCACTGTCAGGGGATGGGGGGCGACCTCATCACCGTTATGAATGGTGGAGTCATGAACTTTCTTAAGTCAGAACTTAATTCCCCAGGTTTGGGCTGGCACAACCAGGGAGTGTGGATTGGAGCCCAGCACTATGAAGACAGAGGATGGGTATGGACTACTGGTAAGTGGGTACTTACAAACTCGGGCTGGTCCACACAGTGATTGTCCTCACATACTAGAGATAGCCTCTCTCTTATACCTTACATACTTACGATAGCCTCTCTCTTATACCTTACATACTTACGATAGCCTCTCTCTTATACCTTTACATATTTAAGATATTTCATATTTGATATCCTCTCTCTTATGTCTTTACATACTTACAATAGCCACACACCGAGAGAGAAAGAGGGAGAGAGAGAGAGAGATTCATGTTTGTATGTTGTTTAACGCTGCACTCAGCAATATTCCAGCTATATGACGGCGGTCTGTAATCATGGTAATAATCAAGTCTGGACCATACAATCCAGTGATTGACATCATGCGCATCGATCCATGCAATTGGGATACAATGACATGCATCAAGCAAGTCACCAAGCCTGACCACCCAATCCCGTTAGTCACCCCTTATGACAAGCACAGGCACCTTTTACGGCAAGCATGGCTTGCTGAAGACCTATTCTACCCCGGATCTTCACGGGTAGAGAGATTCATGATTAAACACGTGGTAGAAACAACTTGGCCTGTATAAATTACGCTTCATGTACATTCTTTTACATCAGCATGGGTTCCATGTTAAGTCCTAATGTCCGAATGTTCACATACAGAGGAGCCTGGCAACCATCAGGCCTCCCTTGTGTATGTGTGTATGTAACAAGCCCCTGTGTCAGTATCGTGGTGCCCACTAGTACATGCAAAGTACTGTAATACGTCAATAGTGATATACCTGCTCTGAGTCAGCCCTTTCATCTTGCGTTTGCTTCTTGTTTCAGGGGAAAAGGTGTCGTACTCCTACTGGGCAAGGAACGAGCCCAGCAAGACGTTACTTTGGTCCATTGAGAACTGTGCCTTGATGAGGCGGGAGGATGGATGGCATTGGCATGACTACCACTGCGGCGCCTTAAAGTACCATTACTACTACATCTGCCAGTTCCGTAAGTCTCAGCTATAATGGAATTACTGATCATTACGTCTGAAGCTAGAGATTTTAAAATATTTTAAATGTTTCACAATTACACTGATTTTGATGAAAGGATATGTTACCTTGGTTACAAGATAGCTATTGTTCAGTACTGATAAAGAGAAATCAACTGGTGTTTATTTACAACAGATGAAACTATTTCTCTGAGTAATATTCTTTTGATTAAAGTAATTGATCTCCCATTTAAGTTTCAAAAATACACTAAGGCAAAAAACATTACCTCTTATCTTGAACATTTTTTAAAGTGAAATCAGAAATTAAGGTTTGTTGGAATAAAAAGTTTTTGAATATGATCCCTTGAATGTGGACATAAGGGATTAGGGAAGTCGAAAGTTCATATGTGGACAGATCAAATATATCTTATATCATCTGACCCTGTAGCGACTATAGCCGTGACCACGCCCACAACCGAGCTACCTGTAATAATCGTTAAGCAACTTGATCTGCGTCTCATGAAACATCATAGTCTAGAAGGTTTGTAGCAAACTCAGAATTTGTCTCCACTGTGTGCTGAAACTAACAATGTTTTATAGTAACCATGGCGACTGTGAGTTTGTCATGCCACAAGTTGACCTGGCTTGCTGCATGCTTGTGGTGTTGTGTTCGTTGATCTTTGGAAGCCTGTGTCCATGATGATTGATCATTTGGTTTTAATGAAGCATAGTTCCATGTTGCTGATGAAACCTGACCTATGTTCTTGGAATCAATAGTTCTTGGCCTCATTTCGTAAAGAGATTGTAGTGATAAGAAGATCGTAGCACACATACTTTCACATATACTCAAGTCTACCCGGAGAGCGGAAGGTTCGGGGTTCGCTCCCCGGCAGCGTCATACCAAAAGACGTTAATAGATAGATGGTACTTGTTGTTACCCCGTCATACCAAAAGACGTTAATAGATAGATGGTACTTGGTGGTACCCCGTCATACCAAAAGACGTTAATAGATAGATGGTACTTGGTGTTACCCCGTCATACCAAAAGACGTTAATAGATAGATGGTACTTGGTGTTACCCCGTCATACCAAAAGACGTTAATAGATAGATGGTACTTGGTGTTACCCCGTCATACCAAAAGACGTTAATAGATAGATGGTACTTGGTGTTACCCCGTCATACCAAAAGACGTTAATAGATAGATGGTACTTGGTGTTACCCTGTCTGGCGCTCGGCATTCAGGGACTAAAACAAGGACTGGTCGGCCCGGAGTCAGCATACTGTGTCTGAGTGGCGTATGTTAAACTGCAACATAGTATCCAGGGTCAGAAACTAACAGTTTTTGTCCACTAGTCCTTAGAATGATAACAGAGCAAAACCCCTAAAATGGGCCAATTTCTACTAGTCCTTAGGATACCTTTACTATTGGGCAGTTTGGTAAGGACTACAGGACTAGTGCCAATTTCTAACGCTGGTATCTCAATGGGCTAGCACTTTATATCGGCATTAGTCCGGACTAGTACAAGCAGCCACACACACGTGCATGCACATCGCTAAATAAGTGCAATAATCTTGGACACACTGTTAAACCCCATTTCACCTCACCTCACATATACTGTCAACAGCCATAGCTCTGAGATCACTTTGTGGAACAGGGCCCTAATGACATGTGGTTTGAAACGTTTCTGTGCGAGTCAGAACTGGGCTGTTTGACTATTAGTCTTAAACTACTTGAACATGTCGGGTAAATATCACATTGGAATAATCAAGTTGTCGCACATTGCAACTCAACAGTGCTTATGTGAACAGTATGATATACAGATGTTTATAGGTGGACATAAAAGAATCATTGACATTGTTAATGTTGAAAGAACTACAATAAGCAATGCCATTAATGACAATATGTTACAAACAGCAAGTGTATAAGGTAGAGTTCATGCAATCATACAAGGGGAGGTAACTCTACTTTCATGTGACTTCAGTGGAAATATTTGCTGACAGCATTAAATGCATGAAGTGCCTTATGTGATAAGTTTGTTAAGATAATTTAAGTGTGCTGTGTTAAATACTTACAAATGCATGCTTTTGAGTGAATTATTTTGTTTGGGTGTACATGGTGTGTTTTCAGCGTGGAGGCAAATTGTTTGGGTTGCTATGATACCGCATGGTCTAGCATGGTATTTGTGGATGATACAGCTATCAAACTGGTACTAATTCTGATCATGAATTTGTCTATGTGAACTGTCAAATGACATTTCCGAACTCAGAAGTCCTGTAATCCAAGTTTACTATGTTTACTGTAAATAAATGATAATTATGTTTAAAATTTATTTTTTTCAAATTTATGTTTTATATTCTCTGTCAAATATAGACATATGTTTTTATAATGAAGTCTGCTTTATATCTTATAGATCATTTACTTTTACTACAACATTTTCATTTATAAAAACAGGAATGAAATCATGTTAATCTCAGGATTAAAGGAATTGAATGAGATTTCTGGGTTAGATTACTTCTTTACAAAACAGGGCCATGGGTGGCCCCAGTCGTCTAAGGCACCCTAATTCACTGTGCAGAGTTGTGTCCCTTGGGTACGCCAGAAACCTGTGATCATGGGTTGGAACCCCGGTTCGCCCGATTATGTTTCTAGGTTTGTCAGCGCCATACCCGTGCTCATGGGTTTCACCAAAGTGGTGAACGTCAAAGAGACCTGTATCACTTTGGGCTTTCCTTCCACAGTAATCTGACACGCCGTGATATAACTGGAATACTGTTCAAAGCAGCGTTAAAAACAACTCACTCTTTATAAAAGATTCACAGCTGAGAACTTAGGCAGCCACTGTGAAGAGTTATGTCCCTAGATTGTGATCCTTGGCTTGACACCACCAGCCTTTGGCAGACACTAAGACTTATTCAGAGCTAATCCACAACTCATTTCTAAGCATAGCTATATTATTGGGAGAAAATAGCTAGCCCTTCCAAATGTTCACTAGTATCATACCAGTGGACTAGCGGCCATTTCTAACCCTGCCATGTCCATTGGTTACAAGGGCAGTCGGGTTGCCTAGTGGTTAAAGCGTTCGCTCATCACGCCGAAGACCCGGGTTCGATTCCCGACATGGGCACAATATGTGAAGCCCATTTCTGGTGTCCCCCGCCGTGATATTGCTGGAATATTGCTAAAAGCGGCGTAAAACCATACTCACTCACTCCCATTGGTTACAAACTGTGTCACTCCATGATATGACAGAAATACTGTCACAGCTACGTTATGCCAAGTGACTGTGAGCCAGGAGTGGACCTGGGTTACCTCTGAGATGCCTATGCCTTGTTACATGCTGTATACTGCCATTGTGTTGTGTTTTTCTCCAGCCATTGCCCACTCCTACCAAGACAATGGCCACCTGGCCCACACGGCCTCCTCGGGACAACAGGAGGACAATGGAAACAGTGAGTTCTCACATCAGCAGCATTTCTTTACAACAGATATGGTTTTTGAAATTAGGCTTAAAAAAATTAAATAACTGGTTCTCAGGCAATGGTTTTTGAAAATATTGTGCGGGCGGGCAGTGTGTTTTTTGTTGTTGTTCAAACTAGTATGTAACCAAATAAACAGTTGTGTAACCAAATAAACAGTTGTGTACAATCAGCCAGGGAAAGGGCCTCCCTACATAAATATATTCCTTGATGAATAAAATACTTCAATACAGTATTTTACTACCATTGGATTTTTTGGTTGTTTTTTAAAATAGAAATAAAAACGAAAGGGGGACGAACTTTATGATGATGCGGGCAGTGCCTGAGAACCAAGACCATTTTAATTTTTTTTCCTATAATTACAATGTTTGTTTGTATTAAATTTATTTTGAACATCTTTTGTTTTGTATCATTGTTTTAACATCTTCCTTAAATATGAAATTAAGAAACAAGTCTTTTGTGTGATAGATAATTAGTAATCCTGCACTCATGGATTATTGCATTTGTACACTGGCAGCATGTGAGAAAACAGGTATATTCACATACTGCAATGTGGCCAGGAATACTGACAAGGTCAGAAATGGTCTTGTCAGTGTTTGTGTCCAGTGATCGAAGTGTTATGTGAGGGACATGATTAGTACGGGACCAGCCACAAATGTTCCCAAATCCTGCACGGTACAGTCTTTCCCTGGTCATAAATGGAATCGGTGGTCAAATCCGCTGATTTAGCTTGTTGTCATACCCCGACAGTGTCAATCGTTGCTTACAGTATCGATCACTGGATTGTCTGGTCGTCCTTACTTATTTACCTGGCCACCTTCATATAGCTGGGTGTGACTTTAAGCAACAAACAAACCTTACCCTTGAGGACAGTTTTAAGTTTTGCTATGTTTTGCTATTCCAGTGTCCATCCTGTTGACTGTGATTGGGTTTGCTGGCCTCGTCATCTTTGCGATGCTGCTCATCTTCTTCATCTACAGAAAGAGGTACAGTCCTTCAACCAAATAATATCAGGACTGTGTAATAGTCTAACCTCCAGACACCTCCCTCATGAGCAATCATGTCTACTGGACAATCCAAACAGGAGTAGCAGGTCCTGGGTCTTCTAGACATATACTTTGTTGTCACAATACGATCTTAGCGCTAAGACAAGACAGTCGTAAGTCTATTTTACTCTACATGAACATAGACTTACGACAGTCGTAGAGCTAAGATTGCTTTGTGAAACGGGCCCGAGAACTACTTTTGTTATCATGAACACACAATGTCATTTAGAAAGTGGTCAAATGTAACAAATGTTATATTTGGGATAATGCTTTCTTAGTAAAGTACAGATTCAAGTACTTTTTTGGTTGAATCCCATCCGGGATTCAAACCCACACTGCCAGAGTGAGACACCTAATCGCCAGCACACAAAGTCAGCAATCTAACCCACTCAGCCACCGAGGCTTCCACAAAAATGAAACTCCGACAACTGGTAGTCGAGATCACATACTTTGTGTACCCCTCTGACAAGTGTAAATTGGCACGGCTCCCATGGCCAAAAGCTATCAATACACAATGGCATTTAGAAAGTGGTCAAATGTAACAAATGTTTTATTTGGGATAACAGTTTCTTAGTAAAGTACAGATTCCACTACGTTTTTGGTTTTTCTTGGTATTGCGTTAATACAGTAGTTACTTGCTCCATGAAGCAATCGTAACATGACCATTATCGTCAGTCCATGTTTAAGTATGAGTTATGGTGATTTTCGTGCTAAGATAGATTTGTGGAACAGAGCCCTGGTTAGGTTGTTTTACACATGTTTGTCAGGGATTCAGGGCAACTCACTCACTCACTCACTCACTCACTCACTCACTCACTCACTCTTTATAAACAATGATGGTTGTTTCTGTTGCAGGCAACGAGACAAGCACAATGTGGAGGAGATGGTTGTGAGATACGACAACCAGGCATACGGACGCGTCCATCAGAACGAGCAGGGTTACGGGGCAGGAGGGGACAACGACTCCAACGGCCGACGCCCAGTCAGCAGCATGTACATGTCCCCTGACGAGGTCAACACACTGTATGAGGAGGTCAACAAGGAAGTCAACCACGGCGTTAACACGTTCAGGAAGGAGACGAACTGCCTAGCAGGTCAACCACCTCCCCCTCCACCTCCCAGGTCCGATTCAGCCTCAGCGGTATCTCTCAGTGAAGGTGGAGCATCAGGATTTGCGAGCAGTGACAACTTCTCCGCATCCCCGGAAGAACCCTATACGGAGCCTTTGATTGAAGCTACCTCCAAAGAGGAGAGTGACTCAAAGGGATGTAACCTGTATGTGGACATGAAGGGGGGGTCTAAGTCTTCGGCTCTTGATGTTCCCCCTGAGAAGATGAAGAAGCTGATGGAAGAACACACCTACACAAACACTTCCGAGGTTAATTCTGACACGGAGAATCACTATGAAGACCTCCCAGCTCGACTGTGAAGTGTCACCAGGTTTGAGTCTTGTGACATAGACAAAAGGGGTTATGACAATGCTTGACCCGGGAGAGAAATACGTGTGTATTATTACTCTTCCTCAGTGAGGTTGATAGACTGTCATCAGCTGAACTAGTCATTCTAGTCAATCCTCTTGCACAGTGTCATACAATGTTTATCTTTGCTGTGATGTAATTTTCAAGACTTTTTTAATGACAAAAGCACTGTCCATCCGCGAGTATTCAGGCATGAATGTAATTGATGCTGGTGTCCATTGAAGCTTTAACATCTGGAGGTCTGCGTGGACAATCAAAACCAGTTCTGTGTACTGTGTACTAAGTAGACAGACGCCCAGTCGACCCACCTTCAGCACCACCCGTGATCTGTGACCTGGGACAAAGTTCATTCACTGAGCACATGGCTCATGCAGCCTGGGGTCGCCAACATGTGCTGCTTTTCATCCTGCTCTGCGGCCTCGCCCAGAGTTAAGACTGAAACAAAACCGACACTGTCATCCAAATCAAAGGCAACACTCTTTTAATTTTATGTTTCATGGATTTATTCCAGCTTTTCCATACACGGTTGGTCGAAATAAAAAAATGTAAATAATTTTTATTTATATGATAGGTATGAGGTGGCCTCACTGATAGTGATAGATGGACACAGAATTTATATACTAGTATAGCATTTTGCATTGTATAAAAGGGTCTATATTTTAGCGGGACACATAAATAATAAAACTAAATATTTTTATGTTTTCAATAGGGGCAGCATGCCTGTGAAGCGAAAAATAAAAAATGTGTGGCCTAAAGATTCTTCCGTGATGGAACAGTTCTGGCTTTTATTTCTTGAAATGTTAGCGATGAATCAGGATACCCAACATGGCAGAGCATGTGTTGTTGCGCCCTCTGGTGGTCCATGAACACTATGAACTGTGCAGACATACTGAGTATGAGATCTATCCATCAAGCTGGTCCTGCTGCTGGGGGACCATATTAACAGTTGCTATGGGTACGATCCGTCTATAAATGGGAGGCGTTCTACGTACAGCCCAAATGTGGATAGGGATACGCAGCATCTTCCCACTGTGGACATACATGGTACATGGTACATGTAATATCATGTATCATGGAATATTCTTATCACATGTTGAGTAGTATTGATACAATTATATTTTGTTTGTGTGACTACAACTTTTATAATTTATCAGTTTGAAAAAAATCTATTTATGATGGATGATTAGTTATATTTCAAAATGGCCTTTGTATAATGAAGTAGCTAGTTTCCAGCATTGTGCTGTAATGATTTAGATTAATTTACTGGCGTTGATAGAAGCTGCATTCTGATGGTTAACCACCTTTTAATTTGATTACCAATTGCATTTTTACCATAGACTCCTAGTAATTGACAATACTGAGTAAAGAACTTGGTGCAGTTAGAGTATACAGGTGCATAGTTTGAAAAGTCTGAACCAGGCTTAAGTCTTGAGGCATGAAGTAACTGATGGGTGATTTTCCATGTAATAATACAGTGCCAGAGAGTATATAAAATATCCCTATTGGTAACCATCCGTGTCATGCCATTTAGAGTGGCTTTGTTGCATCATCTTGAAACATGATTTATTTGTAATTTCTTAGATTTTCATTCATACTATAGGGCAGCTAGGGAAGTTAGTTTTCAGATACGTAGCATTTTGCCATCTAAGATGTTAATGTTGTGTGTATATTTACTATTTTAGTGCGGTAGTTTTGCTTCAAAGAGTTTCACTTAAACCATACCGGAGCATTAAGGGTTTTCTTATATGTGCTTTCTATCACCAGTGTATATGTAGAAATGCATATGTGTATTTTAAGTTTTGCCTTACTGCTTATATAGAATACGTATTCCACAGACTAGATGTTCCAGGTGCCACGTAATCAACCAGTACGTACTTGTATCTACCATCTATCATCATATGCATGTTTGTCCCTCTCAAGGTGATTGCTGAGTCAGCAAGTTATGTATTAATGGCTGCCTTAAGTAGTATTTGGGAATTGCTGACTCATAATATCCAAATAGTATTCAATGGAAGAAACAGTTACGTAATTTCATATTATGCCACAGTTTTCTTCTTTGTTTTTTTGTTTTCTATTATTGAAAAATAAAATTAGAGATTTTAATCTTAAATATTTGACAGATGTTTTGCTTTTAAGATTGTTTTCTAGATATTTCTTATTACTTGTTTATTTCATAACAATTAGAACAATCTAAACAGTAACGTTTATTCTTAAAATGGGATGGGCAAAACGTAAACTAAGACATATTATAAAATTGTCTTGGGTCATTTCTCAGCAAGTCTGAATGTCCTAAACAGAATATTGATAGAAAAGCTCCTCATAGCTTGCGTTCTTCTTTTCTCTTAAATACCTTTTCATTATGGCAAGTGGGCTACATGGCAAGTGTTGCTAGATATCAGTCCCTGCTATTGTGTTGTCTAGACTTCACTACTGTGCAACATGGCTGAGCTGTCCAAGAGTAGACACAGCAGTGGCACAACCAAGTCATCTGTATGATAGTATATATATATTTCTACTGTATACCATGGTTTACCAACCAACAAGTCATCTTTTTATCTCAAATGTTGTCATGAAATGACGTATAGTTTTAATTGTTATCCATGTACCACCACTCTCCATGTGTGTATACCATCCCCGTGGTATAATCATGTTATCTCCAGTGTATCCATCTGTAGGCCCACAGCAGGGATAACATCCACTCTCCATGTGTGTATATCACCCCTGTGGTATAATCATGTTATCTGTATGCCCACAGCAGGGATAACACCCACTCTCCATGTGTGTATATCACCCTTGTGGTATAATCATGTTATCTGTATGCCCACAGCAGGGATAACACCCACTCTCCATGTTCCACCACTCTTCATGTGTGTATATCACCCCGTGGTATAATCATGTTATCCCCAGTGTATCCATCTGTAGGCCCACAGCAGGGATAACACCTACTCTCCATGTGTGTATATCACCCCTGTGGTATAATCATGTTATCTGTATGCCCACAGCAGGGATAACACCCACTCTCCATGTGTGTATATCACCCCTGTGGTATAATCATGATATCTGTATGCCCACAGCAGGGATAACACCCACTCTCCATGTGTGTATATCACCCTTGTGGTATAATCATGTTATCCCCAGTGTATCCATCTGTAGGCCCACAGCAGGGATAACACCTACTCTCCATGTGTGTATATCACCCCTGTGGTATAATCATGTTATCCCCAGTGTATCCATCTGTAGGCCCACAGCAGGGATAACACCTACTCTCCATGTGTGTATATCACCCCTGTGGTATAATCATGTTATCCCCAGTGTATCCATCTGTAGGCCCACAGCAGGGATAACACCCACTCTCCATGTGTGTATATCACCCCCGTGGTATAATCATGTTATCCCCAGTGTATCCATCTGTAGGCCCACAGCAGGGATAACACCCACTCTCCATGTGTGTATATCACCCCTGTGGTATAATCATGTTATCCCCAGTGTATCCATCTGTAGGCCCACAGCAGGGATAACACCTACTCTCCATGTGTGTATATCACCCCTGTGGTATAATCATGTTATCCCCAGTGTATCCATCTGTAGGCCCACAGCAGGGATAACACCCACTCTCCATGTGTGTATATCACCCCTGTGGTATAATCATGTTATCCCCAGTGTATCCATCTGTAGGCCCACAGCAGGGATAACACCTACTCTCCATGTGTGTATATCACCCCTGTGGTATAATCATGTTATCCCCAGTGTATCCATCTGTAGGCCCACAGCAGGGATAACACCCACTCTCCATGTGTGTATATCACCCCTGTGGTATAATCATGTTATCCCCAGTGTATCCATCTGTAGGCCCACAGCAGGGATAACACCTACTCTCCATGTGTGTATATCACCCCTGTGGTATAATCATGTTATCCCCAGTGTATCCATCTGTAGGCCCACAGCAGGGATAACACCCACTCTCCATGTGTGTATATCACCCCTGTGGTATAATCATGTTATCCCCAGTGTATCCATCTGTAGGCCCACAGCAGGGATAACACCTACTCTCCATGTGTGTATATCACCCCTGTGGTATAATCATGTTATCCCCAGTGTATCCATCTGTAGGCCCACAGCAGGGATAACACCCACTCTCCATGTGTGTATATCACCCCTGTGGTATAATCATGTTATCCCCAGTGTATCCATCTGTAGGCCCACAGCAGGGATAACACCTACTCTCCAGGTGTGTATATCACCCATGTGGTATAATCATGTTATCCCCAGTGTATCCATCTGTAGGCCCACAGCAGGGATAACACCTACTCTCCATGTGTGTATATCACCCATGTGGTATAATCATGTTATCCCCAGTGTATCCATCTGTAGGCCCACAGCAGGGATAACACCCACTCTCCATGTGTGTATACCACCCCCGTGGTATAATCATGTTATCCCCAGTGCATCCATCTGTAGGCCCACAGCAGGGATAACACCCACTCTCCATGTGTGTATATCACCCCCGTGGTATAATCATGTTATCTGTAGGCCCACAGCAGGGATAACACCTACTCTCCATGTGTGTATATCACCCCCGTGGTATAATCATGTTATCCCCAGTGTATCCATCTGTAGGCCCACAGCAGGGATAACACCTACTCTCCATGTGTGTATATCACCCCTGTGGTATAATCATGTTATCCCCAGTGTATCCATCTGTAGGCCCACAGCAGGGATAACACCCACTCTCCATGTGTGTATATCACCCCCGTGGTATAATCATGTTATCCCCAGTGTATCCATCTGTAGGCCCACAGCAGGGATAACACCCACTCTCCATGTGTGTATATCACCCCTGTGGTATAATCATGTTATCCCCAGTGTATCCATCTGTAGGCCCACAGCAGGGATAACACCTACTCTCCATGTGTGTATATCACCCCTGTGGTATAATCATGTTATCCCCAGTGTATCCATCTGTAGGCCCACAGCAGGGATAACACCCACTCTCCATGTGTGTATATCACCCCTGTGGTATAATCATGTTATCCCCAGTGTATCCATCTGTAGGCCCACAGCAGGGATAACACCCACTCTCCATGTGTGTATATCACCCCTGTGGTATAATCATGTTATCCCCAGTGTATCCATCTGTAGGCCCACAGCAGGGATAACACCTACTCTCCATGTGTGTATATCACCCCTGTGGTATAATCATGTTATCCCCAGTGTATCCATCTGTAGGCCCACAGCAGGGATAACACCCACTCTCCATGTGTGTATATCACCCCTGTGGTATAATCATGTTATCCCCAGTGTATCCATCTGTAGGCCCACAGCAGGGATAACACCTACTCTCCATGTGTGTATATCACCCCTGTGGTATAATCATGTTATCCCCAGTGTATCCATCTGTAGGCCCACAGCAGGGATAACACCCACTCTCCATGTGTGTATATCACCCCTGTGGTATAATCATGTTATCCCCAGTGTATCCATCTGTAGGCCCACAGCAGGGATAACACCTACTCTCCAGGTGTGTATATCACCCATGTGGTATAATCATGTTATCCCCAGTGTATCCATCTGTAGGCCCACAGCAGGGATAACACCTACTCTCCATGTGTGTATATCACCCATGTGGTATAATCATGTTATCCCCAGTGTATCCATCTGTAGGCCCACAGCAGGGATAACACCCACTCTCCATGTGTGAATACCACCCCCGTGGTATAATCATGTTATCCCCAGTGCATCCATCTGTAGGCCCACAGCAGGGATAACACCCACTCTCCATGTGTGTATATCACCCCCGTGGTATAATCATGTTATCTGTAGGCCCACAGCAGGGATAACACCTACTCTCCATGTGTGTATATCACCCCCGTGGTATAATCATGTTATCCCCAGTGTATCCATCTGTAGGCCCACAGCAGGGATAACACCCACTCTCCATGTGTGTATATCACCCCCGTGGTATAATCATGTTATCTGTAGGCCCACAGCAGGGATAACACCTACTCTCCATGTGTGTATATCACCCCCGTGGTATAATCATGTTATCCCCAGTATATCCATCTGTAGGCAGGGATCTGGTCAAGCCATGAGATGCTGCCATCCATCAGTACCAATCTATATAGACATCAAACTTTTTTCATTTTATTGTCCATTTCTTTAGTATTTTTATTTTCATACATGTGTTCTGCTGTGTTCTGTCATGTATTAACTATACATCAACCAGTATTAGATTTGTCTCAACAAGAGTGTAAAACAGTACGCCTCTCTTGCTTGAGGCTTTTTCCACTGTTGTTGGTCTAAACAACCAGACGAAGAAGTCAATTCTATGAAAATTGTTAAGGATTGTTTACATTTCCTGGTCATATATGACGGCGGTCTGTAAATAATCGAGTCTGGACCTCACAATCCAGTGATTAACATCATGAGCATCGATCCACGTGATTGGGATACAGTGACGTGCATTGACCAAGTCAGCGAGCCTGACCACCCGATCCCTTTCGTCGCCTCTTATGACAAGCATAGTCGCCTTTTAAGGCAAGCATGGGTTGCTTAAGACCTATTCTACCCTGAATCTTCACAGGTCCAAAATAAGAAAAGAAAAATCAGAAACACATATTTGACAAGATGATGTCTTTAACGTAGTGTCGACCAAGTGAAACATATAAAATAAAATAAAACATATAGTGTATCTCTATATGACAAGTCAAGGTGCTACTTTCCCTCTCGTACTGAGGGGGGTCGGGTAGCCTAGTGGTTAAAGCGTTCGCTCGTCACGCCGAAGACCCGGGTTCGATTCCCGACATGGGTACAATGTGTGAAGCCCATTTCTGGTGTTCCCCGCCGTGATATTGCTGGGATATTGCTAAAAGCGGCGTAAAACCATACTCACTCACTCACTCTCGTACTGACCTGGAATTATCATTATGATAATCAGTCAACAGCCAGTGGAGACAATTCTCAGTTTGTGTTGAGTCAGCAGAACCCTTGGAGAAAACACCTGATGATAACAGACAGGTTCAACAATGGAGCTGTTTGTGTCTGTGTAATAAGTAGTATCCATGTCATACTGAGGCTGGGATTTTTTAAAACTTGGTTGAAATGTTGAAAAAAATGAAAAAGAGAAGCAGTTATTAATTCCACAGAAATGAGTAAAATTATTTAAAATACTTTAATTAAAACCTGTTGAAAATTTATCTTAAAAATGCCCACGTCCACTTTCTTTTCTTTCTTTTTCTACCCACTTAACATTTTGAGGAAATGAAACAAAAATAGTTGAAATTGGATGTTTTTAAATATTCTTTTTAACCAGAATGAAATATATACCATATATGACTGTAGATAAGCCAAATTTTGCAGACCAGAAAAAAGATTCTGAAGAAAGGTGTCAACCTTTGTAAAGGTTATGCTTCAATCAAACTCTTTTTCTGTTGGTAAAACAACTACATTGTATTCCTGCAGGTGAATGAACAACGCTATAGCAAACTGTGTCAATGAAATTGTAAAAATTTGCAATTGAACATCACTAGACATGATGATTTACCATTTCAGTTGTATTTCTTGTTATGCCAGGCATTCTTTTATATGCAGGGATTAAGATTACCGTGTAAAAAGTCTGGCATTGTTTGACATTTGATGTTTTATACAATGATTTACGGTAGATGTTCTTTTCCTTATTTGCTTATACCTTGGCATCTACAGTAATCATTGCTATCCATTGTACCAGTGTAACTGTCCCCCGTCTTGATGAATTGTCCATGATTGTTGAATTACACAAGATATTATGTGTTGACTGTACAGTTTTTAGGTTTATACTCCAATGAATTGTAGATAGTGTTTCATGAAGTAGTCATGCTGTAAATAGTTGTATAGACGTGCGTGAGGACTCTGTGATAGCAGTAGTGTAGAATGCACCTGGAAGGAGGGCAGGCTTTATGGCCTGGGGGTGCCCGCAGGGGGGTGGGAATTTCAAATTATTGACTTACCCCTGGGCAATTTTAAACTGTAAAAAGTCACTTGTCCAGAAACAATTTGTCACTCATTGCTCACCCCAGAATCCCAAGTACTGCTAAACACAAGTCTCAGAAGCATTGAGAAAAGGTGCAGTTTGATGTTAAATTATTGAAAAAATATCAAGAAAAAATTGAATATAAAATTTTGTATTTTGTTTTTTTGGTTTAAATTTTAACTCTGCACAGCAAATATGATTTTTATTTGCATCCCGCGTACCACCCCGAGTTACGAATACCATTTAAATTGACACCAGAATCCTGCACACCAAAAGGTAATTGTCCAGGTAATTTACCAAAAACTGTTTTTCTTACTGCCGTTTTGACATTGATGAAAATGTTTTTGTTTCTCCATGGCTTTTTAGGCAGACAGTGCGACCTGCCATGACTTCTGACAATATGTTGTGTAGAAGGCGTGCCCTGAAGTGTGATCAGAATCAGGTGAAGGAAGTATGGGATGTTTGTACTTTTAGAAAACTATATTTAATACTTGTTACAAATAATTTCTCATAATTGACTTAAGGTCTGCTAAGTTTAATGGTTGCCCACGGGTGCGTGAACCTGATTCTTTTGCTTGTTCGGAAGTCTCACATGATGAAGCGTTGATGTTCCACCCCCAGAGTGATAAGGTCTACACATTGTAAATAGTGCCGGAGACAGAGACATTACCAGACAACTGATACACAGAATTAGCTGATAACCAAAGTGTTGGAACAACTGCAATCAAACTTGCTGGGGCTGCCAATCTGCCGGAGCCTGGTCCCCCTTTAAGATCACCTGATTTATGAAGTCACAATGTAGAAAAATATGATATCACCATGACAAATATGTCAGCTTTTATGTACCAGCATATTATGAAAGTGTTTGATTCACATTTCTTGAAGCAAAAAAACAATTTTTTATCATTTATACCAAACACTTCTATACAAAGTCAATTCAGATGTAAAACATTAGTCTTTTTTGTTACATGTTTATTATTACTGTTTGACTCTGTACACTGGAAGTTCAGGCCATAGTCCAGGACAGTCTCTTCCCCCTCCCCGCGTAGCAGGTAATATTGAGGAGCATATTTGCTTATATCAAATTGTCATTGTTTGAAAGGTATTAAGTTCAATGCCTCTTTGTTAATTATTGATTTAAATAATCTCTGTCACTAAAGGTAATAAAAGGCATGTTCTTTCATTCTTAAACCGTTCGTATCTAAGTTACCGGTTTGCCATGTTGTTTTATAGTGAACACGTAAATGCATTTGGTCACTGCCTCGACTCCCTCATCAGCCATTGTTGTGTATAGGTCACAGTCAATCTGAAATTACACTTATCGTCATGGCAACAGCTTCTGACTGCATGATCAATAAACTATGGTCTTTTTATTGCAAAATGTTGTCTTGTTGTTTCTTGAAGGTAAATTGATACGACAGCTAACCAATGCAGCAGCGAGTGAATGTTGTTTTACACAAATATTTCATCCAATATGACGTCATCAAGTTGTGATCGCATGTTCAAATCTCCAGAAATGACGTCATGATAGAACAATGTTTTATTGTGATGAAGAACACATTCTTCAGTGTTCTTGCGATTTGTCGCGTATCTGTCTTATATTAGGGATTATGGTTATGGGATAGGGGTTATGATAGTCACTTTCTGAAGTGGGACCGAGATCCTGATTTAGTCTGCATGGTTTACTGGGAGACTATTCTTTCCAAATATTCGACACGACAACCCAACTGCTTCAGTCATAGGTTTTGTCATCTTCCCGAGGCAAGAGAGTTAACTGACTAAGAAAAGTCTAGTTTACACCCTTGCCGAACTAGGCTGGTATTATGGTAACGTTTTGGCTTGGCTAACGAGTCTATGCATAGTCCATTCAAAATCGCGCAATGAAATCGAAATTTCGGTCGATTGCAGGATTTGCAAAGCATGTTTCCAGGCCAACTTGTCAGCAGATATTTTCCAAACCTTTTCATGTTTTTAATCAAGGTGCCCGCGTGATTTGATGCACCTCGCGATGAAAGACCCGTTTTATGACAATATAGACCTTGATGATCGACCATATCTTCTTGACTGGGCGCCACCGTTTTGTTTGAAACAAATGCAAGGGATGGAATCTGATTTGTCCATAGGAGAGGCTTAGAAGGGACATAACTTGTAATAACCACTGGCGGCGCTACGATCAAGCCCAGGAATTCCAGCCAAGTTCGGCAAGGGTGGAAACTGGACTTTTAAAGTCAGTTAACTCTCTTGCCTCGGGAAGAGGAGGTTTTGTAAATTGGGTGTCACACACTCTTCTCTGCTATTTACCAGAGATGGAGCAATACACACATTCCTGATCAAGTTTGTATCTTGATGGTGAAGTCCTGACACAATACATATTCTGATGCAACCGTGAAGATCCGGGGTAGAATAGGTCTTCAGCAGTCCATGCTTGCTGTAAAAGGCAACTATGCTTGTCGTAAGAGGTGACTAATGGGATCGGTTGGTCAGGCTTGCTGACTTGGTGGATGCATGTCATCGTATCCCAATTGTGTGGATTGATGCTCATGATGTCAATCACTGGATCATCTGGTCCAGACTCAATTATTTACACACTGCCGTCATAGACCTGAAATATTGCTTGTGTCATTTTGACAGGCAGTGTCATTTTATTAGCAGATATTCAAATGCATGGCAGTCAAAATCCTCAACTTTAGTGAAAATACTGTGCCAATGTCTTAGTATACTGAAGTTATTGTGCTAGGTTTACATAACAACTTAGAAAAAGTTAGTAAGGCTTAAAAAAATAAGAATTGGATCTCAGGCAATGACCTTTGAAAATATAGTGCAGGCAGGTGTTTGTTTTTTGTTTTGCCTGTTCAAACTAGTATGCAAGCAAATGAACCTGGAAAAGGGCCTCCCTTCATAAACAAGCATACATAGAGAGAATCTCACCCTTGTGTCTTGACATTGGCAAGCCTCGGAGTTTTTCCACTTTCATCAACGAGTGTTGATATATTTGATATCCAAAGACACGAGGGTGAGATTTTATTTATCATCCAACGTCATTCTTCCAACTTCTTCAGTTTGTAGATAGAGATTACTACACGAGTGTCTGTCAGATACCATTGATCTTACAACGAGTTGTTTCAAAACGTATCTAACGAGCTAAAGCGAGTTAGATACGTTTTGTAACAACGAGTTGTATAGCAGCTGAGTTTGAAATATACTTGATCGAATAGGTGTCTCATAACCGGCATTTTGTAAACACAATCCAATATGGCTGAACGTACACTTTGGCATTCGTGTATGCGTATTTTCCAAAACATTCTAAACGATTCTAGGCTTATCAGCTATGTTGCAGACTTATCATTAGTGATTTGATACCCGTGATCACTAATATGCTATTTTTCTACTTTAAATTATTCGAGTAAATATCCGATATTTAGATTTCTAAACACACAGTAAATAACGTCGTTAATTGTGATTTGGCGAGATTCACAATGCACCTAATTTTCAGAAGTCACTTTCAGTAAATTTGCCTTGCCTAAAATGACAGCAAATGATAAACAAAAGAGTGAATTCAAAACTGCGAAGTGTATTAGTTTGCGTGATGTATTTTTAATTTTATTCGCCTTCGAAGTGAGGGTTGAAGAGGAGTAACATATGTGTCACTGTAGCATCCAGGGGGTTCACACTCTAAAAAACGATAATGTTGACATAACAACAGATAATGTAACTGATAATAATAACAAACAAACTCGCAGGCGAGGACAAGTTTGATTATTTTTATTATTAATTACACGGTCCTGTTGTTCAATACAGACGTAGGTGAACATTCGACTGAAGCACGAGCAACTTATGAATGACTTGCACTCAGGAAAGTAGTCTGTCATTATCTGACCTCAAGTCATCACTATGAAGTAGCCAATCACGGGCCTGGAATTGGATCTCACACATATGTTTGATACCAGTTATCTCAAATTGGTTTCTCGCCCACAGGTGTGTAAGAAACTCCTATTGCCGCCATGACCATAACATGAGATGCGCAGTGAAGCAGTGCGCCTGTAAAGGGAAGTAACTGCGCGCTATATTGGTTCACATTGTTTTTAAGTATTAGTATTAACGTGTGGCAGACATTATGATGATGCAGGCGGTGCCTGAGAACCAATTATCTTTTTTAGGTTTGTATCAATACATCCACTTATGATCAACAATCATATGAAACTTTCATGGGTAATTCATCCCACTCCTGCTATTACCAGGTATCTTGAGCAAAAACCTCAAAATCATATCGGTGTCCTCTGATGACTGTCCTCTACAGTAAATCATTTACATTATCTACAGTAAAGCAGACAAACAGACATCAGGTGTAAGAACATTAATGATTTTATTGATCAGATTCCATTAGAAAATGAAACAAAGATACAAAGGAGACATTTCATTTGAACATTTACAAAACACGCAAAGATTTGGAAGGAGAACAAAATAGTTATTGCTTTGTTGGCAGTAATAGACACATGAGGTTCATTTCCATGATACAAAGTGTATCAGTGACTGCATGAGTTTGGTTTTCACAGCTTTCAGCAGTATTAGGGCGGGAGACACCAGCAATGGTTTCCCACATTGTAATAGCATGTTGGGAATCAAAACAGGGTCTTTGGCCTGACAAGCAAACGCTTTAACATCTAGGCTAGACCACTGCCCCCAAGTCTTCAGCTGTGCTAAAGATGGCCCTAGTCCTGGTATATAGATATTCAGAGAGGTGATGTTTAACCTCCGACATTGTACTGTAGAATAAGTTTTCAGACAGGTGATGTTTAACCTCCAAGAAAATACTACAGAATAAATATTGAGACAGGTGATGTTTAACCTCCAAGAAAATACTAAAGAATAAATATTGACATAGGTGATGTTTAACCTCCAAGAATATACTACAGAATAAATATTGACACAGGTGATGTTTAACCTCCAAGAATATACTACAGAATAAATATTCAGACAGGTGATGTTTAACCTCCAAGAAAATACTATAGAATAAATATTCAGACAGGTGATGTTTAACCTCCAAGAAAATACTATTGAATAAATATTCAGACAGGTGATGTTTAACCCCCAAGAATTTACTGCCGAATAAGTACTTAGGCATAATGTTTAACTTCCAAGAATATACTGTTGAAGAAATGTTCAGACAGGTGATGTTCAACCTCCAAGAAAATACTCAAGAATAATTATTCAGACAGGTGATGTTTGAACCCCAAGAATGTACCGTAGATTAAGAATTCAAGCAACTAATAAGAAGTTTTCTATCATGTATAATTAAAAGGTACCGGGTACATTATTGTAAGAAAGATCTATCTAAGCTATATGGTCACCATACTCTGTCATTACAGCGAGTTCATTGGACATATTGCTAATCCATTCCACCTGCACTGCTCTTGTCTGAAGGCATCGTGGAGCTCTGTCGGTATAGTTATCATATTTGTAAGAGCCAGGTCATAATTATGGTTAAAACGGCTTTACAGGCTATCTGAGTGGTAACATGGTCATGAGACAAACATCAGATTCAAGGTCATAACCCATACAGGCTTTAAGATATGACATGAATTCCTGATTCATCTCCTACTGAAAATACAGTGTATGGGAATCACACTTCGATCAAGCAGCCTGCAATGATCTGAAGATATTTAACCTAATATTAGCTCTATACTATGTGTCATTAACATTTAAGTTAATCAATTTGCTACCTACCCTGTACAGAACATAGAAACAAAATGTCCTATAGAATAACATTTTTTCAACAAACCTCTATTGTATATAGAGTCAACACTTGAATAACAAAAATAAAACCCTTTCAGTCGTTCAACGAAACAATGTTAAATATTTGATGACAGTGATCCATGTCATCAAATAATATGAATAACAATTAATTAAAACAGACATCCAAAAATGTTTTTCTGAACAAGCAATTATCCTGATATCAGTGGCAACAGTGCATTTCTAAACCCTGTTTAGGGTTGGTCATCCGTGAATATACATTATTGTTTTACATTCATAGAATAGTATACTGTATGTTACCCGGTATGAAAACACAGATAATTCATTACATGCATCTCACTTTCCTATTTGTCCAGCTGAAAAAGCATATTGCATCAACAAATAAATACAGTTTACTCTTTGTTCATTTGCAATTTTGTCTCAATTTGCATTGCTGCATTCCAATCACGTCATTATAGCATTGTTTCTGTGTTCTGAGAAATGACATAAACCTTGACCTTGTATGGATACAGATTAGGTGACCTTGACCTTGTTTGAATGCAGATGTAATGACCTTGACCTCATGATCAAAATGAGTTGCCATGACCTTGTATCAAATTCCTATATCATGACCTTGACCTAGTTCCGACCAACCACTGCCTGGAGCAACTTCTTGTAGTCTCCGCTACAGTCGTCCTTGAGCCAGTTCCACAGAGTCTGCTTCGTGAGCTGAAGGAAACACTCCTTTATCTGAACCATATCAATCTGAAAATGCACAGGGTATGAACTGTAAAACAGTATTTATAATGTCATACTCTTCACATTGTTTAGGCTATTAAAACGTTTCTTTTTAGGCCACACTTGGAAATGGAAATATCAACCATTACAAGGCTAACATAATGCAAATATGGCTTAAAAAATAAAATAACTGGTTCTCAGGCAATGACTTTTAAAAAAAAAAGTGTGGGTGGGTGATGGTATTTTTGTTGTTGCTTGTTCAAACTTAGTATATACTAAGTAAACAGTTGTGTACCATCAACCTCCCTACATAAAGGACCATTACACAAGGTGCACAGTAAAGCAGTGCACATGTAAAGGGAAGAAACGCCTTGCTATATTTGATCGCAATTCTTTTAAGTATTGGGATTTTTAAAATTTCTTTTGAAAATGGAAATAAAAACGAAATATCTGGCAGACTGAATGATGATGCAGGTGGTGCCTGAGAACCAAGACAATCATTTTTTCAGCCTATACTGAACTGCAAAAGAAACATCACTTCAAACAAATAATTCATGAAAGATTCCCATTGAAATATCAATGCATTTTTTTTATTAATTATTTCATTAAATACGGTAATAAGAAAATTTAAAAAATGCTTTTGTTCAATGAAAATAATTCCTCTAATTTGCCTTCTGCCTCTAGGCACACTGACCAAGAAAGTCTGTAAAACAACAACAAAACTGGTCTAGTCTTGAATTCAAATGCTTGATGAAAACTGTCAATATTCCATGAATTCTCGTTCAAATGGAAACTGCAACATGTGCGTACCTCGGACCGGGAGATGATGATCCTGATGAGAGTTTTATCTGCCGTACCAAGTCCTTTCATGGCATCTCTCAACTTCTCCGCAAAGTACATCGGTCGACAGCGGATGTTCATTGCTGAGAAACACAAGGGAATTTCTTGTTTGTTATTAAGTTTTTGTACCAAGAATGTATCACAAACAAAGATCTTAAAGTGTTTTTTTGTTTTTTTCAAACTATCAATATTGCTGAGCAGGTTCACGGTGACACAGACATAGTGCTTTATATGAACAGTGGTCCAATTATTTTTAAAGAGTTGCCTCCCTTAGCTGTGCCTGAATATGCTGATTGTGAGTTTGAATCCAAGAATCTCTCTGATTATGATCCATCCTGTGTCTCACCAACGTGGTAAACATCTACGATCTGAATTAATTTTGGCTTTCCGCACACATTATTCTGACATGTGATATACCTGAAATACTGTTCAAAGCAGCAAAAAACCTACTTCTTCATAATAAAGCATTCCTTGGGAAGTTTTGCTGTGTAAATGTTCAGTAAATGGTTGACGACCTACCAACAGCATACAGCCCCTTCCTGAAGTTCCCAGACGTCTCACGATCAACTGAGTTCAAAATGTCTCTTTGTGTGATCTGCAAAAGGAAGTATGATTTTATGTCAGGGGAGTGAGTCATGGAAACAAGAAGAGATAAAATATGGATAATATGCGTGTGAAACTGGACAACCTTTTGAGATTGATTGCAACAAACTTATGTATACCTAGGAAGGGTACATTATATTCTTCATATCAGACATACACTGACCTTGAACTACTCATTATACATGCACTGACCTTGACCTACTCCCACATACACTCACCTTGACCCACTTGTTGGAAATACACTGACCTTGAACTACTCATTATACATACACTGACCTTGACCTACTTGTACATACACTCACCTTGACATACTCATTGTAGATTGTTCTCATGGTGTAGTAATCTCTGGTGGAGAAGATCCTGTTGAAGGTCTCCTCGTCTGTGCCCCACCGGTCTTCTCCAGCCTTGAACAACAGCTGGGCATCTCTCCTCGCCTTCTCCATGTCACACAGCTTCGCATAGTTCACCTGGAACATCCCGGTCGCATGGTCATCGACGACGACCTCCTCCACAGCTGCCTCCAGGCTGTCCCGGCTGATCTCGTACCGATTGCCCTGAAACAGCCTTCCAGTCAAACCTCGGCAACAAACTACAAAGTCCTTAATCACCGGGGAACACCATTCCTCTCACAGATCAAGAACAACATCGTAATGAGTAGGGCTGGGACAATACACCAACTGTGTGATCCAATACGTATCACGCTACCTTGTTTACGATCCGATACGTATCACGATACTTGTAACTGCTCTTATCCGTGGTGTGTAAGCCATCTTTTTCATAGACAGGATAGTCAAATACCTGGTTACTGACAATTTACAGTTGTCAGTGTCAAGTAGGACTTTCTCACTGCTAATTATCACTACTAATTAGTGTTTGGTGTAATAGCCATTAAAGTAAACATTTAAGGTATGAATTGATATTTTGTACCAAGTGTGCGATACTTGTATCGGGAAGTAAAATATCGCGATCTACCGATGTATCAGTGTATAGTCCCACCACTCGTAATGAGTGTGTAAGACATGTACTCATGTGGGGATTCAAACCTAGGCCTTGATCTTCCTGTGCCAGTTCATGATGCCCACTAGGCCACCTCACCACCCCTTTAGACCATCAGTAACATAAGTACTGTATTGAACATACTGTGACCTAAACCCTTGTGTACCCAAGTACTGTACTGAACATACTGTGACCTAAACCCTTGTGTACATAAGTACTGTATTGAACATACTTCGACCTAAACCCTTGTGTACATAAGTACTGTATTGAACATACTTCGACCTAAATCCTTGTGTACCCAAGTACTTTATTGAACATACTTTTACCTAAACCCTTGTGTACATAAGTACTGTATTGAACATACTTCGACCTAAACCCTTGTGTACATAAGTACTGTATTGAACATACGTTTACCTAAACCCTTGTGTACATAAGTACTGTATTGAACATACTGTGACCTAAACCCTTGTGTACCCAAGTACTGTATTGAACATACTTCGACCTAAACCCTTGTGTACCCAAGTACTGTACTGAACATACTTTTACCTAAACCCTTGTGTACATAAGTACTGTATTGAACATACTTCGACCTAAACCCTTGTGTACCCAAGTACTGTACTGAACATACTGTGACCTAAACCCTTGTGTACATAAGTACTGTACTGAACATACTATGACCTAAACCCTTGTGTACATAAGTACTGTACTGAACATACTGTGACCTAAACCCTTGTGTACATAAGTACTGTACTGAACATACTATGACCTAAACCCTTGTGTACATAAGTACTGTACTGAACATACTGTGACCTAAACCCTTGTGTTACTATGTACTGTACTGAACATACTATGACCTAAACCCTTGTGTACCTAAGTACTGTATTGAACATACTATGACCTAAACCCTTGTGTACATAAGTACTGTACTGAACATACTATGACCTAAACCCTTGTGTACACAAGTACTGTACTGAACATACTATGACCTAAACCCTTGTGTACCTAAGAACTGTACTGAACATACTGTGACCTAAACCCTTGTGTACCTAAGTACTGTACTGAACATACTATGACCTAAACCCTTGTGTACATAAGTACTGTACTGAACATACTGTGACCTAAACCCTTGTGTACCTAAGTACTGTACTGAACATACTGTGACCTTAACCCTTGTGAGTTTAATATATTTTAAATACCGTATTCGACGTAATAAGCGCCCAGGGCGCTCTCAAAATTAGAATTAGGGGGCTCTTATTAGAATGGTATTTTGGTGAAAAGAAAACAGAGTTGAAAGATAAATTTCGTGGTTTATGCTGACAGCCTGAAATTTTCATCTACGACACATATATTTTTCCAGAATTTAATTGCCCATAATTAAGGGTGCATATAACACATGAGTGCGTATTATACATAAATAAATAAGTCTTGTGTACATTGATCGATCGGAAGGGGTGCTAACTGGGATTGCTCACTAGCCAATATATTAACAAATATCGGCATGGGCGCTTATTAGAGCGGAGCGCTTATTATGTCGAATACGGTATATATAGTAAAATATATAAGATTTCAGTAACCCATAACACGCTAAAATTCATGACACTGAGGGAGCAACCATTTGATTTTTATGTTTGGGAACTCAATTATTTTACGAACATTACAGGTTCTCAATCATATTTATTTCAATGAATATAAATTAAAGAACTGGACCGACACATTATATTTTCTTCCAACAGCTGTATGTATTTTATTTCAGTAAAACAGGCTCGTTTATTTTTTAAGAAAAATCCTGGCAAAATGAAATGGTTGCTCCCTTATTGTCATGCTATACTGCCACCCAGAACATTCTACATCCACAAACAGTGAAACAGTGAAACAGTGAAACCACCAATCTATACATAAACTGACCTGGGAGGCAGATATCAGCAGGCGTTTGAAGTCTCCGCTGGTGTCATCCTCAATGTCCTTTTCAATCAGGGTATCATTGACTTTGCGATTGGGGCTAGCCACTGAAACATACACACAATGTGGGTCAAGGTCAGTGTCAATTGTATTTAACTGCACAACTTTGCATTATATAAGTGTGAAAGCGGCTTCAGTTAAAAATATGAAATTATTTCAAAATATACTGAACAATAAAAGTTCCTGTGACATTGAATAAGATTTAATGCAAAGTTATGTATTTTACCAAATCGGAAACAATTTCGGTTTGCAACAGATAAAAGACTCCTGTAAGTGTTCAAATGGTTTAATTTGCCATACTGACTTCAGAAAATGCGGGATTTCATAAAAAACATGAACATGCCAAAATGTCAATTTACAAATCAAAAGCGTGTGTGTCCACCTCTGGTTGTGATGCAAGCAACATATCTTCATCTCATGGAATGGACCAGGCATCACACAAAGTCCTGTGGGATATCTGTCCATATCTGCTGGAGCATGTTACGAAGTTCCTGGAGTGTTTGTGGAACACGTGGTTGATGTCGAAGGCGCCGATCCATCTCATCCCACATGTGCTCGATTGGTGAGAGATCAGGGGAGCAAGCCGGCCAGGGGATGACATTCACGTTGTTTTGTTGAAGAGAATCCTGAACAAGTCGAGCAATATGAGGCTGGGCATTGTCATGTTGAAAGGTAATGCCTGGGCCATGACGACGCAAAAATGGTAGAACAACAGGGCCGATGGTCTCGTCGGGGTAGTGCTGTCCATTGAGATTTCCCTCTACCACCATGAAACGGGTCCTCTGTCTTGCTGTTATCCCACCCTATACCAAAACGCTGCTGCCCCCGAACCAATCTTGTTCCATGACAAAATGATTGACGTAACGTTCACCTCAACATCGGTACACTTGACTCCGTCCATCGCTGTGGCTGAGGTGAAATCGAGACTCGTCAGTGAATAGAACTTGTCCCCACTGCATGGCCGTCCAGCGTAGACGCAGTCTGCACCACTGTAGACGTGCTTGACAGTGGTTTCCTGTCAAAATGGGACGTCTGGCTGGTCTTCTGGCGACAGTCCCTGCACATACGTACGGTTTGTGAAGATATTCGTCGAAGGCCAGGGATGCTTCTTGCAGTCACTGTTGCTGGCTGGAATTGATTTCGTAGGCGTGTTGTTCGAATCCAGTTGTCTTGTCGATTATTGGTTAGACGTGGCCTGCCACTCCGAGTATGGTCTCTGACTGCATTCGTCTGTTGCCAACGTTGCCATAAACACCAAATGGTGTTTCTGTGGACGTTAAATTGTCTTGCAACATCATGTTGACTCGATCCTGCTTCAAGCATACCAATGGCTCACAGACACTCATTTTCGGACAGGCGTGGCATTTCGTAATGTTGAATAACTGCATAATTTTGTTGTTTTTCTGAGTGGTTGTCAGCACGATGCTAAACAATGCATATGGAATCCCATTAATACACATGTTTTTATACCCATTCTTGGGTAGTGAAATGCATGGAGCTTGCATAAAAGTCAACTTTTGCATGGACTGCATGCTTTTCTGTAGCAGTTGCATTTTTGTGACTTGATTCCATACATGTACTACAATATTGAAAACCAAACTTTACTTGTTTGAAAAATACACTAAATTATTGGTGTCACAGGAACTTTTGTTGTTGAGTATATGACATATTTTTCAGGAAGGACAAACATGATACAGTTTCAGTCGAACATTTTTGTATATTTCGACAATTTGACTTCCTTTCTCGACACATGTTGTAGTCCCTGATAGCCACGGGCCATGTATCATGTTTGAAATGACATTGTGCATCTTGCTACATTAATGTTTTACAAAATATACTTACCATCGCCATATACATTTTTCATCTCCGCAATCTGTCGGTTTGTGCGAGTCATCAGCACCTCAATCAGTGTAGCCTCATCAGTTCCCAGGCCCTGAATGTGTATACATGAAGAACCATTGAAATACTTGCCTTGATTGTCATGCACTGTATGGGATGTCCTGTCAGACAGATGTATCGGGGATGTCATGTAATACAGGTATATGGGGGATGTCATGTAATACAGGTATATGAGGGATGTCATGAAATACAGGTATATGAGGGATGTCATGTATTACAGGTATATGAGGGATGTCATGTAATACAGGTATATGGGGTATGTCATGTAATACAGGTATAGGAGGGATGTCATGTAATACAGGTATGTGATATCATGTCATACAGAGATACGGGAGATGTCATTGGCTATGAGGGGGTGCTACGAGGGTGTGCTATGAGGGGTGCTATGAGGGGGTGCTACGAGGGTGTGATATGAGGGGTGCTATGAGGGGTGCTATGAGGGCTATGAGGGGTGCTATGAGGGCTATGAGGGGGTGCTATGAGGGGGTGCTATGAGGGGTGCTATGAGGGCTATGAGGGGGTGCTATGAGGGGGTGCTATGAGGGGATGCTATGAGGGGGTGCTATGAGGGGGTGCTATGAGGGGTGCTATGAGGGGGTGCTATGAGGGGGTGCTATGAGGGGGTGCTATGAGGTGTGCTATGAGGGGGTGCTATGAGGGGGTGCTATGAGGTGTGCTATGAGGTGTGCTATGAGGGTGTGCTATGAGGGGATGCTATGAGGGGGTGCTATGAGGGGTGCTATGAGGGGGTGCTATGAGGTGTGCTATGAGGTGTGCTATGAGGGTGTGCTATGAGAGGTGCTATGAGGGTGTGCTATGAGGGCTATGAGGGGGTGCTATGAGGGGGTGCTATGAGGGGATGCTATGAGGGGGTGCTATGAGGGGTGCTATGAGGGTGTGCTATGAGGGGGTGTTATAAGGGGGTGCTATGAGGGGGTGTTATAAAAGGGTGTGTAAAAAACAACCTCACTGAACTAAACAATATCATGAGCTGTAGATAACTGTTGCTATATTGAGGTGATATCTTCAACTCGCCCGCTTACATAGATGGCCTCCTTCACACACCAAGCATCGTAGCGGGCAGGGTCCACGAAACACGCCATCACCGACTCCCGGTAGTCCCCACTCAGCTCGCTGTGGACATCCTCGATCAGATCCTGCAACACAACAATAACAACTATAATGTCTACAGGCCTTGCACAAAGTGGAACACTCAACCCCACAGAGGCATGACATAATCTCCCGCAACATCATTATCAGCTCCCTGGGGAGTATCAATTCAACCCCAGCTGCAAATTAGGATGGCAGGTTTCCATTCACAGATCATCTCAAACAAAGCCTCAGAGGGAGACACCACGTTTGATAGCCTGTGTTCCGTGTTGGGCATGTTTGCCAAGCAGGCACCATTCCCAGCATGTTTCATTCAGCAGAGAATGGGTACCCGATATGGGAGGTGGATGAAAATACCCTCTTGCTCCCAAAGGCAGCTTTGGTTGTATACTCCCCAGGGAGTTGAAAATGATAACTGGAATATGTACGAATCCACAGGTTGGGAAACAAATAAACCCCATTTGAGCAGATACTAGTACCTGGATAAATGTGGCATGCTATAGGTCTCAAGAGTTGGGTACAAAATGTCCAAATGGGAATTGTTTTACCGCAGTCCTGGCAAAAACCATTTAGATACATGTATCAGATGATCAGATCATGTGTACACTAAAGTTGATAGATGCTTTATCCTTACTCTAACATATAACAGTCAGAACGAATGCTTGCATGGTCAGAAAGAAATGTGAACATAAGCTATACTTGTAGTGTAACCATGGAATACTATTGGTAATGTCATTAAACAATATATCACATGACTAACCACGTGAGTAACCACGGGTCCGGGGAGTCGTGTAGGTACCCGAGACCTACTCAGGACCCACCCGACCCGAGTACCCGAGTTACCCGTCCCAGCCCGACTGGACACTGTGAAAGTCACTGACCCGTCCATACATGGTCTTGTACATGGTCTTGAGCTTCTGTCTCTGCTGGTTGCACCGTGTGGCCACGACGTGGGTGACAGCATCCTCGTCAGTACCTGTCGTAGGCACCATACATTGAACATCACATTGGTCACAATACATTGTGTACAGTCAAACACCGTTGTGTCGAAGTTGAAGGGACCAATGTAAATACTTTGAGTTATCCAAGGTTTGAAACAATCGAAAACTGAATTTGACATACATTTACTGATGAAGAATGAATGGTTAGAAAGGCATTTCTTAGAAGTTGACAGATGACAAAGTAGACACAATATATGGATAACAACTTTTGTATTTTACTGCAAAGGTGACATTTGGTATAGATCCTCATGTATGCAATTCTTGTTACTGTTAATCCTCCATTTACTGTATATATTTTGTACCATGTTCCTTATTCAGCCTTGCTTGACAACGGTATATGGATCTATACCGAACATCGCCTTTCAGCAAAATAAAGAAGTTGTCATCCATAAATTGTGTCTACTTTGGCATGAAGAATGAATAACACAAAACACATGCGACAACATACAAGGAAATAAATAAATGTTGACTTATCAGAGTAAATATGTGCTGGAATTACATGTTTGGGACTGGAAAATGATTTCATGACAACCGTACCCTCGACACATCCAATTCGACACATCAGATGTTAAATAATGATGAATAAAGAAGGAATATGCAGGGACAAAGCTTTTACTTTGAGACAACCGTAAGTTTGACACATCAAAGATCGACACAATGGTGTTTGACGGTATTTTTAGCCAAGGCACAACATTGACATCTTCTTGCTATATGATGGAGAATGCCACACTGATCGTACATGTTCTCAGCAAATGCATCTGCAACCGAAACAGTCTCAGTATACCTGCTGACATATATTTCCAAACATTATCTTTATTTCCGATGGTATCCTCACAATAACCAATGAAATTTCTTGGACAAAATAAATCAAAAGGCAATTTTACATACAAGTTGAAGTAGTGGTCCCTAAGTGATCCTGGTCAAAACATATTGCGTGTTCCAAAGTAAGCCGCTCATGGCTGCCTCACAGGTTTGATTTGCCAAGTAGTTTAAATAAATTGTTTGTTTGTTAGTTTGTTTGTTGTTTGACGCAGCACTCAGCGATATTCCAGCTATATGACGGCTGTCCGTAAATAACTGAACCTGGACCAGACAATCCAGAGATTTATATCATGAGAATGGATCGACGCTATTAGGATACGGTGACATGCTTCAACCAAGTCAGTGAGTCTGACCAACCGATCCCGTTAATCACCTCTTACGACAAGCATAGTCACCTTTCACGGCAAGCCTGGGTTGCTGAAGACCTATTCTACCCTGGATCTTCACGGGTCTAAATAAATCCTGACATCTCATGAACAGGGAAGGAAACATTCATATCAAAGGAGGACTAAGCTTAGCAAATTGGCAGTCCAGCTCATGTCATTCAAAACCAACTGTGTATATTTTGGCTGGGCTAACAAGTCTAATAAGTCTATGCATGAAAATGACATCCGGTTCGTAAACTGCAGTGCAGATATCCGTCAATTGCAGGATTTGCAAATAACAGATATTTTCCAAATCTCATGCTCACATGATTTGATGCACTTATTACAATACAGATATTGATTATCATGGAATCTGTTTGGTCAATAGGAGAGACATAGAAGGGACATAACTCGTAATAGGCACTGATGGCGCTACGGTCAAGCCCAGAAATTCCAGCCTAGTTCGGCAAGGGTGGAAACTGGACTTTTACAGTCAGTTATCTACCTTGCCTCTGGAGGATGTTAAAAAACAGGTGAAGAGAAAAACAGAAGGGGAGTGGAATGTTGATATTCCTCACCTAATCCCTTCATTCCCTTCCTGAGGTATTCACAGTCGGCCTCGGGGTCCCAGGGCTTGTCTGTCAGGTCGGTGCTGCGTTCAGCATTGTAGTACTGTACAACGGGGTCCTCTGCTGGGTAGGTCATGAAGGGTCTCACAGTCCCCTCAGTCATCTCAAACGTGCCACTGACAGCCTCACGACGCATCAACTCATCAATAAACTTGGTCTTCATCAGTTCCTTGATGTCGCCCTGCAACCACAATCATGTCGTTGCCACATTGTTGCAAACATAAAATGTAATAAGTATTAAATTCTCCTTGCTGCTGTGTCTGACACAAGAGGATGGATCAACTGGCTGGCCCCTTTTAAATAAACCTCCGGTGACGTCATCCTATTGTTCTCCAGTCGGGTTAAATCTCATAAACATGGATGTTGTAATGTACCCAAGATTTTAGAAAATATCCCGGGAATATTTGCTGTATAATATGTTATAATATCGCTTGGATTTTATATAATATCCCAGGGATTTTATTAATTCAACTTCTGTTTATATTTTAACATATGAATGTTTCTCCCTAGATATTTATTTTGCATTTGAACATAATGTTATGAAATTGAAAATCAAATGAAAATGGTTTTTTTATATTCCCACGAATCAAACACTCATTCTTCGTATCTGTAGCCCAGTGAGTGTACCACCACGCTACAGGGGCGCTGATAAATCACAATGCTGTTAAGAATGTCTTTTTCAAGTAGCTGTACACCAACAACAGATATTTAATGCCTGTTTCCTAAGGTTCATGGAAAATATATTTGAAACATAAAATTTTTGATAAGTGTTGTTTTAAGATTCTTTTTTATTTTATTTATAAGTTAGATATAACACTTACCCTTGGTTTTTATGCAATTTAAAACCCTCATCCTATGGATAAAACCTCTGGGATATGCCTCTCTGTTTTATCCCTTGGATTTGGGTTTTAAATCTCATAAAAACCCTCTGACATGTTTTATCCTACATCTATAACTCAGCATACTCACTGCCTTAGCCTTCTCCACCTCCTGTTCCTCCTCCTTGCTGATCTCCTCACCCTTTGACTGCATCTCCTCCAGCTGCAAACAAAATAAAAAGAATTTGTATTTAAAAAAGTACACTATGACCTATACATATCTTTCCTGTTAATTTTTCTTAATGATTTGCACTTTGGAACCTCTTAACTGTTATGAATATATTTTTCATTTGAGGATTTTCTCAAGGAAAGAATGCTATATTCAGGTGTCCAACACTTTGGGGGGGAAAGTCTCAATAGTACATGGTCGACTTGTTGCAGGCTTTAAATACTACTTGCCACACAGCTGACTGACACGAATAGGATGATAGACATTCTTCACAGTTTCTGTGTTGGACATACACAAGTGTCCCTTTAAGGCACAAGACCTCATTTGCAAATATGATTTAGATTTTGTGTTACATTTCTATCTTCATTGGGAATCACGGTTACTGAGGTACGAAATTCATAACCTTGCACTGAAATATCACAACCCAGCACTATCACAGGACTTTCAGTGAAAATAGAAGGATATATAGAGGATATTTCATGTGTCGAGAGAAAGATCATGTTTTTCTCATCGAGTGACGAGGATAAAGGAGATATTTATATAAAATATATATATTTAGATAAAATATCTCCTTTCACCCAGTCACGAGATGAGAGAAACATGATATTTCACTTGACACATGGAATATCCTATTTGTTATATACTTTTTGTGTTGTGGTCTACTGGAAAATTAAATACTGTATTTCATTACAAACGTAAAATCTTGAAACGTAAATTCTCCCAACCTAACACACAGGGACGGGTCACCACCCCTTGTATTTGCGACTAAAAATGCAGTTTAAAATATAAACAAAAGCAACAAAAAATATTTAGGGTCACGAAAATTCTGTATCATACATATTGATATGATTATATACAAAATCAACTTTAACAAAAAATATTCTTGAAAACTTCGAGACCTCTGTTGGAAGCGAAACAAAAATGGCACTGTGCGAAATGAACGGTCTCGATTGACGAGTTAAATGAGAAATTTACAGTTTATAATGAAACATTTTCCAGATAATAACAAATGCCATGAGGCGATATTGAGTCCATAAATGACCATCCTTCCTTATTTTGCCTTGTCAGTGTGAAACTAACGTACAAAGGAATTCAACAGCTTGTGAACGGGCCAGTTACAATTTGAGGGGAGGTCACTCTTGTATGATAATAATTCTGTCAAAGTGTTATGTTCAAAGCAGTGAAATATTAAGTGTTATGTTCACTGCAGGGAAATATCAATGGTTATGTTCACTGCAATGAAAATATCACTTTCCTCAACTTCGGAAAACTCAGTCTTTCACCATGTTCACACTTAAGTAAATAATACAGGATGCAACTGACTCGGTCAGTACAGATCATAAAGATTCCACAGTGCAAATACAGCTGGGAACCAGTCTCCAGGAGAGGGGCTGCATTGTCAGGCCTGATACATCACATCATGCTCTCAGTGGAATGAGAAGTCAGTGCCCCATGTTTCTGTGAGTAAGGGTCTGTATGTTCAGCATTTATAAAGTAAAACATGTTTTAAAACTTAAGTGTGTAGACAGGGAGATACATTGTCCAAAACTCTCAATTATCTCTATAAATATGCATCAATCTATGGTGCTGCTATTTGCATGATTAGAAAAAGTACAACCAATATAATATCAACTTACCCTTCTAAACCTTTCCTCCATCATCTAAAACCAATAGAAATAATCCATAAAAATATCAACATTGACATCAACAAGGCCTTCTAAAAATAATCCAAATAATAAAAAAACATTGCATAATCAGTGATGTCGGTAAATTCCAATTAAAGTCTTGAGAGTAAGGAACGCATCAATTTATTTGAAACGTTATAAAATATTGCAGAGTGCATGTTGTTAGACCTGGGTAGACATACATCCATCATGCGCTGTTGCTGCTGCATCTGCCAGTTCTGGAGATGTTGGTCGAAGTTGTTGACAGCGTTGCTCGTGGGCTGGGCCATCTGGACTGGCGCCTGTGTAGAGAGAGACAGGAGAAATTTATTCCAATAACTTTGGTGAGATACTTATTCTTGAAGAAATGCATGAGGTTTCAATGTAAGTAGTGCCCTGTGGAATCTCTGCCTGCCAAGGGCACTTACTTCTATAAATCCCTGCATTAACAGTTTTAAAAGATCCTTGTCTTGTCAGCCATAAAGGCATTGCAAAAGATCTCAGCATTGGCACTTGGCTTAAAAAATCTAGTTTCCATCTTGCCAAACTAGGCTGGAATTATGGAGATATATTTTGGCTGGGCTAACGAGTCTATACATATTCCAAACAAAATTGCATACGAAATTGACATTAAGGCTGGGATGAGTCCAAATTTACCTGGGTACCTGACCCCCTATTACCCGACCCTACCCAGGTACCCACTTCAAGTCTCAAGAGTTGGGAACAAAATGTCTGAAAGAGGATTCTTTTACAGCAGCCCTGGCCAAAACTATTCAGATATGTGTATTAAACAATCAGATCATGCATACACTGAAATTGACTGAAGCTTTATCTCTACTCACACGTAAACAAGTCAAAAGGAATGTGTGCATCGTCAGAAGAAATGCAAACATTAGCGACTTTTAGTGTAACCACTGAGCTATAGTGAGTTTTTGTCCTTAAACAATATATCACGTGACTATCCATGAGTCCGGGTAGTCCTGTGGGTGCCCGAGTCCTATTCAGACCCACCTGACCTGAGTACCCGAGTTACCCCTCCCAGCTCTAATTGACATCAGTCAATTGCAGGATTTGCAATCAACAGATATTAGGACCCATTTTATTACAATATAGATTTGATTACCGTGGAATCTGATTGGTCAATAGAAGGGGCATAGAAGGGATATAACTCGTAATAGCCACAGGTGGTGCTATGATCGAGCTCAGAAATTCCAGCCTAGTTCGGCAAGGGTGGAAACTGGACTTTTACAGTCAATTAATTCCCTTGCCTCAGGAGGATGTTAATGAACAGGTGACGGAGAAAAACAGAAACATTTGTTTTGGAGTGCAATGTTGATATTCCTCAGCATTGGCACTTGGCTTACCTGTTGCACCATGGCCTGGTTGTTGTAAGCGCACTGTTGTACAGCCGGCACCGTGAAGCCCGGCACTGCCCCTTGCTGCTGGTACGCCCCTGCCACACACCGAGCATCATGGGAAATGAATGGATGATCAAATAATACATGATACATGCTGAAACCTTTCATACCTCAACATTTTTAACATTAATTGCACATGAATAATACATTTGATAGTTCATAAGATCAGAAAGTTTTAATTTGTTTCATATTATGAATAAATTCATTTAGCTTTGTAATAAATAATCATAATCTATGGCATGACATTCTAGATATATGCCCTACAAATTGATTGTCAGTGAGTGAGTATTTAAACATTATTTAAGTTATGCCGTAGCATTGTGTCTCAATCAAGGTTGAAGGAAGCCCAAAGTGACAGACATTTAGCATATGATGAAACCCTACAGCATGGGGATAAATAAAGTGTTGACAGAACCAGTAGAACATAATCAGGGCAAAACTTTAAACACAAGACCCACAAATCTTTGTAAAGTCGTTTCCAGATTTGGTAATACTAAAAGGAGAATTACCAGGTTATTCATTAATTGATCAAGTTATTCAATTGTTCTAAAATCTCTGAAAGAATGAACAGATAGAGGAATTGTATGGTTGGTAACAATTAGGCTTAACAATAATAAAAGAATTGGTTCTCAGGCAATGATTTTTTTAAATAAAGTGTGGGCGGGCAGTTGGGTTTTTTTTTGGCATGTTCAAATTAGTATGTAACCAAATAAACAGTTGTGTACCATCAACCTTGGAAAGGGCCTCCCTACATAAACAAGCATACAAACTCCTATTGCCGCCATTACCATAACACAAGAGACACAGTAGAGCAGTGCGCATGTAAAGGGAAATAACTTTGTGCTATATTGGATCACATTGTTTTTAAGTATTCAGATTTTTACAAAAAAAGAAAATGGAAATAAAACGAAACGTGTGGCAGACTTTATGATGATGCGGGCTGTGCCTGAGAACCAAGACTATTTATTTTTAGCCTTATTTACATTAGGAAATGACCCTAAATGATGTTCTAACGAATGAAAGAAGTGATGTATGTTTTTTCTTACCTCCATATGGATATTGGTTAACATTGTAGGCACTCTGGTACCCCCCGCCATAACCTGGGGGTGGGGGAGGTCCGGAACTTGGGGGGTACGCAGACCCATACCCTCCTCCATAGCTCGGATAGTTGCTCTGTTAAACACAATGTCACAAAAATAAATCATTAAAGATGACAAAAAAAACAATGCAGTTTTCAAAAAGATTAACTCAGGACAAAAGTTGACATGTTTAGGTTAGAATTGATTAGAATAAATGTATATCGTCTGACTCTGAGCCAGCAACGACCAGTAAAGCGGTGTGCATTAGAGTGTGTTTATGTCAAGATCAGGAACTGAAATAAATGCTTTCATCTTTATTCGCCTACAGTGCCGATCGCTGACAGTAAAGCTGGTTTTTAGCATACTTTGTCTACACTGTGAAACATGCACTCTTATTTTAATTGCGAACTAATCCAAAGTATTTTGTATGTAATCATTACTTTACACTCTGTTGACAGACCTGTGAGCTGCTTTGTAAAACAGTGCTGTTAATATATTTCCTATCAACACCCAGAAGAAGAATAAGAGGAACTAAGTAAGAGATTAAAATATTTAGTAGATATTGTGTTTATGATTATTTATAAGTTTTGACAACAAAATTTCAAATGACATGATAACCGTATTTTCTTCTTTGCCTCAGATGACCAACTACAACTTCAGCAAATGGATCAGATATACAAGGGTGGGACATTTTACAATTGCCTCACATCTGGGGTCAAATCTATGTCATTCATGGCCTAGTGGCTTCCAAGATGACACAAATTATTTTTCATTATCAAATATTTATATTTCCATGTAATAACAGCACAATGGGAGAAGTGTGAAATCTTGTCATTCTGATCAAATGTCAAGTATAAGGATTTTTCATTGAGAGAAGTGTAATTTTTTTATCAATTTTCTATTATGTTTATATACGTATATGCAATAAACTACAAGTATAAAATCCAATAAAATAATTCCTTGTTTGTTGACAATGGGGGTGCAAGGCTAAGTTCATTACTGTATGGAGATAACACTGTAGACAAAGTGCACTGTAGGCAATAGGAGAAGTTCATAAGTAAAAAAGGACTGAGTATTCTTTATAAAAGCCTAGTTTCTAATATTGTTACTCACCTGGTAGTATGACATGATTTACCGAAAACTGAAAGTAAGACAAAGAAAAACATTAAGAATAATTATAATAACGTAAGAATCATATGATAAATAAGCAATATCTACATAACAGTTGTTTCTTCAACGTATAGTCGCATACGCATGTGCAAAATTGAGAATGGCAATCTTATCATTCAATAAGAATTTAAAGAGTCACATTCTTTTAATGTTACGCAATGCAGGCTATACAGTCGTCCTGTTCAATGTTACGAAGGGTGTTACGGTAAATGCAATTCTCCCGATTTCGATCTCACTGTCGCCGAGAAAGGGAATCTTATCACCGGCAATTATCTCGATATTCTAGGCCTAGACCAACGAAACATTGAACGTCTGCAGATAGTTTTAGTTCGCTACTTACCCCCTTATGTAAGACACAGATGCTATCTGGATAAAAAGCGACCGGCTACGTTCACTATTTTGGATGGTCTCTAGCAGGTGTCAAGGGCCTCCATGGAGATGTAAACAACCTGTCGGCCTTGCCCTTTCTGCCAGCAACCTTCACCTTAAAGTTTTGAAGTCATCACAGCGCTTGACATGCTAACACTGTGTGGAGCTTGCCATGGCTGGATCTCAAAGCTGGCAGTTTTCTTAATTTTGGATTTAGCTTTCTACAGGTTCATGCTATAATTATTTTATACAATATTATGTATTAGAGCCTATTAATAATAATAATTTAATAGTTATGTACACCTTTCTTTATACATAATGTTAACTTAATGTAAAAGTAGCTGTGCAAATCTCACACTTTACTTTACGTTTTGAGATTATTGCTCCGAAATAATGGTGAAAACACTCATGCTTTGGGTATGGGAAAAGTGAGTAAGTGCAAGGTCTGTGAGGTTATCTGAACGACTTACTGTATGTCTCAACATGAATACCTCCCAGACATGTATGGCAGAGGCACAGAGGGAGATTTTATGACGCTTCATGTGATTTCTGGTAGCGAAATGTGCAAATCTTGCATGAGGGGTTATCTCCCATGAAAAGCATTTGCCAGACAGACTTCTCCCAGTCCATACGAGTACTGATGTTTTGATTGATTGATTGTGTATGGTTTTATGCCGCTTTTAGCAATGTTCCAGCAATATTATGCCTGGGGACACCAGAAATGGACTTCACACATTGGAGTACTGATGTATAAAGTATTATTGATTGTTGTGCTGCCATGTCTATGTCATGACGTGATGAAGTACAAGCAAGTGTGGTCTACCACCTGACACACGAGGGTGGCTGAAAAGTTCTAAGTCGAACTATGATGGACTGCGTTGATGGATTTGGTTGATAATTATTTTTCAATATAATCCCCTCCGAGGTCCACACACTTCCGTAAACAATGCTGGAGTGCCAGGATCGCTGGTGGTGCATAAAGTCCTCCTCAGAAGAAAGATATCATTTGCATAATTCATGCAAGACAGTCCTTTCCTCAAGTTTGGGAAGAGGTGGAAATCTGCAGGCTGCCTTCATATAGCTGGAGTGTTGCTGACTGCACCATTCAATAACAACACTGTAAACATATGTACATAGTGTAGATACAAGTATTGACAATGATGTCCGATCACGAAGTAACATAGGGGCGGTGGGGTAGCCTTGTGGTTAAAGCGTTCGCTCGTCACACCAAAGACCCGGGTTCGATTCCCAAGATGGGTACAATGTGTGAAGCCCATTTCTAGTGTCCCCCGCCGTGATATTGCGGGAATATTGCTAAAAGCGGCGTAAAACAATACTCACTCACTCACATAGTAACATAGCACTAACAGGCCTGTGAAGTACTGGTATTGTAATGGCACATAATGCCACATACTGACCAGATTTTCCACACAAGACGTAAGTGATACTGGAACTGAATACAACAAAGCGCAAAATCTTCAATATTTTATTACATAATAAATTAGACATTTCATATGATTCACATAATTTTATAAAAATAGCAATGGTGCAAAGGAAAACATACATCATTCTACCTTAAAATGAAATACATATGTGATATAGATATTTATAGAGATAGTGATTATCTGATTTTCTTATACCGGTAGGCACTGACATGTCAAGGTACAATACTCATAACATCATTTCTGCATTACAGCACATTCATACTACTCAACATTTGCTAAGGACCAACATCTTCGTCTTTAGTCTTCGTAAATGTGGAGGAGTTTATTATGGTGTAATTCGACTCTTTCATCGGGTGATTGACAACCACTGTCGTCATCAGGCCAAGCTTGTACTTCCCCAAATCCTTCTGGCAATGCATGGTTAGGTCAGCTTCAATCGATCTACCTTTCAGTAAGGTACCCAAGACATCTGTGTATTCTGCTTAGTGTACCCAAGACATCTGTGTATTCTGCTTAATATATATCCAACGATCAATATAACCCAAGATATTTGACTTTAAAAACTTGCATATTTCATTGATTGATTTAATACATCTCTGGACCAGATATATATATGTAATATACATACAGTAACTTGCAAATATTTATGTGTTTTTTGTCATGAGTAGACAACAACAACTGATCATAATATTAGTGCTTGTAATAAAAACTCAGAAACAAGACCAACCTTCTTTTTTAAACAACACTTTATTAAAAGTGGAAACATTTATAGAATTTCTATGGCCTGGAAGTCGCACAGATTAGTTTTTAACAAAGTGGACTGGTATAAATACCTGTGTCTTGAGGAACACCGTCTGCATCATATATTGCCTATAGAATTGCAACCTGTTGTTATTGTGTTTCTCCCACCAACAGCATCATACATGATTAAGTCCAAGATCCACATAACAGAAACAAATACACAATGCATTCTGTGACATGATGTGCCAAGTTATGTAGCCTAGGAACAATTTTCATCCGGGAATTACAATTTCATAGACACACACAAACTTCCTTTATCAATTCCAAATCGAAATCCTGTTATTTCAAACACACAATCAAACTTCCTTATCAATTCCATATCACAATTCTGATATCTCAAACACACAATCAAACTTCCTTATCAATTCCATATCACAATTCTGATATCTCAAACACACAATCAAACTTCCTTATCAATTCCACATCACAATTCAGATATCTCAAACACACAATCAAACTTCCTTATCAATTCCATATCACAATTCTGATATCTCAAACACACAAACATCCTTCATCATAGTTTGCTGTGTGGGGGCTGGAGGTTGTCAGAGAAGGAGCTGTATGTCTTCCTCTCGTATATCACTCCTTCCACCTTCAGAACACACTGGAACAGAGCTTCGTACAGAGGCAACCATTTTGACCTCTTTGTCACAGTAGCAAGAGGGTCGAGGAAGTTCGAGACATAGGCGAAGCCGACGTGATGTTTGGTATCTGCCGCGGCGAACTGACCTCCGAAACCTCCATGACCAACCATGTAGTGAACCTGAACAAAGTGAAACCCCATTAATCTGGACGTAACCTTCCCAGTGACATTGTCCGGTGCAACAAATGTCTGGATTAATGAATCATGGACACAGAGTTATCTCCCTTGATCTGACTTGAAATACAGTGTTTGTTTTTTGCCTTTTTATGATGATATTCAGACAAGTATAAGACAGAAGACTTGTCCTCTACAATTTCAAACTGATTAACTTTTAAAGGTGCAAGAACATTATCTGTAGCTGATACATTTTGTGTCCTCTACAAACAAGATGTTGGACAGCCAAGTATCAAACAACGGTCCATGGACAGAAGGACTGTGCACGAAAACGCAGCAGTAAAAACAGTGTGCCAAAACACACCCAAACAAACATTCAATGGACATGAAAAAGTGTTTCACATGCAAGAGGCACTTAACATGTTATGCGACTGTTGTTTTGAGTTGAGTTTGTGCAAAAGTTGTCAGGTGGCAACATGTGCTTATAGTTTAGTCCCAAGACGGGATTTAGGATAGAAACGTTGTTATAAAAAAACATAGTAACTGAGTTCACATATAAAAAGTGAACTTATCCACAATTAGTTGAGAAACATTGTGCATTATCAGAAAATAGTGTAATTGATTAGATACATTAAAAGTATGAACTTTTTTCAATAGTTTATTGTTTTGAATTTAGGGGTTATCTTCACTCCAGTCAATCCTAAGTGACTGGTGGGCACCACAGTTTGTGATGTAGCAGTTTTACGTGCACACCAATGTTTCCGAGCTATGTTCAAGGATACGCTTGTAGGTGTCCTTGACGAAACTAGTTGCAGGCAAAAGTTGTGCTGTAAATTTTAAGCTTTATTGTTTGAACTTTCTTTGGGATCTCTGGGCATCTATTCTGAGAAGATGGCTGAGATTACCCATAGGAATGTGTAGCAGTACACAAATGAAACTAGTTTTTAATAAGTCATGTATCCTCCAACACCAAATGTAATAAATAACATAATTTGTCTGTAGCAATATTTACAATTCCTGTGAATTACCCGCAGTTTTTGTTCAATATCTGTGCACACTGAAGTGTTATTTGTTTTCCACTGTAGAATAGTACTCAATCAATGAAAAAAAAGACACTTTCCATGCTTCTCTAACAATGACATTCAGATTTCAGAAATACTGTATTCGACGTTATAAGTGCCCATGCCGATATTTGCTAATATATTGGCTAGTGAACAATCCCAATTAGCACCCCTTCCAATTGATCAATGTACACAAGACTTATATATTCGCATATAATATGCACTCATGTGTTATATGCACCCTTAATTATGGGCAATTAAATTCTGAAAAAGATATATCTGTTGTATATGAACATTTCAGGCTGTCAGCATAAACCACGACATTTATCTTTCAACTCTGTTTTTTTCCACCAAAATAATATTCTAATAAGAGCCCCCATATGTCTAATTTTGAGACTTCGAATACAATAGATTACCCCTGTAGATCAAAATGCCCAGAAGGAACAGCATTAATATTTATGTCCTCTGTACCTGGCCCGCCTCCACTACAGGTAGTAAACTTGTGCCGAGGCTGTAAATGTCACTCCCTCCATACGTTTTGTCCACACCCCATGACAACGGAATCTGCAGCCGCTCTGTCGCATCAGGGGAGATAATCCTACGTCCATTACTGTCTGCCCCGTTGGCCAGGATGCTGTGAAACTTGGCAACAGCCCTGGCAGTGCCGACCCCGTGAGATGATCCACAGGGAACGTCCATGAAGTCGGGGTCATGCAGACACTGAGTCTGGCAACAAAACAGACAATTGTCTGAATAAGCCGTTGAGGAAGCACAGGAGTCATACACAATGCTCATTCATTAAACTTTGTCTCCTCCCTCTACAGTCCCCACCTGGCACCCAATCTGTCCTGGAATCCACATCTTGGAACCAATACACTGCCTCAGGTGCCAACTGTGGACTTGCAATCTGATAGGAATATAACTCTGTGCCACAATCTGATTGGTCAAAAATTTATGTTAAATAGGATTCAAAACCCTGAAATCTTGTGGATTTCACCCTGTGTAGGAATGATTTCCTGGAGAAGTACCACATCCCAAATTTAAGGAAACATGGCGATATGAATATTGCATCTACTGAGCCATTTATTTGTCATTCTTAAATATAGCTATTAACAAACAAAAAGCAAACCTAAGTACAATGAGAACTGGGTATTGACGGTTTGACACTAGCTTCCTTATATATATCCAAAAATATTTGCAGAGAAACGTCCAGGAGTGTATCAACCAGTGAGTGAGTGAGTGTGAGAGAGAGAGAGTGAGTGAGTGAGTATGGTTTTACGCCACTTTATCAATATGCCAGCAATATCACGGCAGGGGACACCAGATACTGGCTTCACTCATTGTACCCATGTCAGGAATCGAACCCGGTGATGAGCAAATGCTTTAACCACCAGGCTACCTGACCGCCCCTGCCTCTCAAGTGGTTTCAGAAGCAATCAAACTGTAAATGTGATTAATATATGTCAGAAAAACAGCCATATTTGGACATTAATTTATCAGTAAAAGTGTAAATCTGAAAACACATAAGATTAAAATGTACAATCTCTTAGGGCCCCGTTCCTCAAAGCAATCTTAGCGCTACAATGATCGTAAGACTATGCTAAAGTATGGGATTTACGATCACCTTAGTGCTAAGATCGCTTTGAGGAACAGGGCCGAGGGCTTATCACCGACCACATATAACTGTGACCAGCAGTCAAACAACCAGCCACATCTGTTGTTTATTTACACATTCCATGTGGACTCACTCTCCTCCAGTCCCGTGGGTTTTTCATGGTCAGACTGAAGATATAAGGGTCCCCAGCAAAGTTGCCGTTTTTGTTGCCATAGTAATCCCGGAGTGCCTGCATCTCAACATGGAGGCGTGTGGCCCGGTGCTGGAGCTGCCTTGGCATCCCGATGTTGAAGTCAATGTCTAAAGATGGAAACATGGATGGAAATTCAAAACTTACGATAAGCAGGAAATCTCTAAATGTTATCTTATCTTTTAATCATATTTTCATTCTGTACATAATCACATTTTAAGACTTCTATCATGCTTACAAGCAGTTGTTCGGTAGGTAAGCTATATATAACAGACTGTGTCCCATGGAGAGGCAGTAATAAAGGGCAGTATGCTTTCATTCCCTGTGTGGTCGTCAGACAGGCAAGCATGCCATCGTCCATCTTCCTGAGGACAGGGTGTCCACTAGCATATATCAACATTTTCTTGAGTATAGTGTGCACTTTTTCCAAAAAAACCACAGCTGTGTAGAAGGGGGTGCGCATAATACACGCCATAATGAGTTTTGATGGGTTTTTTCCCAAACCGAAAGACATTACCGTGAGCTCGTAACACCGGAAATACCATGTCAACAAATCCATACTGAAGTACACAAATTAATCATGTAATTACACTGTCTGGCTATAAAAAGTGTTAGGTAAATGGTATACAATAGGTAGTTTTCAGACTTTGATATAGGCTAGTGGACACTCTTGCCTCCATCTTCCCGAGACAAGAGAGCTAACTGACTGTAAAAGTCCAGTTTCCACCCTTGCTGAACAAGGCAGGAATTTCTTGGTTCAATCCAAGTGCCACCAGTGGTATTATGAGTTATGTCCCTCCTATTGACCAATCATATTCCTCCTCTCATATCATTTGCAATTGCTTCAAACAAAATGGCAGTGCCCAGTCAAGACGAACTGATCAATAACCAAAATCAATATATGATAAAACAAGTCTTACTTTGTGAATTGCATCAAATCACGGGAGCCTTGGTTAAATACATGAAAAGATTTGGAAAATATCTGTTGATGCCAAGTTGGTGGTACACATGCTTTGCAAATCCTTTAATCGACTGAAATTTGCACTATAGTTTACGCACTGGGTGTCAATTTCATTACATGATTTTGATTGGACTATGCTTAAACTCGTTAGTCCAACCAAAATATAACTCCACAATTTCAGCCTAGTTCAGCAAGGGAGGAAACTGGACTTTTATAGTCGGTTAACGCCCTTGCCTCTGGAAGATGTTCATTCATGGCCCGGAACAATGAAACATTTAAACAGTCAGATGGCATGAACTTGTAGGCCTCCTTTACCACAATTACCCCAGAAATACGACAAAAGGCAGAAGATCATGTCCCCTGAGAAGGTGAAGAGAGGTGAAACAGAGTTCAAGATTATTCCACTTACATAGTGACATGTACCATCTCCTAATGTCTTTGTGTATGACACACCCGGGGATGGAACCACCAGGGACATGCTCTATCACTTACATAGCGACATGAAACGACATGTACCATCTCCTAATGTCTTTTTGTATGACACACCCGGAGATGGAACCAGGCACATGCCCTATCAAGTCCATGTGATTTGCTCTTCTGCCCAGACCTTACTGTAATGATAAAGTCCTAAATAAAGCAAGTCTACATTTTTCCAAGGTTCAGGGTCTGAATCTCCAATCTCACTGGGGCTCCTTTTCAATTAAAATGTAGTTGTTTGTTTCTATAAACATTACACATTTCAGACACTTATTGGTCTAATGCTCTGTACACTAGACCACCATTGAACAGCGGACTAGGACCGGTGTAAACATCAGTCAGTTCTACCAGACATCTTCCAACTGTGTGCACCATGTCACATCTTACCAAAAGGCTTTGCTATTTCCTCATCAAAGTACTGAGCTAGACTTCGTCTCCCTGGGTCGGTACGCCTCACGATCTGATCCAGGTACAGAGCAAATGTGATTGGATGATACCCATGATGCTTCCCTGCAACAAATTATGTTTTTTTAGGTTTGATATTTTATCTCGGTCTTAGCACTGCAATCTGACAGTTTCGTGTATTAAAAATTTCCAGATTTCACAAGGAGAGGTTTTCATTGTATTAATAATATTTCAGAATCATTTCATACAAAGATGTATTCAGTTTGATCAAAATTTAATGAAATTTATTTCAAACAATATTGATAAGTTATGGATTAAAAAAGACAAAGGTGCAAAAATTATTATTTCAAAATGCTGCACATAGATATTTCTTGAGGGTTTTTTTCAGGAAAGTTGAACTAACAGAAACTATATGCTACTTAATTTTACCTGGTTCCCAAAGAGGCCTTGCTCGGGCTAGAACAACACCAAGGCGATGAGGATCATTTCGTAACCATGACAACTGATATGGTTCTTCTAGATCGGCTAAACCTGACTGAAACCGAGTATACATAAAATAGGACAGTAAAATACCCATGTCCAGTAACAAATAATGTCTGTGATTTTAATATTATATTCTCCTAAGTTCTATTTCATGTGGGAAAATGAAAAACAAAGCTTCAAGCGTTTGCAAAAACTATTTGTATTAGATACAAGGGAAGTCCCAACAGGGTTGATATATGTACACTGGCAAATGCGTGATTACCCTTGGGTTACAGATATAATTTGTGTGTAGACTACGCATTCCTGAAATGCTCCGATGATCTTATGACTCTATAAAAAAAGAATTATTAAAAGTTAGATTAAAGTGAAGCCCCACATTCTGATACCCTTATCCAAATATGACTGACTATATAGTTCTAAAATTGATCATAAACTCATGATTATAAACTCTGTTATCAAAATCAATACCCTGTTACTGATAAATGTCTCCAGAGTTATCTCCCCTTTGCCCTTTTCAGCAAATTCTGGCCAGTGCTTGGAGATTGGATCTTCATACCTCAGCAAGCCTCTGAAACAAAAGGATTTAATGTTGCAAAACCTCTGGAGTTGCCTTCAGCACATGTCATGGATATCAGCTTGTATAAAGTAGGGGGAAATGGTCTGCTACACCTCTATCATTTCCAACCCTCATCTCAAGTATTATCTTAATAACAACAACAACAACATATGCATTTGTATAGCGCAGTGTGTGCTTAAATATCTTACTGACTATAATGAATAGAAAACAATCTAATCATAAAACCTAAAAAAAGTTGTTTTTAAACTAATGTCAGAACTTATTACACAAACAAAGGGATTAAAAATGTCTGAGAAAGTTTTTAAATTTCTTTCTTTCTTTGGATTTGGATTGGTAATTGTCCCCAGTCTTTTCTCTCCCCTCGTATCACCGAAGTCTAATTTAGTTTCGAGTTGTGTTTAACACTGCTTTGAATAACATATTCAGTCATATCATTCTGTGTCAGCAGCAAAGCCCAACATGCCCAAAGTGATACAGATCTTTAGGTGTATCACAAAGATGAAATCCACGAGTACAGGAAAGGGTCTGACACACAAAGGTCAACATCCAAGGTTCCATGATCAGCAGATCCTGGCATGGATAAGGGACATTATTCTCCACAGCAAATTGTGGTGACTTGCACCATCTGGGCCCCTCTTATGTTATCACTACATTGACAAACTATTGGGTAATATTGAAAACTACTACAATATATCAAAATTACTTCCTAAAGGTTTTCAAGAAAACATCCCCAATCCACCAAACTTACCTGTCAACGAGGTGGGCCACTACAACCGATGACACACTCTTTGTTGTTGAGAAGAAGAAGGATGCTGTGTCTTCCTTCCACAGACGGAGAGACTCCTTGTCTGCCCAGCCACCCCACACGTTCACAACAAGCTCCCCCTGGTGGTAGGCGGCAAAACTACCCCCCTCCTCACTGCCAGACTCCAGGCTGTTTCTGAATTATTAAAACAATCATTTCCAAAAATAAGTGTAAGAACTGTCAAAAAAGTAATAAGAAATCACTCACCTCAATTATAAAGTCAAAAATTGGTAATCCATGATTTTCAAAACTACCTAATCCACCAAACCAGCCTTCCGTCAGTGACCACAGTGACATTATCTAGACAGATCGAAATGGGAGTTGGATGATATGAAAGGAATTGTCATAGTGAGTGAGTGAATGTTGTTTTACACCACAGTCAGAAATGTTCCAACAATATTAAAATAAAATAATTATGGATAAAAAAAAACTATAGTGGTGAATAGTTTGAGTAATAACCAATGCTTTTTAGGCACAATGAATCATCCATTTAAGACATGATATTCATTTGATACTTTACTTTGTGTGTAAACTTAGCTGAAGTTTAACAGAAAGGACATAGAGCAAAGTTCACAGTCATGTTTAATGTCTGCCAATGAGAACAACCACTTACTTGAACACTTCCCAAACCAGTTCAAAGCCTGGCTTAATAAAGCCCTGGGGACGTTTAGAAAGCATCCTTGTTCCCATTATGTGGCTTACTAAATAAAATAATATATATCAATATACAATAGAAAAGATAGTACAACTATAGGAAATCTTGGAAATTTTGTTATGGGCATTACTTAGAATTTGACGGATGACAAAGTAGACACAATTTATCGATAACAACTTCTTCAATACTGTAAAGGCGACGTTTCGGTATACCTTATACTTACCTTATTACAGTATTAAAGAAGTTGTTATCCATAAATTGTGTCTACTTTATATGAAATCTTGTTATTGTAATAATTGAAGTTTGATACCCTGGGAAGACAGTTAGGAATAGCGCTGACTTGTAAGTTACGGAAAACGTTGTCAAGCTTTTTGGAGGGTAACCCGTGAAATGACATTTAAGGACGGTAGGCCCCTGTACTTGTTTATGTAAATCCTTCCCTCCCAATACATCCTTACATCTACATGCAGTCAATTAATATCAGATAATGATTAAAACAGCGATCATAGAAAATTGGCGTCTTCTCCTGGAGTCTCTAACAACATCATAAACTTAACCGGAAAAACTGGATTATTTCACTAAAGAAGTTGTAGAAGACAGCTCATACGAAAGAGAACCTTTGCCCTTCGACAGGGGAGGTAACTCTAATTCTGACGATTCCGGAAAATACTTCATGCAGTCGCTTATAAGGATCGAATCTAGCCGATCATTTCGAAGTTTTGCTTATCACAAACCAAAGAAATAACAATTTTACACCGTCAGATATTCCATCATTGATATAACATTGATATTATCCAGAGAAATACATTTAGAAGAATATTTGGATAATAAACGGTGTCCGAATGAAGAGCCTGGATAACCGAAGCTACATGGTCTCGTACGCCATGTTTTGTCACTTGATTTAAGGGAAGGTCATACCAGAGACCATATAATATGGTCTCTGTTCATACTCGACGAGTATATCTAACAATTCGTAGGTATAAAATAAAGTTATGTGTTTTCAGATTTATTGTGTGTTATTGAGTTTCAAATGCTAACATCTGGTCAGATTAGGTCACCAGTACTTCATACACAGGTATATAACTTAGGCGTTAAATACTCAATAACACTCAATAAAACCGAAAAAACATAACTTTATTCTACACACACTTGCCAAGTGGTCGTCTGTTTGATCAAGATCTCATGTCGGCGGATTAACACCATCGCCAGCGTGCAGACCTTGAATCTACTGAAGTACTTCACTAATAACGTAGTTATCTACCGTATGCCAGCTGGACGCCATTTCAACAACATCTGCTGTCGACCGGGTGTATTCTTGTTTTCATGATCTTACCACAGCAACAGTCAACAATAAAAACATGACAGAGACTTATTTTGGTTTATTGTAACAAAGTTGGAAACGGGGAAAGTTAAGCAGTGCTTAAATGAACATTATCGACGAACGTCAAGCTCGCGTATTTAGTACATTATCAAATCACATCTAATTTCTGAAAAAAAATGTTTGTTTGTTCAATTTCCTTAAGACGATGTAAAGAAATGCTAAAAACTTCAGTGTGGCCGAGTCATGACCATTGGCACGTTGCCAACCATGATCCATGAGATCAGCCAATCAGGAGGCGCACCATTTCCCAGAGTGACCTGTGGGATAAGTACACCTATGTATTGGACGTGGAGTCATTAAGCCCACACTGGGATCAGCCATGAGTCACAGGCCCCCGTGAAGATCCGGGTTAGAATTCAGCAACCCATGCTTATCTCCCCGTGAAGATCCGGGTTAGAATTCAGCAACCCATACTTATCTCCCCGTGAAGATCCGGGTTAGAATTCAGCAATCCATGCTTTTCTCCCCGTGAAGATCCGGGTTAGAATTCAGCAATCCATGCTTATCTCTCCGTGAAGATCCGGGTTAGAATTCAGCAATCCATGCTTATCTCCCCGTGAAGATCCGGGTTAGAACTGGTCTTCAGCAACCCATCCGTGTCGTAAGTGGCGACTAACGGGATCTGATAATCAGGCTCGCTGACTTGGTTGATGAACGTCATCGTATCCCAATTGCTCATGATGTCAATCACTGGTTTGCCTGGTCTAGACTCCATTATGTACAGACCACCGTCAATAGGTCTTCAGCAACCCATGCTTGCCGTAAGGGCGATTATGCTTGTCGTAAGAGGCGACTAACGGGATCGGGTGGTCAGGCTCGCTGACTTGGTTGATACATGTCATCGTATCACAATTGCGTGGATCGATGTTCATGATGTCATCACTGAATTGTCTGGTCCAGACTCGATTATTAACAGACCGCCGTCATATAGCTGGAATATTGCTGAGTGCGGCGTTAAACGACAAAACAACCAACCAACCATAAAGCTGGAATATTGCTGAAAGCGGCGTTAAAAACAAGCAAACAAGCATTGGTCCTGGGTAAGATCCAGAATGCACACAGTAAGTTCTCCTCATGAATGTAGTGAACGCATCTGGTTGTTACTTGCTGTAACCGACGAAGCCACAGAAGCCGCTGTTGATGCCGTGGACGTGGATGGAGGAGGGACAGCGTTGCATCACTTCAGTCGCTCCCCGGCTTGAACTGGATGATGACTACAGTGTATGTGATGATTGTGCCCACAAACTGAAACACACAAGAGACTAACACCTTAATGCCAACACTGCGGTATCACTGCACCGTATTACAATGGTAGGCAGTTTGAACTGGGTCTACTAACAAGACATCATGCTCCACTACTGTTCGACATTTTTTTCCGAATGACAGATCTTCTTTCACTGCCAATGAAAACCTTTATAAACATTTCCATTGTTCACGTCCGTGATCGATAACCCATTCCCTACCCCACCCGCACCTAAAATCAAGCACATCCCCAAGAAATGATGGTATCTTTACCAGTCGTCTATAAACGTTAGATCACTGTTGGTTTATATCACATCTCATTTTCTCTCATACATTTTGAATAAGCAACTGTATAAAGAGAACACATTACACAAACACAATTCGGTTATGACGAACTATAGTGACAAATAATCAAGAAATTGGTTAAAGCGAATATATTCGATTATAAAGAACCATAAACCACAAATGCCTTTGAAATTCGGTGTTTTCAGAGTTGACCATTTTGTATTAGGTTCACGTAATTTCTTAAAGGGCAAGTAGAGTCAACAAAGCAACTTTGCAGATTTTAATACTTTAGGGCAAATTTAATCGCAAATGCTTGATCAAACTTATATTTGGAAAACAGAAATAGCGTAAAACAGGCGATAAATAAATTACAGGCGACGTCGTCCCCAAAACGAAACATACCGCCATTGAGGGGATTCCCCTTACTGGGGTTACAACGGGACCCCAGTGTTTGCCGCGCAACGCAATTACAACGATCATGACGACCAGGCCGACGCCTAGTGTGCCTGATTTCTGCCTCATTTTGTTTTATATACATCATGTCTTTTTTTCTGTCGGTTCATCCATTCGATTAACGTGTCCACAACTTATGTCACCTTCGTAGCAACACTGAAGATGCCTTGAGTCGTTTAATCAGGGGATTAATCCGTGAGAGACATTTATTGTGTGGAACTGGGCCGAGGACACCAGGTGTTTTCTTATACCCACACAGGATGTTAGTAATAAAAACGCTAACCGATTGCTAATTGTTATATTAATTATTGACAATATCAAGATCAAAGGTCGTTTCACACATTCAACATTGTATGCAATGTTGTTATTTTTGTAGGATTGACAGAAATAGTAGAAACAGTCAATGTATAACGGCTAATAATCAGCCAATGAAAAGCTTTCAGGCCCCGCCCCCTAATAGGTTTGTTTTGGAAGCCAATTACAGGGCGTGTGATTTCATCACTTTCACTTGGACACTTAAATACTTCGACGAATATTGTGAAAATCTCTCTCTCGGAAATTGACTTAATGTATCTGGGAAAATTGATATTCACAACAAAACTGCAATCATTTTTTTTCACTTTACTTGCCCTTTATAGAACGGGATGTTCGAAGTAGCATTTATCTACCAACCGTTACGATTGTTGGTTTGTCTATGACAAACAGCCCCATCGCCGTGAAGCCGATCGGGTGGCTGGTCAGCTGACTCACAAACATACAGGCCTGCGGCGAGAGATGAACATGTCCTAGATACCAATTATAGTTCAGCCATACATTGTCTAGGTTTTTCGTAAACTATCACAGAGAGTCAAAGTTTCATCACTGAAAAAATATGTATATGACACATCTTAACAGTTGTGTCTAGTGTTTATATGGACAGCCGTGTTTCATGGGCATGTGGGATAATGCAATGTCCACAAGTGGGTGGCTGTTATTCCGCGCCGCTCAGCAATAGTACGGTCATGTTACGGCGGCAAAACAAAACCACTGACTGAGCGCATAATCAAGGATCCACATCGAGGCCTAATAGTGTATGAGACACTCAATCAGCCAAGTCATGATGTCGGACCACGCAATCAGCCAAGTCATGATGTCGGCCCAAGCAATCAGCCAAGTCATGATGTCGGACCACGCAATCAGCCAAGTCATGATGTCGGACCATGCAATCAGCCAAGTCATACCAAAAGAAGTTTAAGGATGACACTTGTTGTTACTCTGCCTGGCGCTCGGCATAAAGGGGGATAAAACAAGAACTGGCTGGCTCGGTGTCAATATAATGTGTCTCAATAGGGTATCCATGTTAAACTGCGGCATGGTATCTCGATCAATGGGCGAGCGCTATTAAACCGGCGTATGTCCGGACTAATACAAGCTGCCACCCACCCACCCACACGCACGCACGCACGCACGCACGCACGCACACACACACACACACACACACACACACACACACACACACACACACACACACGCGTGCGCGCGTGCGTGTGTGTGCAGGGTGTGGGTTGCAACTTGTATTAGTCCGGACTTACGCCTGTTTAAAAGCGCTCGCCCACTGATCGAGATACCATGCCGCAGTTTAACATGGATACACATTACACATATATATTGACACCGAGCCAACCGGTTGTTTTATCCCCCTTTTTGACCAGCGCCAGGCAGGTCAACAAGAAGTACCATCTTTAAACTTCTTTTGGTATGACGCGGCTGAGGCATTGCACTCCGGGCAGAAGGTGTATCCACTCCACCAAGGATGCGGCACGTAAAGATTAAGAGCGGATAACCTAAGGTAGCGAAGACGGTATTCACCTGCTGGCTTTGTTCTGAAGTAAATCTGTGCAGGTCAACCCCAAAGATTTGCCACAGGGAGGCATGGGCCTACAAAAGTAATAAAGTTACGTTATATTGTACCGCAAAAATATAAACCCTTAAAACTTATTTTCAGTTATTATCTAAATTATTATTGGGGTAGTCCTTTCACCTTCACAAGCATATCTAACCCGGTCTCTAATTAAGACAGGTGTTACTTTAGCCCTTTTGACCTATATCTCATGGCCAAGTCCATAAGGATGGCTAACATTAGTGAAAAGGGTTGATTTTTCGAACTTAAAGAGAAAACAAGAATATAAAAGCCGTTACCCATACCATATAGTTGTACTGTACTGTATTTTTCCTGTGTCACTCCTGATAAAATCAGCCTTGCTCATGTTCAAATATTAGCAAAAAGAGTAAAGAGAGGCTTTGAAATCAGCTGTCTTTGACGCCCTTAGCCTTACCTATACATTTAGTGTGTTTATTAAAGTCCAATTAAAACACATACGTATTGAAATGGACAAGGTCTAAAACTCATGCAATATTACTTTTATAACGATTTCGTCCTGCTTATTTCTTAATGATGCTGTTCCTGTGGACCAACGGTGGTCTTATCGTACTTTGTCCTTTGATCTCATCTTCGAAAACAACATGTCACCTCAATGCAATACCATTGCCTGTTACATTCTTAAAAAGAAAGGGACACCAAGAATTGATTCATTCCAACTTACATAATGGTTGACGAGCGCCCCACAGACGAAGACCACCAACAGTTGTAGGACGGCTAGGGACACCGACCACCAGACGGCGAAGAACTTAAACATCTCAATGCTCTCAAATATCACGAAGTAAAGCGTGAACACGATCAGTGGAATTACCGTTCCAATAGTAATCAGTACATAAACTGAAAAGATTGCGTTGGCTTTCTCTAGTAGCAGGCAGACTCTGTGATGCTGCAAACGAAAGATTTCAAGGTCACCACGACAGCAGCCATCTTGGTTCACAACGTTGGACAGTCGGGTGTTGAGGTCGGTAAAGGAGCGGTACAAGATGTAGCTGAGGAGGACGAACAGACTCATCAACAGATACCAGGACGACACGAAATAGAAGTACACAATTGCTAGGAAAATCTTAAGAATGACGAAAGCTCCAAAGCTTGTGCCATCAAAAGGGGAGTCCGATACGAACAGATTCGCCAGCCCACCAAACGTAAAGGCACATCCGAGCCAGATGAAATAGGAGATGGACAAAGCTAGGCTGGCGTTCTTCAGGGATCTATACATGTCGAGGGAGACTTCGGACAGATAGGAGTCTAGATCGTATAGGAAATCTTCCACGAGGTGGCAACGGAAGAAGTTATTCGTGACAAAACACGCCGCTTGGAAGAACCAGACGGTCGAGACGATGACGTTGCAGAGAACTCCATTAAAGACAGTCATGTCTTTGAAGTACAACGTCGCGAAGCCAAAGTTGATCCACAGAATCAGCAGGACCGTTGAACAATAGATTTTACTTACAAAATCCTTTCTGTTGCGTTCACCCCTTTTGGGCTTGTAATACAGGAATCCTGTGAGACGGAGACAAGTTAGCAACACCTTGAGTTTCTGCTTGGCGTTTCCAACGGAATCGGAACACGCGGCTTGGATACTGAATACGGACTTGCATATTTCCGTTGCGTCCGATATGGAAAGTTTATTAGATGCCGAAGGATGTACTTGCATTATCCGGTGGATATGTGTGTATACCCAGTGATAGATTTGGTAATAGACCTTAGAATAGGTCAACTGTAACCACAATGCTGTAAGAGGAATGTCAGCACGCCAAATGTGCAAGCTCGGTCTTTGGGAACCGTGCAGTTATAACAAAAACGTCAGATTGACTTCACGAACAGTTTCGTTATGCGTCTACCAAGCCGCTTGTCTAAGAGAACCGACATACGCAAGTCACTGAGCTAAATATTTGCTTGGGTCCGTTCCTGTAGCAAATCACAGCACGAGTCTTTCAACAATTATTCTAATTTCTTCTGAACATTGAACACAGTGTTACTGGCAGGACACAAAGTTAAACAGACACAGGCGCCTCTCTGGATTAAAATCTCCCGCGATGGATCAGCCATATCCTTGAGGTGGTTTCTTGCATGCAATGTGTCAACTCTCCTACTTCCTCGCAGGAACAAACACTCACTTCTCATTGACAGATCCTCCAGCTGACATGATGACCGAGCTCCCATGTCACATCTATCTGCATGCAGGTGATGAAGCGTCATGGAAGAGCCATTGATTGGTTAGAGTCTTCAGGTACACATTGATTGGCTAGACTCTTCAGGTACACATTGATTGGTTAGAATCTTCAGGTACACATTCAAGAGGAACGTTTCATCGTCTGAGCTGCAGGGGAGCAGCATCTACCGTGAAATCTGGTTTGACTGATAGTTGTATTCGAGCTTCCTCACGTCCACTCGTTGAACACGTGGGAACAACATCGTGTTTAGTACTGTTAACATGAACTTGGGTATGACATAAAGTCCTGTCAGTGATTTCTTAAGTCCTATCGTTGACATGAACTGGGCTATGTGTCATTATCTGCAGCCTGTGAGAAGGTGCACCGGATGGCAGTACCGCAGTTAATTATCTAATCGAGCCAGAGGTAATTACGTGCATGTATTCGTGCTTTCCGGGGCCAAATGAAGGCGACATTTTTTGAGAATATTGATTTATGTGTATAACCTGGTGAAATGTGGAAGTTTCATTTGTTTACGGATGAATTGTTCTATGGAGAACGAAACTTCATAGATATGCTACCGGACGTTTTACACCCAGTGAAACATTTGGGACCACACATAAACTTTTGAAAATGTCTGTCATTCAATATTATTTATGAAATAGTTTACAGAATATGACACTATAAATGTACATTATTTTTGTTACACAAGCAAATTTACATTTTATCCTTCAAAGACTACGACCATCGCGTTCAGTTGAAATCAAATCAAATCGTATTTGGTACGTATGGTGTATGTAAATATTTCCTTCATATATTTTTTTTTTCGATATTTGTTTCAATAATTTAACTTCAAATCGCACCCCTTTTCTCAATGCTTTTGAGATTTGTGTTAAATAGTATTCGGGATTCAGAGGTGAGCAATGAGACTCAAGAGTGAGAAATTAGATCGTATTCGTGATTCAAGGGAGGAGTGGGTTGGCGCCCTCATTAACGGCACTTTATCATAATTAATACAAGAACCCAATTATTTGGAATACACTTAATTATTTAGTATCATTCTCCCAGACGTTCCCGGACGCTCCCGCACGTTATTTAGTTGGACCGGCATGGATGGATGTCAAGCGGCATAGGGCCAAGCAACACAGCGTTATAGCAACATGTGGAATGTTCTGTGATGTTCTTTGTGACACTGACCGCCTCCGTGGTCTAGTGGTAGAGCGTCCGCCCGGAGAGCGGAAGGTCAGGGGTTCGATCCCCGGCCGCGTCATACCAAAAGACGTTAAAAGATGGTACATGTTTGTACCCTGTCTGGCGCTCGCAGTCAGTATACTGTGTCTGAGTGGTGTATTCATGTTAAACTGCGGCATGGTATCTCAGTGGACAAGCACTATAAATCAGCATCAGTCCGGACTAGTACAAGCAGCCAAACACATATAGCCGTGCAATTAACCCAATTTCACCTCACCCCACCTTGTCCATAACGGACCATTGGGGGTCATGTAAAGATGTATAATCACATATAATGTTTCTTTCTTGAAATCGTTTCATCAGCAAAAGAGGAAAATATCAATTTCACAGATTATGAAATCTGATATGCTGATATGAGCAGACAAACATTTTGTATATAATAAACATACAAATCTCTATTAAGTACTAACGACTATGTTTGATACTCAGGCTGCCTCCGTGATCTAGAGGACAGATCTAGTGGACAGATCCTCTGTGGAGAGAGGAAGGTCGGGTTCTATCGCCACCCACATTATACTAAAAGATGTTAAAAGATATAGTTGCTGTTTCCCTGTCTGACGATTTGCATTATGGGGCTAAAACAAACACTGGTCAAATCGGAGTCAGTATACTGTGTCTGAGTGGGGTATCCATGTTAATCTGTGGCATGGTATCTCAGTGAGCAAGCACTATAAAACTTGTCCCTGTACAGAGTTGCGTCCCTTAGTCCACTGGGTCTACTGGTCATCCAAAGATTGTGTTTTTAGGAGACAAACAGTATGCGTTTTCAGATTTGCGGCTTTTCTTAAGTATTTCATGACCAGAAATTTCATTTTGAGCCAACGTTTATCATTATTTAAAATACAATAGTTATCCATTATTTTCTGAAGCCAGAGACCATATATGGTCTCTGCTGAAGCACACTCTCTCTCTACATGAATTCTCACTATTGTGAGACAGACAGAAACAGAAACCCCCCAGCTAAATCAAGGTTGTTCTTGTCCAATATTGTTCAAACTTATTATTTTATTAATGTGATATGCATTTCACCAAGCTGAAGGGCATGTTTTTCACATTCTGGATTGAATTTTTGTATAGAGTTACAAAAAAAAGTATTGATGCACAGTAAACATGGTACATAGTTTGTGAGATTTGCAAACTTCAATTCCCATTAGAGCACCAGCCAGATTGCACACGCACACGAACGCACGAACATGTGCACGCACGCACACACGCGCACGCACGCACGCACGCACGCACGCACACACACACACACACACACACACACACACACACACACACACACACACACACACACACACACACACACACACACACCATTTGTTTTACAATCCCATGTTCCCCCTAATAGAGTCTTTGGTCATGTCATGTGTTCAACTGAGTAAGCGGGTTGGGTTTAACACTGCTTTTAACAGTATTACAGTTATATCACGGCTTGTCAGCTTAATGTGGGAGGAAATTTTAAAACCCGAAATGATGCAGGTCTCAGTCGTCTACCACTTGGTGAAACCCAGGAGCACGGTTATGGCGCTGACAAACCTAGAAACATTATCGGGACGAAGGACGATTCAAACCCACAATGATATGTTTCTGGTGTGCCCAAGGGACGCAACTCTGTGAATCGCGGTGCCTTAGACGACTTGGCCACCCGGGCCCTGTGTGCTCAAGGGTTTCAACCAAGGTGTCCACATGTACCACACAAGGTGGTCTTACTCTTCGCTGACACACGTTCATAACTCAAAGTCCGTGCAGAATGGTACACTGAATTAAAGTTTACAAATAACAAAAGTCTTTGGACATCGATAGAAAATATATTTATGACTTGATAGACAACATGAGTACAAGTCTCAATCCACCAGGTGAGGAAACGGAATCAGTAATAGACAACTTTTACTTTTATCTTCGAGGTTTCATTTGATCACCGTTCTTCACATATCCAACCTATTCAGCTGTTAACTGGCAACATGTCGAAATTAACACAAATATTACATAAACAGTACATTCATTTCCAATTAAACATGCCTTAGAGTGAAAATATCCACTTTCACTGAATCTGTCACACCATAATTTACTATATCTTATTAATTTCTCATCAAAGAAATATTTCGATTTACAAGAAGAATTCAACATAGTTATCAGGATATGATTATGCAGGTAAGAATTTAAAAGTAACATAATTGCATCACATGAAAGTTTCTTTAGTTCATTTCAGTTCTTATATTGTGCAGAATACAGTGAATGTATTCTCAAATTATAAAAAAAAAATATACATGGGATTTTTGTTTTGAAACAAATTTAGGTTTTACTGAGATTTTGGCCTGTAATGTTTCAACAAATGCAAATATCAAACTGATAACTCCAGAAGAAGATTTGATTATCGGCCTTGTCATATGTTTGATGAAGCTATAGAACTAAAATAATCTGGGTGGGCATTGGGAATTTGATCTGCCATGTTATAATAGTTTCCCGGTTAATGATACTTCAATCTGAAAGTGGTCATGGTTGTATAAATACAGGGTTGGGATAAAATTGGCAACTACATTGACAGGTAGTTTTTCAGTTACTGAACTGCCAGACCTTTTATAAAGTCAATAAAGTGATACACAAATGACAAATATAGAATAAATACCCAACTAATTAGTATGAAAGCATACAACTCCACAAAATGCATCCACAATCATTCTAAAAACTCACATTTTGTAAATGAAATGCAGGAATATACAAAGTTCCAGTTACAACAATGTTCTGCACAGCACTACAGGGCTATTCTCCAGATTGCACCGTGAGCCGTACAAGGCAGTGAAACATGCAAGGGACAACACCACTAGAAGGCACTTGATGATGTAATGAATTAGGAGAAATATGAAATATTTACAGTCAAATACATGTATGAAGTTATGTTTATAAGGCCAAATAATAAAAAAGTGAGGTTTAATTTCTTTTGACAAAATAATGAATGCTCCCTTCTCCATGATCCATGGATGCATGTGGCGATGGTTCGCACCAGGGATCCGGAAATAAATTTTTGCCAATCGGACATCTGCATTTGGCCACGCCCACCTCATATCTGAGGTGCTGGATGTTCATGCATGAATAAAAGAAAAAACTCAAGTGTCACTTTCATAACATATATACATGATATATATATATACAATATTTTAGCAATTCAACGACACATAAATCTAATATATACAATGTCAACCTATCGGGATGTTGGTTTGACTAATTTAGCTATGGAACGGTTTCCACTGTATAGCTGTCGGTTGCTTCTAGTCTTCCTGCGTCGCATCGTCGGTGTTGGGTCAAAATCTGTCAATCCACAAAGCGATATACGCATAAGTCTGTCCAGTGTCTCTGATGTTAATCTACATCTCAGCCGGTCTTATCGAGGGTTTTGTTTAGAAAATCCCCTCTCACATTCTACGCTGGACACGGGCAGTACACGACCGATCTCCATGAGCTAAACAATATTTGGGAACTGATCGGGCAATTTGGAAGCATGCGCTTTACTCAATAGCTGTCGATATGTCAACCGTCTGTAGTTGAAGATTAAAGGACGAAATATTCCCCATTCTCGTTCTAAATGGTCTTTGTCGATATGGGTATGTCCTTGTCGTCTGCTGCCATAATGGATACCTAACCTGGAAATTCTCTTGTCCCCCATACATCACAGGTCCCCAGGTCACTAACTTTGTCAGGGAAATTTGTCGGGTCAAAGGTTCCAAACACAGAATACAATTCGTTGTCTGGAAACCTGTCAGTCACATTGTCAAACAGTATTCTTGCACATTGCTTTACTCTATCAGTCAGTGTCTTGTCGTGATGCGATCTTGTCATTGTCACATTTTCAAATTTGTGTTCTTCATGTGACCATAGTTCAAGTCATGAGCCAGTAGAGTCTTACTAACTGTGCCATTCATACCAAATATGTCCTGTAAAAACATGGTCTAGCTTGTATGTGGTCAACTGTCGTAGTAGGGAGTCTGCCATGATGTCTGTGTCTCTCGTGTCTTCTAGCATGGCAATAAGTGCACACACACACACAAAATACAAATTCTGCACAAATTTTGACACTGGAATTGAGAAGAAAACAAGGAATCTTAAAACTGAAAATGGGGATATCTGATGGTACGTTTCACAGTAATATCTTCACTGGAGGAGTGAAAGAGTTGAGCTTTATGAATATTTCAACAGAAACTGGCTTCACACATTGTACCATGTGGGGGAATTAAAACGTTGAAGAGCCAACATTGCGTGTTTTTCTTACCCAATGGCCCCTAATACTGTAAATCTGGAAATTAATGTGTCTCCAAATTAATATGACTGCTGACCCCAAGCCAAAAATGTGACTCAATACCAATGCGACTCCCCCACCCCATCCCATCCCCAGTTGAATGATGCATATCCTTACCTTAATCCAATCAAACAGCAAATAGCACCGCTTATTAGTGCTGAGTAGAGCACTTTTCGTAAAAACAATAAACAGTGCTTTCCTAAAAACAACACACAGTTTATATGTTTACTCTGTTGACTGGCATTAAGGAAGTTCAAAGGCAATAGAATAACTGAACCAACAACAGTTCACTGATTGGTATACAAAGAAGGTGTCAACAAGCTTGACACGAGTGGGTAGAACTTTTGATCACAGCAGTGATAACTCACCGGATGCCTATTGTGTAATTCCTTTTCTTTGAATGACATTGTTATATACTTGTTATAACTGCTGCTTAATAAACGGTGTTAGTGTTTATATTCAAGTTGGTATTTCCACTATCCAAAGTGTGCAGTGAGGCTGTGTTGTTGATAGTCATTGTGAGCAAAGACCAGTCACATTATTTGCATTTAATACACGCTCGCATAAATTTAAAGATTCACAGTACTGGATGAAGAGGGTACAATATTCAAGCACTCCAATCACAATGTTGTTCTTGTCCTGTGATACAAAATGGCTTGACGAGGTAGCAGCAGAAACAATTATCATAATGAAAGCAGTTATCATATTGTACAAACATAGAAACAATCAATGCTAGTCGTCTTGTATATAACACTTAAAGAAACAATTAAAGGTTGTGAAGAAATAAGGAGTAACATAAGTCGTGCAACATTTGACAAGAATCACACATGCCCTTGAAACCTCCAGAGTGCTGAATACTGTTAACATGTGGCGTCAACACAAAACAAAACACAACCAACATCATCACATCTACCCTACACAGGACACAACTGGGACATGGTGTCGCTGGTAAATATGGTAACAGTGTCTATAGAGAGCTACGTCCAACTCAACACAGATGTTTGTTTGTTGTTTAAAGCTGAAATCAGCAAATATTCCAGCTATGTGACGGTGGTCTGTAATTGAGTCTGGACCAGACAATCCAGTGCTTGACATCATGAGCATTGAGCTATGCAATTGGGATACGATGACATGCAACAACCAATCCCATTAGTCGCCTCTATGAAAAACATAGTCGTCTGATACGGCAAACACAGATTTTCACGTGCCCAGGGATTATGCAACCAGCTCATCTCCCATGTGAACACATCTCAAGTGAACAATCAACCAAGGCAATAACATATGGATGTGGGTTTCCTCTAGGTTTTATGTTGATTTCACCATGGTGAACAGGATTACTGTGATTTGATGGTATCTCAGTGGGAGAAGAACAGCCGAAGTGACATAACCATTTCCCAGAAACCCAGGAGCATTGGTCTGGTAATTAACAGCCAAGGTACAAAATCAGGACAAATCTTGGTTAGACTACCAGCAATTCCTTGCCTGAACACAACTCTGCAGAGGCTCTTAAAGCCCTCCATAGGTGGAACATGGTCCAATGTTAACAAACACATAAAGCTTCTTACAATGTTGAGAAAAATATGAAATTAGCTAACTGAAACTCACCTGAATCCTATTCTGGGGAAAGATGTACAAATAATGCACTTCGCCTCATGTTTCACTGTAAACAAAAAGAACATTTTCTGAAACAATAACAAAGATAAGATGAAACAAGAACTTTGATTAATTTATTGTATGATGTCATTGTTCAACATTCTTCACTTGTAGATTGTCGAATGTGTGCGGGAATGCTGATTAAAAAACAAGCAAGGAAGTTCTCATCTATCCTTTGTGTTCAATGCCGAACTCAGCAATATTTCAGGAATATGATGGCGGGCTGTACATATTTGAGTCTGGGCCAGACAATCCAGTGACTGGGATATGACGACACGCATCAACCAAGTCAGTGAGCCTGTCCACCTGATCCCATCAGTCGCCTCTTATGACAAGCATGGGTTGCTGAAGACCATTTCAGGCTGTTCACCCGAACCCGTCAGTTACCTCTTATAACAAGCATGTGCTGCTGAAGACCACTTCTAAATATCTAGATTCAGCTTGTCCACCCGATCCCATCAGTCGCCTCTTATGACAAGCATGGGTTGCTGAAGACCATTTCAGGCTGTTCACCCGAACCCGTCAGTTACCTCTTATGACAAGCATGGGTTATTGAAGACCATTTCAGGCTGTTCACCCAAACCCGTCAGTTACCTCTTATAACAAGCATGGGTTGATGAAGACCACTTCTAACTATCTAGATTCAGCTTGTCCACCCGATCCCGTCAGTCGCCTCTTATGACAAGCATGTGCTGCTGAAGACCACTTCTAACTATCTAGATTCAGCTTGTCCACCCGATCCCGTCAGTCGCCTCTTATGACAAGCATGGGTTACTGAAGACCATTTCAGCCGTTCCACCCTATCCCGTCAGTCGCCTCTTATAACAAGCATGGGTTGCTGAAGTCCATTTCTAACTATCTAAATTCAGCCTGTCCACCCGATCCCGTCAGTCGCCTCTTATGACAAGCAAGGGTTGCTGAAGTCCATTTCTAACTATCTAGATTCAGCCTGTCCACCCGATCCCGTCAGCCGCCTCTTATGACAAGCATGTGTTGCTGAAGTCCATTTCAGCCTGTCCACCCAATCCTGTCAGTTGCCTCTTATGACAAGCATGGGTTGCTGAAGTCCATTTCTAACTATCTAGATTCAGCCTGTCCACCCGATCCTGTCAGTCGCCTCTTATGACAAGCATGGGTTGCTGAAGTCCATTTCTAACTATCTAGATTCAGCCTGTCCACCCGATCCCGTCAGCCGCCTCTTATGACAAGCATGTGTTGCTGAAGTCCATTTCAGCCTGTCCACCCAATCCTGTCAGTTGCCTCTTATGACAAGCATGGGTTACTGAAGTCCATTTCTAACTATCTAGATTCAATATGAACATGATCTAAAAATATGAATAATGTCACCAGACAAGAAAAAGCGTCACCTGTCTCAGCTGCTGCCAGTCTGTGGAGCATCGGCAGCCATACCAGGGTCTGTGGTTCCCGTAGCAACCAGCAATAGAACATGTCTTCCAATACTCCAGTTGTGTTCGAAGTCTGAAATCAAATCCATAGTTATCTCCATTCTTTCTTTCTTATGACAAAGTTTTCTTTATCTCATGATGTTTTTAGATTTCTCTTACGAAAGACTAACACTAATCTATTCACCTACACAATTATGAAACATCCATGTTTAATATGCAATGTTTGAAAAGTGACATGGGCGGGTCTCCGAGAGAGTGAGTGAGTTTGGCTTAACTTTGCTTTTAACAACATTTCAGATACATTTTGTCTGTGTAAGATGCGAGAAAAGCCTACATTGACAGTTACCACTTCGGTAAAACCCGAGAGCAGGGTCATGGCGCTGACAAATTCAGGTGAACTTTAGTCACTAGTCTGAAGCCTGTCATTACAGCAGTGGCGTGTACTAAAAATGACTCTCAAAGATAGATTAGGAATTCTTGACAACTAAGAATATTAATTGCACCATGATCTGATCGTGTTTGAAAGGCTAAGGGATACAACTTTGCACAAGGAATTGCAGCCCGCTAGAAGACCACTGGTGTCCCTTCCCTATTGCCAGCAGCATTCCCTAATTAAGCGAATGTGTATATTGTCAGAAGTTCATTTGATGTCAGAGATCTAGCGAAGGAGTAAAAACATACAGCTAGTTAAAGTGTCAATGAAAATACAACTTTTGCAACATTTTCTGACAGAAATGTTTTGCTGTTGACAAAAAACGTCAGGGCAAAGTGTTAGCATGTATAAGCACCCTCTTCTACAAAACTGTATTTGTGGAAGAAATGCGTAATCTACATCAGTGAATACAATGAGTGTCATGTGACCCTGTGTTTAGTACAGGGTGATTTTAATGATTACAGCACATTGACCGACGAGTTGATGGCGGGGCTCTTATTGGAGCAGGTGTTTAAATGGGAAATATAATGATTACACTTTACCATACTGCCAGAGGAAATAGAGGATATTATATTTGTGTTCATGTCATACTGTTTACGATACTCGTGTCTATAAATTCTGGTATTTCCCAAACGATAGTGAGAATTTAAGCACGAGCGTTGTAAACACAGTATGACAGGAACATGAATATAATGTTCTATTTATTACCGAAGAGGATGTGTACATATTTTAGTGTTTACCTATAAGGACAGCAAGTCGCAACATCAGTGGAACCACAATTTGTCGAATGTCAACAATTTTCAGCTATGGCGTCGTTTCTTGTGTGATGTCATTCTGACGGATGGATGACGGAAACAAAACACTGTTGTCTCATGACATAATATGACCCTAGGGCACATATGATTTTTATGAGCCAAGATATGTGGTGAAGCACGCAAGTTAATCCTGTTATTACACTAGATGCTACCTGGCCATACTCAGATGATGGCTAATTTTTTTAAGAAAGTTGTCTATTATAAGTGAATGAGTTGTTCATGTGATAAGAGAGAAAACTACGAATGTTTCTTTCGTATCCGAAAATCCATAACACAGGGATACTTTTTTTCCAAGATTCCATTCAATTTTGTTTGCATTAATATTGTCGAAATCGTGTATGAACTGATCGACTATTCATACCACATTAACTGATCATGATCTCGCCTTGAAACTAACATTAGTCGTTAGAGATACAAAGTCTTCGGTCTTCCTATCACTGGAATTTCGTTTCAGACATGATAGTGGCCATGACATTAAGAATTCTGAAAACTAAATCACCCACAGACAGGGAAGAAAATCCGAAAATGTGTAAACAGCTGATCGCTATTTCCGGCTTATTTTACGAGACAAATACACATGTAACCTTAATCTCTGCGTATGAAATATTGTCCGCCATACAGTACACAAATACCATTGAATGTGTAAATCATCATGTCTAGTGATGTTTTATCGTAAATTTCATGTTTTCATTGACCAAATTTGTAAACGGCAAAACAAGCACACAAACGACTATAATTGCCGCCGGTCATGACCCTTGACTTGACTACTTCCGGTGATGTTAAGAACATCGTTTTTGATTGGTCGTATTTCTCCCATTTTGTCCAATTAGATAAGTCGTCTTTTACTGGTATGGCACCTCGGAAGTCTACCTGTGCAGGTGCTCTTCGAAGTTATTTCGTTTTAAAATTGACAATCTCTGACCAAGGCCATAAAATTCAGGCTTCAGGGTCGAATTAGGTTGGATGGCTACACATGGAAGAACCTTGCGGAGGCAGGACAGTTTCCATTTTTGGTGGCGAGAGGTAAAGAAGCGTCTAGTTCAACAGAAGTCTGATCCGATTTGTTGACATAAGAGATAGGATGGTGCGAGGTACCCTAGGTGTCCAGAGTTGGAATCTCCAACCAAAGAAAAACTGTTTATATCAAAAGTAATGCTGAAAATCGAATATGTCCAGGCTCCATGTACGCCTTCAGATTCAGTTCCCTTATGTCAAAGTTCTTATTTTGGGGATTGTGATATCACTCCTCGGATTGGGTGAAGTGGTCATTGGTGTTTTAGCTTTCACCCATAAAATATGGGGACATTATCTTGGAACAGGATTATGGTGTGGAGTGGTTATCTTCGTGTCTGGAATATGTGCAATAAGTGCTTCCCAGATAAGGGCACCCTTAAGTGCAAAGATCTACTTTGCTACAGCAATCGTTGGAGTGATTGTGTCGTTTGTGATGGTTATTCTTTCGTCGGGTGGACTTGATTATGACAGCAACTTTTATCATTTTGGAAGTTTTAGGCCGGAAACACAACTCAAGAAGCATAATTCTACTATCATGGTCCATGGTTTGGCACTAGGATTCAGTATTTTTAGTTTTCTTGCAAACATCATATCTGTTATCATCTGCTTGAAGTATGTCATATTTGACAAGAAGATCAAGTATACAACTGAGAGAACATCCAGAAAAGCACCAAATTCACTTCAAAGAAACGTTTTACGAGGAGGTGCAACAGATGCTAGATCCAGCACAAGCAGTAGGGCACCACTGGCTGAACGATCTTCACGTAGAAGTCATTCCCGAAGAGAAAGTGACCATGGAAGCAGACGTGAGGCAGAGGAGTTTCTACCAGGTGGATCCCGATCTGATTCATCACGACGAAACAAAGAGAGAAGACATCGTAGTCAAAGAGGAGAAGAACGAAGACACAGAGGAGAGCATGATACTCCTCGTGATAACTCTAGAAGGAATGAACGATCTCGAAATCAGAGAAATGAAATACCAGTTCCAGTTCAAGTTGAACGGATGACTATATATGATGGTGTGACAGAAGCTGATGTTGTTCATAATGATCTGTTACCTACAGACTTTGATGAAGAGGAATTACCACCATATGAAGAAGCTATCCGGGACACCTATGTGCAAGTTTCTGATATCAATAATCAAGTTCTTTCTATCAATGCTCACAATGACTCAATGAGAGCCAACATGGGAGACCAGGTAGTTACATGTGATATTGATGAGGATAAGATTTATCAGAATGTCAACTGCAGTGATGATGAGAATGAAATTCATCAAAGTGCACCTGTTATTGAACCTGAAGTAACTGTTCATACTGGATCAACTAGAGAAAGGAGCACACCACTTGTGGAAGGGAATAATATTAATTTCAACACATCAACAGTTGCTCCAAGAAACAAATCTAGTACTCAAGTGAAATATTTCCAAGAGCAAAATCAGAAGAAGGATAATGATGAAATTGAGCTTTATGTCAATCAGAGTGTTATCCCTAAGCAAAATAAAGGGAGTGGGAGGCCTAGAGGTGAAAGAGATGCGTCCAACATTCGAACCCATCACAAAGCATCCTCATTCTCTTCCTCTGGTCTCTGTGATCAGGTTAGTGACAATGGTCCTCATGCCAGAAGATGCATATCAGCTGGCCATTCTAGCTCCCTACCTCCTGGTATCCCTCCCCCAAAACCACCTAGATTCTACTCCGATCTTCAGGATATTTTGGACAGTTCAAGATCGGACTCGAGTCTAGAAAGAAGTGGTCTTCGAGGAGTCACTAGTGATAAAACTTACATGAATGTTGATGATGTTAATACATACTCACATCGCAATATTTCACCCAAACTGAATGGACCAAAACTTAACATGATGAAGGATTTGGATTCTGGTCGAAATAAAAACTCTCGTTATAAGGCGGATTATATTCAGCTTCAAATTCGACAGGAACCAGAAGGAAGTAGTGGTCTTGGTGGCAAGGAAGGGTTTACATCTGCTGCAGCAACGTCCAAAATGGGAGGCAGGTTTGAAGGAGTTCTTGCTCATTCCTCTCCTAGACAATCACCTGTAACCAGAAATGTGAAATCTTTTACTAGTAATCTCCCTACTGAGAAAGTAAGGTCCAGTGAACCACCAAAGAACCTTGGCATAATGTCCGCATTGGAGATGAAAGGAAAGACCGTGTCAGATTCAAATACTCAAATTGCAAGCACTGCTACAAAACAGAGGTCAAGTGGTGATTCTGCTGAAGGAAAAGAATCACCAGCTAGTCCATCCTCGCTGAACAGTGTAGACATGTCGGGATTCTCTCCGGTCAGGTTTGCTTCACCAACGTCAGCGTTTAAACCGTACAAACGTGGGGACTCGGCTACAAGCTCAGGGGTAACCTCTCCCACATCAGACACTGATTTAATGGACTCCCCTTCAAGGATGCCCGAAGTATCAGCCACCTTGCCTCATACATCCAGCAACAAAGCTGTACAAAGACAGTCATCTTGGAAGGACTTCATGCTCCCATCTCCTCACAACAAATCGGATCAAAATCATTCATCAAGCACAAGTACAGACACAAAGAAAACCTCAGCTCTCACACAACCAATGAAACACAGCAGTCCAACGCCCATGTCTATGAACACATTCCCTAGACAAGCTCAGCCCACCCTTAGAATTTCTCCCTTGTCCTTAGTGAGGAATATTGGCTCCACGGGAACAAGCACGGCCATGACCACTACTGCTGCCAGAGAAGCTGTAACTGCTAGTGCGTTTCCAAGTGTGTTTTCAAGTGGTAAGGGTAATATAGTTATGCCAACATCATCAGCCTCAAATCCGAGGAACGTGTCAACCTCATCATCCAGTGTGACATCCGGATCTTCCAATCCAAATATGGGTCGGAACAGTGGTTCCAGTCTGAATCCTTCGCACAGCAGTCCATGGTCTGCTCGAGATGCCTCCAGCAGCAGCAGCAGCAGTCTGTTCCGACCTTCCAGTAGCTACACTACTGCCGACAGAAACAATACAATGCCTCATAGTTTTTTGCGTCCAAGTATTAGTGCAGTTGCACCAAACATTAGCAATGGCAACTCTAATGTGCATCCAAGTGAAAGACCTCACAGAGCCCACGGCCATGGTGGTTCTAGGGTTGATGCTGGTGGGTACTCGGGGGCGATGCCGCGAGTTCAACATCCTGGGCCTTCTGGGGCCCGGGCACCAACTTCAACTGTCTCTTTCCACAGGGGTCAAGGCCCTTCACAGGGTCAGGGTCGTACACAGGGCCAAGGTCGCTTAGATGCGGTTCCAAATCATGCTGTCATTCAGGGCCAAGCGGCATTGGTACAACTGCCACCTCAGGTACAAGCCAATCCACAACAGGGACCACCTCAACAACAGCCACCCCAACAGCAGCAGCAACAGCAGGGAAAACCTCTGTTTTCTATCATTCTGTGAGAAAATATTGGATAAAATAAGGAAATATGTGTCACATTGTGTGAAGGGATTGTGTCTCATTCATCAAAGTGTTCAACATGTCCAGGATTGTGAAAACTTTATAGTGTGTCATGACATCAAATTATGCTGCAAATAGGACCATTAGACTTCTATTTATGAATTGTAGCGCAGTAGTGACCATGTCCAGCATAGCACAGGCTTTGTTCTTAAGCAGACATGGAGAATATTTGTGTTACTGTCATCATGATTATTATAGCACAGTGGTTGTGACTTAAACACTGCTTGGAAAACAATATAAACTTTCTAGAATATATTAGAAGTGAGAAACAGTTTGTCCTGAATAGAATAATTTATTATTTTTACGTATATATTAATGTTAAAATCTGGCTGTCACTAGTGCATTTAGTATCATGCAGTGGCAATAAAGACAAATTTCATTTTTGTAGCTGAACTAATATTTGAAGTATAGCCATTTTAGTTTGCAATATACAGAGTGACAAGCTTCAAAAAAGAGCATTTATTAGTTTTGTGCTTGCCAGTATGTGACGGTGCTTTGTGCTAGAATGGCAGCTGAGTTTTCAATCATGTCGTGTATCTGGGTACTATCATACATTATACATGATTCAACTTGCAGAACTCAAACTTTGGATGACTCGCCTTCATGTGGTCCATGTGTGACGCTGTGCGTGTCAAATCACTCAATATTTAATCATGTTGACTTTACAATTACCCTTGATGATGTTAATCATGTTTAAATATTACCATGATTATGATGAGGATAATTAAACAAAATTTGTCATCTTGCTGGAATTACCGCATTCGATGTAATAAGCGCCCCGCTCTTATAAGCGCCCACAGCGGTATTTGCATATATTTTGGCTGGTGAACAATCCCAATTAACACCCCTTCAGATTGACCAATGTCCACAAGACTTCTTTATTCCTGTATAGTACGCACTCATGTGTTATATGCACCCTTAATTATGGACAATTAAATTCTGGAAAATATATCTGTCGTGTATAATACGCACAGACTTTTCTTTTGTAGCATTTCAGGCCGTCAGCATAAACCACAATATTAACAATCTTTCAACTCTGTTTTTTTTTCACACCAAAATTATGTTCTATTATCATGATTATGAGCCCCCTATTTCTAATTTTGAGAGCGCCCTGGGCGCTTGTTACGTCGAATACGGTAAGCATGTTCACAAAGTGGGCATGTGAAACATTTGTAAGCACAAATCAGTGCATGAAAGTGTCACCATTGTGGTTTAATCTCACAACGTGTATGTGTATATACCCGGTAGATAGGACAAATGAGGATGTTGTGATTTGCAAGCTTGTCATTTTTGTTGTGAGCAACTGGTCTGACATTATTATGGGCGACACAGCATTACATGGGTTACGATCACATCGATTTCAAAATTAGGGTCAGTTCATTGCCATAGACAGTAATACATTGTCCATGTTGTTGTGGTATGTGTTTTTTTCAAAAACTGAACTTCAGGGTAAATCTTATTTGTCATATTTTTTATAATGTGTCAATATACTGTTAGGGTTCGCATGGTTCGAACAAGGAATATAATCAACAAATTTGTATCTTTAGCAATGGGAATTGTTTCCATGGTTTCTGTGCGCCAATTCTTCATGTTTTTAGAAATCTTTGTCCTTTTCACAAACTGTTTTATTTTTGAAGGGAACTAATGAAATATCTCAATGTTGTCTACAGCCGTTTGGACTCTTTATGGTACTTTATGTTACTGCCATCGTGACAAAATTAATCAAATAATATGAATTTAGGGAAAGGTATTGGAGGTTAAAAGTTCATCGCAATAATTTACGATGCACAAGGCCGTATTCAAATATGTATAACAATATACGTGTATTGTATTCCAAATTTTTAATTTAGAAACAATTTGAAACACTATTGTATGAATAGTAGTCCATAAATGGAACAAACAAGATGCTGGTACAACATAAATTTTACTCATTCATGGATGCATGCTCCAATTAAGCCCAATTATTAGATCAGAGAAACAATTCCTTGTGTAAACATGGTAAATGTTCAGATATTGGCAGTGTTGGATGTGGTGTTCAGTTCATTTTCTCACTTGTATAAAGTATCCTCGCAGGAAGCACAATGGTCCAAAACATATTTTTTGATGAGATTACATACAGATATATGCAATGAAGTTAAATATTATTGATATGGGGTGTAGACATGTATTGAGTATGGGAATCCCAAGGTCACCATCATCAATCTTAGAAGATTCAGTCAATCTCATCAGACTTTCAATCTGTTCAGTATCCAATGCTTTGTGATGAAACATTTATCATTTCACATAGTTGAGGCCAGACAACATCTTTATTATTTTATCATGTTTAACAGCCATATTTTGCCAAATTAATCTATTTTCTGTTTGATTGAAATTGTTTGTTTTGTTTCAAACAAACTTTTGGTTCTGTTATTGCTGAAACATTATTTCAAATGTTTTTCTAAATCAACATGGCCAACATTTAAAACATTTTGTGGTTTCCAGGGCCCGTTCCATAGAGCAATTTTAGCGCTAAGACAATCATAACCCCCATACTTTTATGGCAGTTGTAGCACTAAAATTGCATTGTGAAATAGGTCCTTGACTCTTGACAGAAAAAAAACCAAAAAAATGTAAAGCAAGTAATAAATTTTTGCCTGGCCTCTTGACTGAATCATTAAATTTCATGGTTGTATCTGTACCATCAGTCATGGTTCATACACCCTGATTGTTGCTGCTCACAGAGACCTATGCAGATTTTAGGCCTAAGAAATAGTTCTCAGGTACCGCCTGTGGCACCAACACACTGCCTTTTCACGAAAGCAGTTAATTCTGATTTAATAAAACTACTGCTTCCTACCCTGGTTACACACACCCCATTTCACATCCTACTTCACAAGAGGCTACCAGCCAGACATTCTTTTCAAAGACATTACAGGGAAAAACTTGTTTAGATTTTTTATGCCGTATGTATTGTACAGTTGCTAGAGAATGCTGTAACCATGACAACCTTGATGAAGGTCACAAGTGAAACCACTAACATTGCTAAAATGTGCTAACAATATTTTGTGCAAATTATCATATGTCTTTGTCTATTGTTATTTATGTGAATGCAGTATTTTTGTTGGTTTATATGCAAAAGATAATGTATGAGTACCATAATCAACGTAATTAGCACCCTTCACTTAATAACAACCCCTATACGAAAGTGCATCTGCCTGGAGAGTGGGAGGTCAGTGGTTTGATCCTCTGGCTGTGTCGTACCTAGGGACGTTAAAAGATGGCACTTGTTTGTTCCCTGCCTGGTGCTCAGGATTATTATATATTTATACATCCTGTCAGTTCTGTCATCCATATCCAAAAGAGAGTACCATTGAAGGAATTATTGTGGTGTTTATTTGTTCAAATCAGAATTTCAGAAGTAATGTAATAACATAAAGTCAAATGGTTTTGGAAATCTCAAGAACCCGGACATCCTTCAATCAGCTTGGTGGTCAAAGTCTACTCCGGGTTCACCTCCCTGAACCTTCTGTGCAGGCGTCCTAAGCTGTAGAAGCAGAGCGGTATGATCTGGAGTACAAAAACTTATTTTGATGAGATTGAGGACATTTGTTTGCCATTTATGAGAGAAATTAACATGCTTAACATATGAGTACAATGTCCTAATATTTTCCCAATTCTGAATAACGTCCTCCCAAAGGACTCGTTTGACCTCAGACTTTCTTAGAACCTCCAGGGTGCTGATTATGTAGATTACGGTACTCTTATCAAGTAGTCAGGTAATAAAACTGGTTGCACTAACTTGCCGCAAACACCTTAACATCAACAATGTGTTGATAGTTATTTAGATACTTGCAATACTAATATAGTTATACATGCATGTGGCTTTGAACATGATGAATGTAAACTACATGTCCTCCACTGATCTGACTTTACCCTGATGTGGAAGAGAAAGACAAGGATGTGCTCGTACTTCTGATCAGTTAAGATTTTCTTAGGAAACCGTGCTCAAATTGAAATGCTTTGTTAAAAAGTTGGAGAAATATATGATCATAACATGATAGATATAGGTGTCGGTCAGACAACAATAACAATATAATTTATATCACATTGTTTGTAAACGTTTCTAGAGCATGCATTAGTGTCTCGCCTACATGGGTTTCAGCAGTTTACAAGGTTGACTGTTCCATGCTATGGGCATGGCATTTACTACCAGTGATAGAAGAGCAGTTCATCATACTGGTAAATCATTCATAGTGCTTAGTACAGGATTGTGTCTCATGGAGTTCTGTGGTCGGTAAGTATTAAAGAACTTGGGTTTTCACCTCTAAGACATGTGGAGGTTAGTTAGAAGAATATGTTCTTGCAGGTTTTTGGTTATAGAACTGATATGCCTTGTACTGACATTAGACAGGTTGGCGCACAACTTAGGGCTTTGTGGTTGTTTTCATCGGTTCAACAAAGACATTCAAATGATTCATTTATAACTTTGGTGCTTTTATGACACATCATTCTCCATCTCTGAAAACTTAATTTGGGGAGTGATTCAATGTATAATGTTTGCATATGACATTTAAGAACTTCCTGTTTCGTAATTGTAATCGCTTTATGGTGCATGATCAGATTTCCCAGATTTTGTATTGTGTAAAACTGCCATGTTCGTTACTCTTCTGATAGGAATTTGTATGTGCTGTTTACCTTTGAGGAGAATCGAAGTATTTTGTGTAGACAAACGATGTCTCCATTAGGATATCGAAAATATATTAGGCCAGAGAATAAAGAATGGGATATATTTGTTCAAAAATACCCCCGGTTTTAAATGCTGTAATCAAATTCCACTATTGGCCTGTGTGAATTTACCCTAGAAAAACCTCCTAAATGAGAGGTCAGTTGGTCTTTTGAAAACATTTAAGCGATTAAGACGTATGTTGATCTGATCCTGCACATTTAGATTAGTGTTTTATTTTGGGTATTTTAAGGCTTTTGAAAGTCTGGCTAGAAGCAAGGTACAGCTTGCCTTCCTGTGTTATAATGTGTCTCATTGGTGCTTACAGAGTTACCTGTTTTCCTGATTAGTACTCTGATTAGTACACTGATCAGTGTTTGCTGCTTGTTATAAAGGTCCTGTGTTGAAGCAGGCAGTGCTCCTTCAGTAATCTCGGATGTCCGCCATCATGTGAAGTAGGACGGGCATTCAGTGGTCATGTCAGTGTCAGTATTTTGACTGAAATTGCTTTATGTTCTAAATCATACCCCAAAAGAAGTAAACTTACACTTGTGAATGCCTCCATGAGAATCTATTTCCTTGTTCTGTATCATTAACCTTGCTTATACAACTGTATTATATTTTAAACTTGTTGCTTTACAAAAATATATTTTGCAGATTTGTACCACTGCAAAAGATATATCATATTTTAATGAAATTTTGGTCTTAAAATTTGACTGATGTTTTCAAAGTGTAAATATCATTTTTGAGCAAGTATTCCCCTTGCCCATGGACATAGTGCCAGGAGATGAAGCCAATACATTGGTATACTGATGCAATATCGAGAGATCTCGTTGGATGAAAGGCAGTTAGCTTGGCAGGTATGTAATCTAGACCTTTGTTCATTTTCTTGGCAGTATCTGCAAGTAAAGTGAAGGCTGTCTTCACACATTACTTTTCAGAGATGATATTTAGTCTATCAATTTATTTTCTCATTTTTGGGTGAGCCTTCCCTAATGTGCTGCAGTAAAAATAAAATAAAAACAAAATTGAGTGTTTGATATGCCTTTTAAAAATATATTTGCTTATTTTGTTAGAACTTTCAATATTTTTCAAAAAAAGAACTTCAAATTACCTTTACAACATTTTTTTTCATTTTTTTATTTTCTCTCCTGCCTCTTGACATACAGGGTTTTGTCCAAGAACATCTGCAAAATAGATACAAATTGGACATATTCTGTAAGAGAACTTGCGAGGAAGACTCAAACACTGAAAGGTGATGGGGAATGTCTCAGCCCAAAGCTGCTAATTATGTCATGTATAAATCAGTTATCTAGCAACGTGTCATTAACCAGTTCAAATCATAACCTTCCCATGATGGCTGTCCATACTTGTAGAAACGATTGATTTTGCTCAAAACAATACGAAGGAAGTTGATGCGTTTTATCAGGTCACATATCGGCTATGTCATCTTCCTGGGGCAAGGGAGGTAACTCACTATAAAGTCAAGTTTCCACCCATGCCGAACTAAGCTGGAATTATGGAGGTACATTTTGGCTGGAATAATGAGTCTATGCATAATCGTGTAACGAAATTGATATCTGGTTCGTAAACTGCTGTGAAGATTTTGGTCTGTTGCAGGATTTGCAAAGCATGTGTACTGCCAGCTCGGTGTCAACAGATATTTCCAAATCTTTTCATGTTTTTATTCAAGGTCCTCAAGTGATTTCCTGCACTTTGCGAAGACACGTTTCATCACAATATATATTTTTATTATTGATCAGATTGTCTTTACTTGTTGTTTGGTTGCAAATGCAAGTGATATAATCTGATTGGTCAATAGGAGGGACATAGAAGGGACGTAACTCGTCATTACCACTGGTGGCGCTACAATCAAGCCTAGAAATTCCAGCCTAGTTCGGCAAGGGTGTAAAGTGGACTTTTACAGTCAATTAACTCCCCTGCCTCAGGAGGATGAAGCTGTTTGTATGATAACCCTTATTTATCTCGTCAGCTGTCTTGTACATACCTGTCTGTGTATCTCACCTGTACATACCTGTCAGTGAAACGTCACCTGTACATACCTATCAGTGTCTCACCTGTACATACCTGTCAGTGTCTCACCTGTACATACCTGTCAGTGTATCACCTGATGCTGATTGTTGCGCTGCATGGTCTGGGTGTACATTTCACCAGTTCTCATAATGTTTGTGTTCACGTTGCCATGGCAGTATGTTATTTCATATAATTATTTACTACTACCAGTTTTAACAGGTATCTAGGTATTATGCTGTGAAAAATGAAAAATTTAGTCTGAATAATTTTCAAGAAAACATAGGTATCAGACATGACTGTCGTTATGGTTACTATGTAATTACACGAGGCAAATACCTTGGTGTGTCAGGCCAAAGTGTTTGATGTTCGTTAAGTTCCTTAATGCAATGAAATAATGTATTTATTATTTATATGCAAAGTGACATTTTTAACAATATTCGAATATTATTGGATTATTCATGATTTCAAATAATGTTCAGATTATACCTTTGTGGACATGGTAGAGATAAAATAGGACAACATATTACATTGTTTGGGAAAAGTGTGTATGATGTGACGACATACAACATACTGGCTTTATTCAGCTTAACGCACTAACGGATCAATGTTTTCAAAGTCTCCATGGATTGATACCCATTTTCTATCCCTAAAATGGATCATATCATTATTACTAAGAGGATGTTATAACTTCCCCCTAATATGAGTTGCATCCCTTGGCCAAGGCAGGATTCACTGAAAGCGAGTTCTTCTCCCAGAATCACCTTGATTATGGTCCTTGGTTTGCTGGCACCATACCATGCTGGTGTGTTTAACGAACGTGAAATACATCTATGGCCACGTCTCTTTGGGCTGGTATCCCTCAAGAAGATAATATCCCTGACATAAATGAAATATGTCGCAAGAAGGCATTAACCAAACAGTGCTCCAAATAGAAAGGAAACAACAGCTGATAAGAATGTCACAGTTTATTCAGAAATAGGTCCCATGTATTCTGTAACCAAACAGGTGTTGAACATGAAATTAGCAATACAAACATGTCAGTCGGCAACATTCTGGCGAGACACTGATAGCATGTGATTAATCTGAATGTAGAAATATGAATGCTTGACCCTGTCCCATATTCATATATCAGGAATTATAATTTATTACCAAACAGTGCAATACACACAGTAGTATAGCGCAGAGATTATGAATTTATAGATAGTTACTTATGACTGTATATGGCTTGCAATCATTCAGTACAGAGATTGAAAAATCATCAATGTGTCAAGTGCAGCACTAGCTGTTTGGAAGATTGTTGGTCTTTAATGAGATACCAATTATTTAACTTTATTTACACGTTATCATGGCCGACAGTCTTCCAAAACATCTTATATCTTATCTCCGTCGTGCTTTAGTCAGCTCACAAGGACTTGTAACATGATTACTGAAACACAAGTCATTTACACAGGCTGTTGTATTCTAAGGGCCCATGTGCACAAAGAGTCCTCAGCATACACTTTAGGCCTGTCCAAGTGTGGGAGTTCCAATATTCTCAACGCTACGATGACAAGATGACCTTGTGCAGATGGGCCTTAACTAAATTGGCAATCTAATTAAAATCAGATCTTATTTCTCGCTACCGCTAAACAAAGATCTGAGTACATCCCATTACAGGTCATGTCAGAACGACCTTTCGCGAATTTTGACCGACCAATGAAATGACTGACAAGAAATCTACATTAGCCAATAAGAAGGCAGCTTTCTCGAGCTTTACGACACTAGTTTCAAACTGGCGACTACACTTCGAAACATATTTTGACGTATTCTCAATTAAGGAAATTAAACTGATAAGAAGAACACTGGAATGGCTTATAGATGGCCTAGATTGTATGGATATAATCTTAAAACCTGTAACTGTTATTCGGAATACCCCGTGTTAAATATTCCGTGGTTGCATGATTAGAAAACAGATTCCGACTGTCACTTTCATGATCTGGTAAGCGACGCTCTGATAGGTTGGATGAAAGGTCGTTCTGACGTGACCCCAAACGGGATGTCCTCAGATCTTTGTTTAGCGGTAGCGAGAAAAAAAGATCTGATTTTAATGAGATTGCTGAATTGGCAGAAAGGAATCACATACCAGGAGCATCATACTTTGTGATTTTTCAACCAGTGCAAAACCTTAAAATACTCCTTTAATGTGTGATGTCAGTTTTCTATTTGTTAACAAATACTATGGAAGACCAGAAAGCATGTACAGGTGGAAATGAAACACACTGCAGATACTTTCATTATCCCAGACATTCTACGAAACTAATCATAGTATGCAAGAACTGCCACATGTGTTGTGTCTTTCTATGGTTGCTGCCAAATCACACATTGTAAAATGTTTGATGTAGTGCAATTAATGGCAGACTGTAAGCTTGTCACTTTTCATTGTGAACATTGTTTTTAAGTTGTGCGTTCTTAATGTACAGATTTAGCATATCAATTGTATACATTGATTTTTTTTACCATTCTTGTTACCATGGTTACCAGATTCTTGCTGTATTTATATCCTCTTAGATATTTTTGGAATGAGTTGAGCTGATTCACCATGTGGACAATTTGCATTTTTATTCGAAGAAAGTTTGCCTGTAGCACAATAAAAGTGTTGGGTCTCTCTATGTTTTCTTGTTTACATCACAACACCCAGATTCTTTCATGTTGGAATGTTAGACATCGACTCTTCTGAACCAACAATGCGGGGGTTGTGTTAATGATGGGTCCCACTGGATAACAAGGGGTGTGAGTGTGAGTGAGTTGGGTTTAACGCCGCTTTTAACAGTATTCCAGTTATAACGCGGCATGTCAGCTTAATGTGGGAGGAAAGCCTGAAGTGATGCAGGTCTCAGACGTTTACCACTTCTGGTATGGTGCTGACAAACCTAGAAACATAACTGGGGTGAACCGGATTTCGAACCCCTAATCATAGGTTTCTGGCATGCCCAAGGGATGCAACTCTTCACAGCGAATTGTGGCGCCTTAGACGACTGGGCCACCCGTGCCCCCTAATGGGAGGTGAGGTGAAATGGGGTTTAACGTCGCGTCCAAGATTATTGCACTTATATAGCGACTTGCATACCCGTGTGTGCGTGTGTGTGCGTGCGTGCGTGCGCGCTAGTGCTAGACCAGACTGATGCCGATTTGTAGTGCTAGCTCACTGAGATACTATGCCGCAGTTTAACATGAATACCCCACTCAGACACAGTATACTAACTCTGAGCCGACCAGTCCTTGTTTTAACCCCTTAATGCCGAGCGCCAGACAGGGTAACAACAAGTACCATCTTTTAACGTCGCGGCCGGGGATCGAACTCCGGACCTTCCTCTCTCCGGGTGGACGCTCTACCACTGGACCACGGAGGCGGTCTCCCCTAATGGGACTAGTCATAATGGCAGTTAACCTAGGTTTTACACCGCTTTTAGCTGTAGTCAAATCACAGTAGGAGACTTCACATACAGCAGCCATGAAAGAAATTGAGGCCAGACAAAACAACGCTTTAACCACTTGGCCCCTCTATCACCCCGTGAGATGGGAGTGAGACTGACTCGGGTCAGCTGGGACCTGGTTTCTCCTGTAGTGTGTAGCCTGCAGTGCCGGTCTGGATCAAAGCTTTGGCCTGGTCATCAACAACCATCTCTAGGGTGACTTCTTTAAACATATCACTCCGCGAGACCTGGAAGGAACAATGTTACAGAATGTATCTCCAGGGTGACTTCTTTAAACATATCACTCTGCGAGACCTGGAAGGAACAATGTTACAGAATGTATCTCTAGGGTGACTTCTTTAAACGTCACACCGCGAGACCTGGAAGGAACAATGTTACAGAATGTATCTCTAGGGTGACTTCTTTAACCATATCACTCCGCGAGACCTGGAAGGAACAATGTTACAGAATGTTGACACACTCATCAAATGTGTGACAGGAGGAGAGGTCTGTACACATCTGCTCTACCCTCAAATACAACTGTTTAATAAACCACTGGTCTCAATTTTGACTTTGACTGGCATTAGCGAGTATGGTTTTACGCCACTTTTAGCAATAATCCAGCAATATCACGGCCAGGGACACCAGAAATGAGCTTCATGCATTGCACCCCTGTCGGGAATTGAACCCGGGTCTTCGGTGTGACGAGCGAATGCTTTAACCACTAGGCTATTCGACTGCCCCTAACGAGCATGAAGACTACAGGTAAACAACCCTACGTCCACACACACACAGCTTTCTGTTCATATAATAAAATATGTTTGTTAGGCAAGAAATATGAGCCTTGTCAATGTAAACAGGGAGACTGACATTGTACACATCCATGCACTGATGAACCTGGTACTTCATACAAGAAATGACGTAAGCTATTCTAGACAAACAGTTTTCCTTATTAGTCAACAGAAACGTCAGAAAAGGGTCTTGGTGATTTTTTTTCACCTTTGGTGTCCTGTGCAAGGAGGGAATGTGCCGAATTAACCCTGAAATTGGATCAGTGGTCAAAATAAAATTTAACACAAAAAAATTTGTTCCAAAGCTATCACTAAGTATAGCCAGTAGGCAAAATAAAAAAAGAAATAAAGTCTGGAAGCAGAACAGGAAAACAATGTTACCAGTTATCACAGACAGTCTGACTTCGTCATTCACATCATGTGTTTCCAAAATGGGCATATGCCCAGTGACATATATTAACAGACTCGGCGAGACTATAACATGACTGCCCTAATGGTTTTCATTTCATTTCATACATCTGCAATTGAGGACAGAGTGGTTAAGTACATATAATCATGGTAATACAAATACTGGTACAATGCCTTCATAATAATACTGTCAATACTGTTGATATACCGTATACAATAAATAGAGAGAGTAAGTATGGTTTTACGCCGCCTTTAGCAATATTCCAGCAATATCACCGCGGGACACCAGAAAAGGGCTTCACACATTGTACCCATGTGCGTAATCAAACCTGTGTCTTCGGGCGTGACAAGCCAACGTTTTAACCACTAGGCTACCCCACAGCCCCTTACAATAAATAGAGGCAGAGCAATAACATGACTTACCTCCACAAAGCCTAACTTGTTGAACATTGCAAGACTTGGAGCATTTGAGAAGCCAATTTTGGCTGTTATTTTTGTCAATCCCAGAGCTTCGATGCCTATAGTAAGCAAAAGGTCCAAGAATTAGCATATACATATATCATTGATAAAAATTAAAAGCATCAGACTCAAATAGTATAGTATCTACAATCTCCAACTTAACAAACTGAATAGCCCAATAACGAAAATGGCTCAAAATGAACATGGGTTTTGTAAAGTCTTTTACAGGAATTTTGTTTTTGTGAAGGTAGATAATTCCTCACAAACACCCCCACTACCAAGACATTTGAAGAGATTTGTAAATCAAATATGCACTAGGGACAGACTTCAATATTTAGCGTTATGGAGTCATAAATGTAAAAACCAGACTTCATCTGTGTAGCCAAGCGGATATACGCAAAGAGTACACCCAAGTTTTTCAGTTCAATTTTAAGGGAATTCTTACAAATATGTCAACAATAACTTCCCAGACTGCTTATTGATGAACACAAATATAACTTAGACAACGATACAAAATCATTGACATCATTTAGCACAATAATGCAACACAAGCCCCGCCCATTGTATCATCAGCCAATCAGGAAACAGTAGTCTGTTAGTAGGGCTGAACGGCTCGTTGTCGGCACAGATATGTACCCAGGTATGTTGCGGTGTACAGATATGTACCCCAGGTGTGTTGCTGTGTACAGATATGTACCCAGGTATGTTGCTGTGTACAGATATGTACCCAGGTATGTTGCTGTGTACAGATATGTACCCAGGTATGTTGCTGTGTACAGATATGTACCCAGGTATGTTGCTGTGTACAGATATGTACCCCAGGTATGTTGCTGTGTACAGATATGTACCCAGGTATGTTGCTGTGTACAGATATGTACCCCAGATATGTTGCTGTGTACAGATATGTACCCCAGGAATGTTGCTGTGTACAGATATGTACCCAGGTATGTTGCTGTGTACAGATATGTACCCAGGTATGTTGCTGTGTACAGATATGTACCCAGGTATGTTGCTGTGTACAGATATGTACCCAGGTATGTTGCTGTGTACAGATATGTACCCCAGGTATGTTGCTGTGTACAGATATGTACCCAGGTATGTTGCTGTGTACAGATATGTACCCCAGATATGTTGCTGTGTACAGATATGTACCCCAGGAATGTTGCTGTGTACAGATATGTACCCAGGTATGTTGCTGTGTACAGATATGTACCCAGGTATGTTGCTGTGTACAGATATGTACCCCAGGTATGTTGCTGAGTACAGATATGTACCCCAGGTATGTTGCTGTGTACAGATATGTACCCCAGATATGTTGCTGTGTACAGATATGTACCCCAGATATGTTGCTGTGTACAGATATGTACCCCAGGTATGTTGCTGTGTACAGATATGTACCCCAGGTATGTTGCTGTGTACAGATATGTACCCCAGGTATGTTGCTGTGTACAGATATGTACCCAGGTATGTTGCTGTGTACAGATATGTACCCAGGTATGTTGCTGTGTACAGATATGTACCCCAGATATGTTGCTGTGTACAGATATGTACCCAGGTATGTTGCTGTGTACAGATATGTACCCTAGGATACGTCCATTCCGTTGCAGGCTGCACTGCGCAATGCTCGTAACCTTAACCGGTTCCTTGAACAATTACATAAACGACACGTCCTGGATGCCAAACTGTGGTTCAAATCAACATGGCAGTACTTGTCGTATATTTTTCTCTCGGTATTTCCTTACCATAAATAGATCGGAGCTATCATACTGTTGTATGAGATGCATTCAAGTGTGCTACATAAAAAACGAGCAAACACCATGACCTACGTACGTTCCTCCCATATTCTACGATGCACAGCATTACCCAGCATGCCCTCATCATCAGGCGAATCAGAACTACAACATGAACCGGTTTGGGGCAGAGGAATATCGACTTGTCCGCCATTTAGGATACCGCATACTCTTCTGTATTCTGATTTTGCCTGGGTTACATTTCTGTATACAGAAACGTACCTGGGTACATATTTGTAGTACCCATGCCGACAATGACCCCTTCAGTGAGAGTAGGTGTGGCCTGGTTTGCCAATCAAATGCCACATAATCACTGGCAATTTATTCCTAAGTGTACCGACTCTATACACTAATTGTGGGCTCTTTTGTAGAGTCCACCTGCTTTAAAGTTACCATATCTCATCATAGACAGGAGTGCTTCCTTCCCGAGCCCTCTCCCTCGCGCGGACGATTCTGAAAACAGACATCTAGTCTTAATGGCCTTGACAAAAAATGAGAACTTGACTCAGACACGAACAGCATAGGATACTTTCAGCCACATAGAGCTACTTTGTATCAATAGTATACACTGAAGGAACAAGAAATCTGGAGATCCCTGCAATTTAAAGCATGTGGGTTTACCCAGGTCAATATTACAGCAATATCATGACAAGGACACAAGGGTGCCTGGGTACAAAGCGATCTTAGCACTAAGGTGATCACAACTCCAATACCTTAAACATAGACTTACGACACTTGTAGCGCTAAGGTTGTTTTGTACAACGGCACCCCGGTGTATACGCTATCGCTCCATATTCAATGGATTATGAAAATTAAAAGAAAAATAACAAGTGTCATACAATCTTAAAATAACTTTCAACTTTAATATTATACCTAGACACAACGATGTCATGCTCTTCTATCAGGATTTTCTAAAGTTTTCTGGAGGAAATGGTTATTTCTGTAATCTCAACTAGATCTCTCAATGCCTGCTTGTCAAATGTGTCTAGCTTTTCTTTCTTCTTGTGTTTTGAGGGGCAGTCTGGTGGCCTAGTGGTTAAAGCATTCACTCATCACCCTGAAGACCAGGGTTCGATTCCCGACATAGGTACAATGTGTGAAGCCCATTTCTGGTGACCCCTGCCGTGATATTGCTGGAATATTGATAAAAGCGGCGGAAAAGCATACTCACTCACTCACTCTTGTGTTTTGGAATGCCTCCTTTGGTACATCATCCGTTTTGCACGTTTTTCTGGGGAGATAATTCTGAATAGTCCTTTGAGATAGGTTTGCAGCATGCAATGTTCTCTTTGTGAAACAATGGAGAGATCTAAAGGCTGTTTCTCTTTTCGATTCATGTTTAGACCACAATGCACCTCACAGACACCACTGGCATACTTAGACACCATATCTCCACGTTACACTATATTTCCAAATTACACCATATCTCCACGTTACACTATATCTCCACATTACACCATATCTCCCTGTTATACCTTATCTCCCTGTTATACCATATCTCCCCGTTACACCATATCTCCCCGTTATACAATATCTCCACATTACACCATATCTCAATGTTACACCATATCTCCACGTTACACCATATCTCCACGTTACACCATAACTCCACGTTACACCATATCTCCATGTTACACCATATCTCCACATTACACCATACACCATATCTCCATGTTACACTATATCTCCACGTTACACTATATCTCCACGTTACACAATATCTCCATGTTACACCATATCTCCATTACACCATATCTCCATGTTACACCATATCTCCATGTTACACCATATCTCCACGTTACACCATATCTCCATTACACCATATCTCCCGTTCCACCATATCTCCACATTACACCATACACCATATCTCCATGTTACACCATATCTCCACGTTACACCATAACTCCACCTTATCTCCATGTTACACCATATCTTCATTACACCATATCTCCACGTTCCACCATATCTCCACATTACACCATACACCATATCTCCACGTTACACCATAACTCCACCTTATCTCCATGTTACACCATATCTTCATTACACCATATCTCCATGTTACACCTTATCTCCACATTACACCATACACCTTATCTCCATGTTACACCATATCTCCATGTTACACCATATCTCCATTACACCATATCTCCACGTTACACCATATCTCCATGTTACACCATATCTCCACGTTACACTATATCTCCACGTTACACCATATCTCCATGTTACACCATATCTCCATTACACCATATCTCCACGTTACACCATATCTCCATGTTACACCATATCTCCACGTTACACCATATCTCCATTACACCATACACCATATCTCCATGTTACACCATATCTCCACGTTACACCATAACTCCACCTTATCTCCACATTACACTATATCTCCACATTACACCATATCTCCACGTTCCACCATATCTCCACATTACACCATACACCATATCTCCACGTTACACCATAACTCCACCTTATCTCCATGTTACACCATATCTTCATTACACCATATCTCCATGTTACACCTTATCTCTACATTACACCATACACCTTATCTCCATGTTACACCATATCTCCATGTTACACCATATCTCCATTACACCATATCTCCACATTACACCATATCTCCACATTACACCATACACCATATCTCCACGTTACACTATATCTCCACGTTACACCATATCTCCATGTTACACCATATCTCCATGTTACACAATATCTCCATGTTACACTATATCTCCACGTTACACCATATCTCCATGTTACACCCTATCTCCATGTTACACCATATCTCCACGTTACACTATATCTCCACCTTATCTCCATGTTACACCATATCTCCATGTTACACCATATCTCCATTACACCATATCTCCACGTTCCACCATATCTCCACATTACACCATACACCATATCTCCATGTTACACCATATCTCCATGTTACACCATATCTCCACGTTACACCATAACTCCACCTTATCTCCATGTTACACCATATCTCCATTACACCATATCTCCACATTACACCATACCTCCATGTTACACCATATCTCCACGTTACACAATATCTCCACGTTACACCATATCTCCATGTTACACCATATCTCCACGTTACACCATATCTCCACGTTACACCATATCTCCATGTTACACCATATCTCCATTACACCATATCTCCACGTTCCACCATATCTCCACATTACACCATATCTCCACGTTACACCATAACTCCACCTTATCTCCATGTTACACCATATCTCCGCGTTACACCATATCTCCATTACACCATATCTCCACATTCCACCATATCTCCACATTACACCATACACCATATCTCCATGTTACACCATATCTCCACGTTACACCATAACTCCACCTTATCTCCATGTTACACCATATCTCCACGTTACACCATATCTCCGTTACACCATATCTCCACGTTACACCATATCTCCACATTACACCATACACCATATCTCCATGTTATACAATACCTCCACATTACACTATATCTCCTCAATTCACAATATCTCCCTGTTATACCTTATCTCCCTGTTATACCATATCTCCACGTTACACCATATCTCCCCGTTATACAATATCTCCACATTACACCATATCTCAATGTTACACCATATCTCCACGTTACACCATATCTCCACGTTACACCATATCTCCATTACACCATATCTCCACGTTCTACCATATCTCCACATTACACCATACACCATATCTCCATGTTACACCATATCTCCACATTACACCATATCTCCATGTTCCACCATATCTCCATGTTACACCATACACCATATCTCCACGTTACACTATATCTCCACATTACACCATATCTCCACGTTATACCAGACTTCTCGCCTATATGGCTATGGCAAACTTCTCCTATAGAACAAATCCTATTCAGAAGTAAAGACATCTACCCCAGTACATGTTACTGTACAAATACTACACATCATGTTCTTTAAACAGTTTTATCATTTATTTTTCCTGAATTTGTTAGCGAAATCTGCAATCTATAAACAAAACTGGCCTTGCTACCCGACTGGGACGTTTCTTTAACCAGAGGGTTGTCTGTTTAACCAGAGGGTTGTCTGTTTAACCAGAGGGTTGTCTGTTTAACCAGAGGGTTGTCTGTTTAGCCAGAGGGTTGTCTGTTTAACCAGAGGGTTGTCTGTTTAGCCAGAGGGTTGTCTGTTTAACCAGAGGGTTGTCTGTTTAACCAGAGGGTTGTCTGTTTAACCAGAGGGTTGTCTGTTTAGCCAGAGGGTTGTCTGTTTAACCAAAGGGTTGTCTGTTTAACCAGAGGGTTGTCTGTTTAGCCAGAGGGTTGTCTGTTTAACCAGAGGGTTGTCTGTTTAACCAGAGGGTTGTCTGTTTAACCAGAGGGTGTTTTTCGCTTGTCAAACTATCAACAACAGTGATCTGTAGAACCCAGGACACACGTATTCACTCTTTGAAACATCTGTGAATCTTATCAGAGATTGGGACTTGCCGCCATGTTGTTTTACCTGCTATCATGATCTCTATCTCAGCGACATGTTTCTCTCCTTGTTCGTTGAAGAACAGATTCACATCCCCAACCATCGCTTCTGAAACATTAGGAACACATTCCTGAAATAATAAGTGTCTCTAATCTAACCATAAGACTCATAGACCAAGGACTTGTGAAAAACATACTTTGTCCTTCATAATATGGATGTGTTCTCAGGTCAAGCCCACAGATTTGGAACACTCAAGTACCGGTACTTTGTTTCATGAACTGACTTGTTATATATATACTAGGGCTGGGACGAGTCCAAATTTACTACCCAGGTAACCCCCCCCCAATTACCCAACCCTATCCGGGTACTCGCTGTAGGTCTCAAGGGATAGGTACAATATGTCTGATTGGGAATAGTTTGACCGTAGCTATGGAAAAATGTTTTTAGATACACATATAAAATTATCTGATTATGCATACACTGAAGTTGTAGTAGTCCTGTGGGTACCCGGGTCCTTCTCAGTACCCAGCCGACCCGAGTTACCCGTCCCAGCCCTGTTATATACATGTACTTTACCTATATTATTACCTATATTACCATATGCCTATAGGCCTATTGCATGGTTAATAAAGATCATAAATACCTTTTTCTCTACCATACTGGGTGGGTTCACCAGATTTCTGGTACAGATCTGCATCCAAGATGATGAATGTACATTCTGAAACACATGATTGAGTGCTGTAAGTGAGTGTGAGTGAGTGAGTTTGATTTTACGCCGCTTGTAGCAATATTCCAGCAATATCACGGCGGGGGACACCAGAAATGGGCTTCACACATTGTACCCATGTCGGGAATTGAACCCGAGTCTTCGGCGTGACGAGCGAACGCCTTAACGACTAGGCTACCCCACCACCCCTTGAGTGCTGTTAAGTTGTTTCACATGCAAAATACAATGAAGAGACAATCTTTCTGATTGTATAATGAATTGATGGCAAGTATAGAAACACATAATGAAATGTTTCCTGGCTACAAAAACCGACCATAGAAACAGCCACTACATTGTTGAAATAATAAATTGTGCAGAAAATTACTCAACCCACCCCATCCAAAAAACACCAACATAATAATTGCATATAATAATGATGCATTATGTTTAAAGCATGAAAAACAGTTGAGCAGTTGTCAAGTATCTCAGTCCACTGACTGTCCTGGTCTTGGCGCCACGCCTCCTGCATGGCATACTCTTCCTCCAGACTGAGGGGTTCCGACGCCGTCAACTCCTGGAGCTCTTCAGACTGCATCCATTTGTGATATCTGCAGGAAACAGTTTTAAGAATTTATCTTACAAAATGATGTTACAAGGGGTGGTCAATCACAATTAAACTTTGATATGATACCTGTCAGTGTGAGTGAGTGAGTAAGGTTTTACACCGCCTTTAGCAATACACCAGAAATATCATGGCAGGGGACACCATAAATAGGCTTCACACATTGTACCCATGTCAGGAATCGAACCCGGGTTTCGGCGTGACGAGCGAACGCTTTAACCAATAGGCAACCCGACCACCCCTTTCAGTAAGAAGATCAGACAACACGTCCATTGGGAATCAGCCAATTAGTGTCGAGGCTTCTAAATTCTCGGTACGATTGAGATCAAGGTATTCACACCACCACATATGGCATCTTGAAAATGAAATAAAACAGCCAGTTCCAAATGGCAGCTGAAGGAAATGAAGCTGAATAATCAAAAGCTGACATTTGATTGGTTCAAGAACCCTTGCAACCTTCTTTTACACTGGGTGGTAAAAGTTCACTCCAAGTTCACCTTCAATGGAGGAGTTGTACTCTCTCTGGCAGACAGGTATTACATCGGAGTAAAAGATCTGATATTTTAACGAGATAAGGTCAATCAGAATTGCAGTTTTATCATGTTTTGAATAAGAACAACACCACATTACATTTACTTTACTCGTCTGATTCAGTTCATAGTGGTAACCAGCTTTTCTAATGTCTCTCCAAAATGTCTAGATGTCGACTTTACAGTGTTAAAGCTTAGTATAAACTAGTATAAAACACCTGCCGCTGAAATCAAAATGATCTCTGGCATAAAGAAAAGCATCAATGAATAATACGACTTGAAAGTTCACAAATATGGAGTGACATGGGTTAGCATCATTTCTAACAAAATGTCAGTCGAATCACTGGGTCAGGTTACAGCGCAATTTCACCACCAGCAAGGTTGACGAACCAAAGGGTATAAATTTGTATTCGAAACGACGACAACCCGAAACTTCCTTACTTGCTACTAAGTTAGCCTTGCAGCCACGTTTCTACATATACGTTGTCAAGCATAATCGAACATGTGCGTTATCTGTTTTGAAACACACGACACAGCCTTATAGGCTCCATAATTTCGTCTTACTCCAATCACGGAGCTATATATCCGGATATTTAGGACCGTTCTTCAATTTACTTACTCTGGAACATGGTGTCTTTCGTAAGGAACTAACACAACTTTGCATCCAAACAAAAACGTGTTTTCATTGATTCTCATGTCTGAAATCGTAACAATTATCTCCCTAATGACCAAAACGTGCCATCAATTCTTTTAGACACTGCTCTGATCTCCGATTTTACTGAGGAGACGTCGTTCTCCGTTCTCACTGTAAACAAACACACGTGGGAAGATTGGTCTAGGGGAGGTAACTCTAATATGTGATGGTTTTGATCATGTGACGAGTGGGGAGTGGAGAATGACAGGAGACTTGGTTCAAATACATGACAGCGAACAACTGAAAATGTTGTCGTGAAACTATACAACAGCTAACTGACACAAAAAATGGCAGAGGGTGTCACAGACACGGGGGCCCAGTATGGGACAGTGGTGAGTTTTAGAACACTTAGATAGTTTATAAATATCTTGATGCATATGCAAAATGCGACAATGTTGACAGGTGTTACTGTTAGACGGCAATGGTTAATGATGATCTGAATATTGAGCCGAGGCTGAAGTTACTTTGACATTTTGGTTAAATGTTTTCTTTATATATATATTACACAAGCCTTAGCATAATGTTATCAGAGACCATATAATAGATCTATTATTTTTTTCTCTGATGTTATGAACTGTCATATTAAGTGGGATCTTTGACACTGTCAATGACTATAAGCTGGTTTTGATAAGTTAGGGTAGTCTAGTAGTATTCATGAGAGTAGCCCAGAGCCGTGATGGGGTCCAACAGTCAAGACGTGATCCCAATCGCAGCACTTTGCGATCGTGAGAGTAGCTGTTGAATTGTAGCTATTTACTGCTGTGCTTTTACTCTCCAACATCTACTGGTCGCTAGTACATAGCTATGAATCCTTCCTATTAAGTATACGATACCCACACCCGTGGTTAGTCACATGATATATTGTTTAATGACAAAAATTCACTATAACTCCATGGTTACACTATAAGTCACTCCTGTTCACATTTCTTTCTGACTATGCACGCACTCCTGATTTTTTTATGTTTTATTAAAGATAATTTAAAGCTTCAGTCAACTTCATGATCAGATCATTTTATACATGTCTGCCCGTGTTATGGGTTTTTGGATGCTTAGAAACATTCATAGTTTTCTCTCAAAACTTTAAAATATCTCATTCACTAATTAAAGACAACTTTCTCTTAAAAACAAGCTATCATCTGGCTATTTACAATGTCTGTGTGATGCTTAAGCCACCATTATAGCGTGAGTAATCACAATAAACATGGCCGTCCAAAAACGTGTGATGTCCGAAAACCTATGATCTGACGATATATTTATTACTATTTAATAGTTTTGACCAGGCTCTGGTAAAACAATTCCCAATCAGACATTTTGGACCCAACTTTTGACAGCTGCTGGGTAGGGTCCGGTACCTGGGTAGTAAATATTGACTCATCCAGCCCTAGAATGATCATGATTTCAGCGCTAGTGTGAGAGCACTATCTCGCATGGTAACAGATAGATGTTGCATTGTGAAACTCCCTTGTGTTCCTGACACCTAACTCGATAACTGATGACTTTGTGACGGAGGTTGTGGTTAGAGAGGCACTAGTTAGGGCTGTTTGGCGGTCCCAGCAAATTCTGTCATTATACCAGGGATTTGGCAGACACAAATAATACTTCACATGCTCATAACAGTGAAAATGGACGCAAAAGAAATACAGAGTGTATCCATCGGGATGAAGAAAATTTGTATGTATGTTTAGGGGCGGTCGGGTAGCCTAGTGGTCAAAGTGTTCCCTCGTCACGCCGCAGACCCGGGTTCGATTCCCGACATGGGTACAATGTGTGAAGCCCATTTCTGGTGTCCCCCGCCGTGATATTGCTGGAATATTGCTAAAAGCGGCGTAAAACCATACTCAGTCAGTCAGTCAGTATGTATGTTTAGGAATGAATACTGCTATTTAATAATTTGCTACCACTTTAAATTTTAATTTCCATACAAAACCATTTAAAAGATTCAATACATAGTCGAATGCTTCACAGTAGTCTAATACTTGAACTTCAGTTGACGAAATCCATATCTGTTTTTAATGAATGGCTCGGATCATGTCACTTGTAGGAGACTATTGGGATAAGTCTATCTTCAAGTGTGGGAGTAACAGTCATCTTACAGATAAGATCACTTTATGAAGCAGGGCCCAGGGCCGGAAAACATTGATACAATTCATCTAGGCATGTACAGTCAACTTCCTTATCGCCACAGCTGAAACTGATTCCTCTTCCAAAAGCTGTCTTAACTCTCGTGGAGCCTGGCCGTCAGCTGGCTGTGCATACCCCTCACTGCTGCACTGTGAAGACATCACGGTTTCAAAGATGTATACATTGTATCAAAAGTGTTTCAACGTTCTTATTACTTCATACAGTGTTACCAAATTGTATAACATGCAACACAAGTTGATTGTCTTTGTTAGAATGTAAACTTAAGTTACTGTGTATTGATATTTTATGGACATTTTATTTGCACTATTATATGCTTTACCTGATCTTTTACATGTATGTTAACCTGAAATGATCAGAATTAACTGCCCCTGATGTTTGAATATATTTGTCTGTTGACATTCATGCATCGTCGATGTCAGACATGTGTACGGCTCTGTTAATAAATCTTTTATCCAACGAGAGTAGTTGAGGCCTCTATCAAACAAAAGGTCAGAAGTATGGCGAATTCAACAGTCTTTCTAACAGTATCTTATAGTCAGCAAATCCAAAAGATCCAGGCACTGCTAGTGATAAAAGTGCTGGTATTTTAAGTTTCCTACTTTTCTACATTAATCGTAATATGGAAGCACCTGAATGTGGCAAGTAGAATCATGTAAGCGCCCTTGTTTGAAATCTAAATGTTCAATAATTCATATAATTGGAAAGTACATATCCTAACGGTGATAGAGATATGACATTTAATGTGAGTTATATTTACCCATAAAAAATCCTGATAAAATTGTCCCGTGTTTTTGACGGCAAAACAAAATTGAGGGAAGTGGTCGTGATTAATTTATACGCAGACTGTTTCAAGGATATGTTACAATATGAATGACAGTTTGGAATGTATATCTTGAAGAAATCCCAGTTACGTCTATGTAGGTTACAGTGTCCGTGCTCTTTCATTAGGGAGAAAAACAACTTCGGGGTAATTAACATCGGACATTTTCAAAGGACAAAATGTGAAAGATCGCTAAACAGCCCTAACCATACTCAAATTGACATCACTCAATATCGGACTTATTATTATTTCTTAATAATTAACAAGATTATAACGTACTTCCACCCAAGAGTAAGTACTCGTAGATTCAATCAAAATTGTTGAAATGTTTTCATGGGAAGGAAATCTATTCAACAAACCTATTTTCGATCACTCGTAACTCAATCGCCATTTGTCATACAAGCATTGCTTCATTGCGCAATCACACAGACCTCTTATTTATACTTCGGGTGTTATGATGTGTTGTTAATGGTTTAAATCTTACTTATTAAAAGCTTGAGACAAGATGTAATTAGACAATTTTAATACATAAATTTGAAAGCTCAAGAAGAATACAGTAAGCTATATTCATTACAAGAAAACGATAACTTGCACAGGTGAAAGAAGGCGATATTATTGTTTTTACGGTACAATTATAAGTAATATCTGGATAAAGTGAAAGAGAAAATTACGAAAATATGAATTACTTCGATTGAAGTAGTGTTTAATGTATATACAGTTCATGTGCTCAAAACTCTAAACAAATTTGTTTCACTATGACCATTAAAGACATACATCCTCCTCTCAGCTTGTATTTTGCACTTGGCTGCCTTACTTAGACCTTTACTCAAAACATACCTGTATGACCAGTTCATGAAATACACTTTTTTCTTTCATATTGTTTGATAAATACAACTTTAGCCGTGTATTTACACCTAGGTATGTCCATGTACTTTCAAGGACATGCATGATCATTTATTTCCAGTAGTTTCATTCACATCCCATTCTACAAAAGGAATACTTTGAAATAGATAATGATTGTAGGTCAATGAAAGTAATGCATTATTTGTAATAAAAGGAAAAATATGTTCTTTGTATTGAACTTTGAAAATATAACTAACAAAGTCTTTAATATAAATGTTTTTCTGTTATTAGGTCTTTCCGTTTTTCTTTTGGCCTTGCTTGAACAACAGCATGAAAAGAATATATACAATTTAAAATGTGAAAAAAATTTTGCTCTCAGATAAGATTATTTTCTACAAATTCCATTTCTTACAAAGGATACAAAACAAAGTAATAATTGCTAAATAAGTATATCACGGATCAAAGTATTTGATAATATAGATGAAAAAACGTAATGAAAACTATTTAAAATATTAAAATGAAATCACATTTTCACAGTAAACATTTTGTCATTCAGAAATCGATTATCTATATATTGTGAGTAGATCTAATTACTTTTACTGTTTACGTTATAGATTGAACCGTTCGAGATTCTTATATATGAGGCTAAAATATTAAAAAGGTTGTTTAATATTGGATCCATTTTGAGAGCTTTCTCACTGTAAAACATTCCGTTCTCTTACTCACATTATTTTCTTGGAATATCAAGCCTTCAAACAGATATGAAAAACACACATGTCAGCATACCACAATTAGAAAAGTGCCCCAAATATTCTAACAGTGTTAGTCAAGTGATAAACGATCTCATTCATTCGTCGGTCGTGGTGGAAGATTTCCAAATCGTGATGTACTAGATCTACTTTCTAATTCAGTCAAAGAGAAAATAATTATTTGGAAAATGAAACCACGTTTATCCATATACTCCCCCAACATTCCATCATCTGTTCAATGGTACATCAGCTACATCACAACACAAGAGGCCAGGTCCAGACCACATACTCACAGTGGCGGGAAATCACAATCGTCTTTTAGCCTACACAAATAGAATTGCAGATTGTAACGTCATTGAACAATTTTTTTTAAAGCATTTAGTCATTGCTGACATTTCAGATAACATATCAAATAGACTTGCAATAAATTATCATATGTTAAAAGAGAGTAAAGTCTACATCAATAAAAGAAAAATCTAATATTAATTAGATCTAACATCCATGGCAGAATGTTGGAAATACGAGCTGTCGTGATAATATATTCTATTTTCTGAGGAGATTTATAATGTGTATTTGATGATATATATTCTTACACAATTGGTTATCAATTATCAATGATCTTGTACAATCACAGCATGTACCATGTCCATTAGAGCCACAGGAAATATCATTTCAGCAAACAAGTCATAGCGCCATTATCACTTTTTCAATGAAAGGAAAAACAAATCAAAATTGTTCAAGCTGTATAATGGCAGTCTGTAAACAATCAAGTCTGGAC